TTTCACGAATCAATTATATGACTAAACGAAACCGGGTCTCTCACAGAGTGTCTTCCCCCTATCCATACCAAGGACCATACCATACCTATATATACCAGGACCATACCATACCAACTTGTGATTTCGTAACGATAATTTCAGAATTTTCATTATAAAGTCTAAAATGACACACAAGAATTCCTGAATGTAAACAAAATCATTGAAGTATATCACAGATTGTATGCCAGCAAATAGCCCGAGGTTTGCTGATTAAGAATCGCTATTGGTTTTTGCTTTTTCCATTAAATTTTGAACCAAGCCAAAAATGCAATGATTTGTGACGGAATGTCAATGCGTTCGTTCCATATTAACTCAGTTGATACAAAAAGTAAATGCGTTCGTTCGGCTTTATCAATATTTATACACGAGATGCATTTCAGCAAATAAATAACCTAATAACAATATTTGCTCAATATTTGTTCAAGAAAGGGTTCGTGTTTGGGTCCTATGAAAGATTCAAAAGATGCTCTCTAAAGCGTGTTCTAAAACGAGCGATTGATTCTTTTTCTCGAATGTTGTTAGGGAATTCTTTCCAGTTTTTGACACCAGAGAAGTAGAAACTTCGCTTTGCATACTCTAACCTAACTTTGGGAATTTGCAGATCTCCACGGTTTCTGGTCCTATACTTTGAAATCATGGATCTTGCAGTGAATTTACGGCGAAAATTTTCGGGAAAGAGGTCATGCAAGAGCCATTTACAAGTCCATCCTCCCTAAACGTGGTATTCACTATTAACTTCTTTGCCCTTGTCTGTAATCGTTGCAGTTGGGGTAGTTTGCTGTTGAAGAGGGCACTCCTAGCAATGATTACAGTGGCGGATCTAGACAAAAATTTAGTGGGTTCCTATATGGGCGTGGTCCCATATTTTCGGGAAACGCCCTTGACTCTCGCTCAAAGCTGATAAGATAAGATTTTTGATAAGATTTACAATGGCAAGATTTAATGCTAACAAGATAAAATGTTATTTCAGCCTGATTCCAAGGCATGTAAGAAAAAACAGTCTATAATCCAAGCCAGAAGTTGTCATTGTGAATTCTAAAAAAAGATTTCAATTTTGTGCCAAACAGAGAAGTTTAAAAATTCCTTTAGCTGCATAAAGCAGGAGATAAGCTTACTGACTGTTGCAAGGTTTGAGCAAATTCATGCTATACATATTACCTAATAATAAACAAGGCCAAATGCTTAAGTATTCAGCAAATGTTTCAAGAATGGATAACGATAGACAAAGCCTCTCAGCACATATAGCGAATAAGCCTAATTATTCAAAGTGCAAAATATGGCATATGGAATAATCTTATCCCATTCCATAAAGTCTTAGTCCATTTTATCTTGATAAATTTCTCACTCTATAGAGAGATATATTATATATACGATTTCAAGATGTCAATAAATTTTGCACGTCAAATGGAAAATGTTTTCGACATCCCTGAGTTTCCTGCAAATAATTCTCTCCTGCTTATTGTAACATCTCGTGAACATCACTTAAAAAATATCTAGCATTTCAAATTGACTTTCGTCTAATCCATGAGCAAAGAAACCATGATATGTCTTCTCGAGCACAGAATAGTTAGGCCTGTCAAGAAAAGTGAGCTAGGCGTGTTGGAAAAGATCTGTTGAAAATCCACAGCACTCTTCCATACCATCCTTTAATTTCATTGAACTTCAGATGCTTGTCTTTTCACGTTTGAGTACTGAAAGCAAGCTCTCGTCGTCACTCGTCATACAGTCATAGCCTTCACCCGCAGCGTCGTCGGTCGCCTACGAGTGAAAGTTTGATGGAAACACTCCCACAAGGATGTCACCGTCGTGTCGGCGATGCCCTGCTGAATCTAGTTCAACTTTTTTCTGTCGGCGATGACTAAAAATTTTAATAGAAACATGCATTCCTGACACGTGGGTGACTCTGTGTGAACACGTGACCCACACTAGCCGATCAAAACTATTATCAATCAACATTCCTACTCATTAGGCACGGTTTGTTGTCAAAAGGCTCCCTTAGCCTGAGAGCCTGATCTCAGGCTAGGCTCCCTAGAAGGCCTGTGTTAAAAGTGTCGCAGATGCATAAAAGCTATATGGAAGCCAGGCTTTATGAAAACAGGACACATTTATGGTCAGCGGTTGAAATAAGGACAATCAACCGCCATGGCTACGACAAAGTTCCTCTCTTAAATAATACAATATGGTACAAAGGGTTGCCATGGCTACGACAGAGTTTCTTTATTTCGAGGAATATAATATGTTACAAAAGAACAGGGTTCCTTTTTTCTCAATACCATATTTAGAGAGCACCAAAGCTGTGGAACAAGAGCCCATTTGCCGTTGGGACTCGTTGCGATTTATTCGAAAGTAAAGGGAAAACTGTTGCCATTTGTCTTCGGAAAATTCGACAGGGTTCCAGAAGGTGGCTTTCAAAGAACGCTTTGTAAACTTTGGCCTATATCCTATGGCCTATAACCATATATTCACTTTTGCTGGTATTCAAACTAAGTTTGTGAATCCACATCCAATTCGATATATTTTCCAGCTCGTTTTTCGGACACGATATTCACACATGTATCATCAGCATACATATTCACACATGTATAATCAGCATCGTGCTTTCTAGACGATTCTCAAAATCATTAATGTATAGTATGAGGAGTAAGGGTTCCAAACACGAGCCCTGCGGAATACCACGCTCAATGCAGCTTTTTCTTGAATTGGATCCTTTAAATTAACAGAAATGCACCCTATTGATCAAATAAAAAGTGAACCGGCTGAGGAAGTACCCTCAGCACCATACTCTTGTAACTTCAACAATAGGATTTTATGGTCAATTGTATCGAATCCTTTTTTGAGATCAAGGAATATACTCAAGTTTTTTCCCCTCATCAGAGATCTTGAACCATGGGTCTATAACATTCAATAGACATGTCATTGTACTGTGCATTTTTTGGAACGCAAACTGGTTCAAACAAAGCCTGTTTTGTCACTTTAAAAACTCCATTAGTAGGTCGTGTACAATCTTTTCTAAAATTCTCGAAACAACTGATAACACTGAGATAGGCTTGTAATTTGTTACATCTGTTTTCGTGCCCGCCCTATGAATAGGTGTTACTACTCTGGCTAATTTCCAGATTTGGGGAAAATACCCCTTTCTAGAGATGCATTATATATCAGTGTCAGTGGTTTCAACACTAAATTTATGGCATCTTTCAATATTTTGACTGGGATTCTGTTAACACCGGGAGCCTTAGAGTGTTTCAGAGCTTTTGTAGCATGTTCTACAGACCCTACACTTGCTGGCTGTAGTTTAAATTTGGTTCCTCTGGCTTTATTTCCAAGGTACTTAAGAGGGTAATCGAAAGGCTGACTTTCTAATTTCCCCGCTAACTTAGGTCCAACCGTTGTAAAAATTTTGTTGAAAGCTTCTGAAATTTGTGAAGATGATTCTGGTTCTGTACCTTTAAAAATGATGTTTTCAGTTACCGTGTCATTTGAGTTCTTACAGACCTGTCAACCTAAAATTTTCAAAACCTGGAGATTTCAGTTTTTGGTAAGAAAAACAGAAATATTTGCTAAAAGCAGGGAGATCCTTGGAATTTGTCGAATTTATAAACAGCATACCTGTCAAAAAAGTCATGTTGGACAAACAGTAAATGGCAATAGTTATCATGCAAAGCTTTTTCTTAATGGTTTAACACTAACAAAAAACTTTGTTGCGAAGAAAGTCATTTCTGTCATTTTTATTGTAAGAAAACCTCAGCTGAAAGACAAGGAAAAACAGGGAGACGATCATAATTAACCGGGAGACCGGGAAAAAGCAAGCAAAACCTGGAGTCTCCCAAAAAAACCGTGAAAGTTGACAGGTCTGTTCTTATGTAGAACCTTATTTATTGTTTTCCACATAGCTTTCGGATTGTTTTGGGTTTCATCAATAAAGTTATGGTAGTATTCCTGTACCCTGGCACGAAATTCAGAAGTGACTTTGTTCCGCAATTTCTTATATTCTGATTAATAGGAAGCATCTCAGTTAAGAGGGAAAATGAATGCGCGCATTCGGGTTATCTCAGCTAATCTTTTTATATGTTAACTTAAAAACTGTTCGTTTGATTTTAACTTAAAAAGTTTCAAATTTCACAAATGCTACAAAAATATTTTGATTTGCTCATCACTTAACTATTCTATACTCTTCATAATTCTTTGGAAACTCATTTTCACCTCGGTAAGAAGCAAGATTTGCTTTTCTCGTTACTTTCTCATTGCCTTTTTATTTGCTACTTTTCTAATTATATCATTTATTAAAGATGTTCCGCATCTGCATATGATATTTCTAAACTTACTCACTTTTGAGGAATTCAAAGGAGATTATCTATGTACACATGCGCTTTCCGTTATTCATATCTCACATGGTTTTCTTCTCACTGTTTTTCCTGCCAGATCTGTTTTCTTAAGGCCTCCTTTCTGTGGAATTTTATTTTGGTATCATTACTTGACAGATCCCGCTTTTTCAAGTTCCGAGTAATTGTGTTTTATTAATTGCTTCAATTTCTCTGCAAGCTGATGAATTATTGAATTCAAAATCAAATGAAACTAATTCGACAGAAACAATATCTTTTTGTCTTTCTTGTTTACTTAGACAAGCAAAAGTATTGTTATCAGGGTGGTAGTTTTCTTTAAACTTCTTTAATCTGCCAAAGCTTGTTTGCTTGTACCCAAATGCCCAATCTAACAATTTCTGTAGAAAGTAACGCTGTAAATTGATTGATTTGTTTTATAAACGAGAATTTGTCAAATAACATTGTGTGAATTTTCTTTAGTTTCACCTTTTAATGTTTTGAGGAGACCTCGACACTTATCAACCGAACATTGAAACATATCACAAAGCATTGATGGGATAATTTCTTTGCTTTGCGTTTTGTTTCCCTTTTACTCATGGTAAAAAAATTGTTTATTTCAATGTTCCATTAATTATTTTTCAGCAATTGTGGTGCAAGTAACTTTGAAAGAACATCAATGTTTCAGGTGAGTCCTGGCTCAGCTGATATTTATTTTATTCAAAAGGGTGTCTGCATTGCTCGGGCACAGTTTTCAGAAGGATAATACTCGGGCACAGTTTTCAGAAGGATAATACTCGGGCACAGTTTTCAGAAGGATAATACTCGGGCACAGTTTTCAGAAGGATAATACTGAAATAAATATATTCAAAGTCAAATTTTGACGTTAGAAGTATAGGAAGGCGTAACTCACCTTAATTGCAAAAAGATAGAGGGTAGGAATAAATAACATGTTAAATATCAAGGTTTGCTATTAATCATGCTTAATAAAGCAACAGAAAAGGCTTCCTATGTACATCTTTATGCCCAAAATAGATAGATCTTTAATTACACTTTTTGTGCATAGAGCAGGACGGTTCTAAGTTGCTACTCTGAATACTTCACTCCTTATGCGATCAGGCAACACTAATGGTCAGACTGAACAGTCGCCTTATAATGGATGGGTGATGTGACGCCCGATGAGCGCATCAAGCGAGGATCTCGTAGTAGCAACTTAGAACTGTCATGTTCTATGCACCAAGTGTGTAAACCTTTAACTTTACGGCATCGAGTGCCTCATGACAGAGAGGTAGAGAGTAATTTTCATTAAATATATAATTATATGGATACACCGTAAAATATCTAAAACCGCTTTGATATTAAATGGAATGCTATCTCTTTACCTCCCCTCTTTACCTGCGATATTGGTTTATCTTTTAAAGCAATTGAATAGCTAAAAAAAATTTATTGTCATTCAGATTGGCTAGTTGATAAATTTATATTTTTTTTCTCTCTATTCCAGGAGAAAAAAGGACCGAAAATCGGGGCTGAGACATTGCTTGTTCGTGGGGAAGAGCATTCGAAGTTTCTTACTACTTTAAAATGAACTAATTAATTATTGTCTTTCTGTTTTTGTAATATTTTAGAATTTGAAGATGTATTAGTCATTGACTGAATGACAAAATCAAATCAGTGCCAAATTGCATATTCTCCAAATAATTTCAATCTCGTTACGCTCTTATTATTCTAACGTTGTCTAGGGCCAACGAGAGGTTTCGAATGCCCTAGGACAAAGCCGAAAGACAAGTCCCCCTGCGAGTGGAACGAACAGAAAATTTTTGCGAGCACGCCTTTCAGATTTAAATACATTTCCAACTTTACTTACAGTTGTTTTTCTGCAATCGTTTGAAATGTTTTACTATTTCAAGAAATTGCTACGTCTGATTAATTCCATTTTTAAGATGAGATCCATTACTTTATAGGGCCCCCAGACCTTGAGGCCATAGGGCAATTTGCTTATCTTGCTCTCCCTCTAAGCGGCCCTGACGCTGTCAAACAAAGCCGAAGAACATGCTCTGAGAGCCAGTGTCTTAGTTCCTGTTTATATGAGCAAATATATGCCACCTATCAGCCCATAATCTTGCAGGTCGGATGAAATCATCGAATGTTTACATGCAGATTCTATCCCACCTTCAGCCTGTTTGCTGACAAGTGAGACAAAATTTGATCTCGTTTATATAAACATTTCATCCCATCTTCCAGCTTTATCCCATCTTCCAGTGCTTATATGGAAAAATTCATCCCACGTCAGTGAGATCCCACCTCCGCATGCAGTGGGATCTCACTTAACCGGGCTGGCTTGTTCTCCATAAAAACGCAAGACGAAAACACAAAAGACTCTTTAGAAAAGTGGGATCTCACCTCTCAGCTCTCAGGCTGGAAGGTGGGATGATTTTATCCATATGGCCAGGCCCTTTTGACTCTAAGCATAGGGAAAAATCCAAATATACATGAGTTCGACAACCAACGGAAGAGTGAGAAAATGGATAAACTTGAAAGGGAGATGTTCGTTCGGACAAGTAACATGCATGGCGGAGCATCAAGGGGACTGGGAGGACACATGTTTTCACTTTTACTAGTTGGATGTGTGAATGTCGAGGAAGGGGTAATTTTTGGGAAAATATTTGTTGTGACGTGGCTCTATGATTTTGAAACTTCATGTATGCATCTTGAGCGTTTGCAATGGGGAAAATTTATGTTGCCTGTTGAAAGTACACTTTCTGTAGCAGAAAAGTAGGCAGCCTAAGTTTTTTGATTTTTCCCCCTCAAAGCCCAATGGCCAGAGCTGCCACTGAGCAACAGTAGATTTGCCTAAGCATTCTTTAAGATATATCGATGGCAGGCGGACATTGTCACTGTGGATAGAAAAGTTGGATATACATGGATGTTATACTTTTCAAGGTGTTGGTTGACTGAGCTGGCATCTGTGGACTAGGGTTATGGTACAATCTGTTCAGATATGACATCCAACAAATCCAATTCCGTATACTGATTTGAAAGGACCTTCACAGCCAAAATCTTCATTTTCTGCATTACCATCAATAATTTATCGAAAGCATCTATTAATTTTTTAATCACTCAAATTGGCCAGCATGTAGGACAATATATTATTTCAATCCTAGAAAAATTTTGGCGTCCAGTTAATCAAATCAAATATCATCAACATATAACGCTCGTGTAAGCAAGTATAGTGTAAGCTCGAATAAAGCCGTATAATTCAACATTGTGTGTGCTTACCGTATCTACTGTATTATAAGCCGCGACATTACATAATTTCCTTTGTATTGTTACCAATGAAAAATGTAGAATTAATCTTTTCTTAAAAATAGTGATATAATTCAACAATGTGTGAAGTCCGCATTGCATCCATTTTTATACAGCGAATGCTAACTCTAACATTATAACGTTTACAAGCTCATACTTTTAGCAATATAGAGTACATAAGATTTGGCATCTTCGAGGGAGAGAACGGATGTTCTTGTCACGATAGTTCGATTTGACAACAAAACTTTATTTCACCGAAAACGCCTTTACTTTATTGCTGCCAAAAAATTTATTACCAAGAAAGCTGAACAAAAGAGCAAAAATTTCAATTAAAGATAACAACGAAGCTCCCAAAAACAAGCCCATTTGCCCCCCTAAGTCACTGGTAAAAGCTGAAAGATCATACATCTCTTTCTCTTCAAATGTTGTTTCCGTCATCTCATCGTAATAGACACTGAGCCTGATCAGCCTTTCTCTAACCTCATCTGGACTCACACTTTCTACTCCTTTCATCGCCGAGACGATATGTGACACTGAAGATGCCTGCCAACTTTGCGGCCATGGGTTACGATTTACTTTAACTTCGTAAGCCTCTTCTTCGCAAATAGGACTGCAGTTGCATTTTTGATTATCAAACTTCGTTATGAATTCATTATAGCACTTAAAGAGCTGTGGGTCGCCATACTTAGCCACTTTTGGGTACTTTGGGGGGCCCATGAAGCCTCGCATCTCTAAAAATACACCAGGGCATTGTTTATAGGTTTGTTTGAAGAAGCACGAACTGTAACATTGCATTTGAGTGTTCTTGCCAGGATATATGCTCTCTTTGTCTTGTTCGTCCCCTCGAACGCATTTCGACGGGTAAGGGCTGGGTTTGAGTTTTATAATTCTTCTTCTTATGGCAACATGTGTATGAAATCCTTCTGGGATGGGAATTCCATCAGAAATAGGGACATGTTGCTTTGGATCGTGTATATGTACAATTACTCCTTGGCGCCTCTCTGTAAGTGGCTGGTCATTTTTTGCATAAGTGAATTCTTTATCGATTATTTCTTCGTTGTGAAGGATCATGTGCAAACCGTATTTTTCACCGCTGGCATTTTGTTTAAGTGTCGAATTCCTGTTGAGCGTGAAACACGGATAAATGTTTGGAAGAAGTGAAAATTTGTCTGGGAAACGAAAGTATTCTGGCGAATCCTGACCAACTCCTGATGTTTTTGCATCAAGTGTGCCGATGAACAATCTGCAGGCAAAGTAAAACATATGTTTGTTCATGTCATTCACAAAATATTTGTCGTCTATGAAACTACAATTTTTTGGAAAATGCTGAAACACTGGTGCCTCTTCGTCATAAAGCCTTGGCTTGAAGTAATTTGTATGGCAGAATGTGACTGCAGGTAGATGCATGTGGGTGGTAGGTTTTGTACCCACTGCAATGAAGACTTCGTGTCTGTAATACTTGATAAGGCTTTTTGTTGCCGTAATGACAAGAAATACGAGAGCAGAGAGGCAAATAACCAGCCAGATAATCCTTGAAATGTACGTTTTTGATGAAAACACTTTCGGCAGGCCATGGATTGTCAAGGAATCGATATCTTTCAGAATATGACTTTTCTGTTCGGAGTCATGCTTGTTCATTATGGCAACATTTGTATTTGCTTCCAAACTTGCTTCTGTTTCGGAGCCTCCATTTCCTCCGTTAAGTTTCGCTTTTTTCTGCATCTCCTTATGGCTCCCGGGAAAAGGTCGTAAATGCAAGTAGTTTGTTTTCTCTAGCGTAAGATAACAACCCAAATCAATCCTCTGCCAAAAAGATTTCTGTGTGCTGCTTCTTGTGTATTTTTCCTTTACCTCTTCAATATCAACACCTGCATTTTTTTTCTTTCTCCGTCCAGTTTATTTCTAAAAACCTTTTGACAATGCGGGTATCCTTAGTATTATACTGTAACAACGACAATAAATCGTTTTTGTTTTCTTCAATAAATTTCATCAAATATATTGGAAATGGCAGGTGATATCTTCAAGCAACATTACAGCAACATGCTACAACAGCAATATGTCTGGATCACAGGCTTTTCTTTCGGCTGATTCTTTTTGGCTGATTTTTCTTGGCTGATTCTTCATGGACAACTGCTGTATTCTTTCAAGAACTTTATTCATCGAGCTGGTTTCGAAACGTCAACCTACAGTTAACTTTTGCGATGATGGCTTTTGCTGTAACTTCTGCTTTTGCGTTTTTGTTTTGTTGTTGTTATTGTTTTGTTGCTGCTGCTGTTTTGATTGAGATTGTTGTTGTTGCTGTTGCTGTTGTTGTTGCTGTTGTTGATGATGATGGTTGTTGTTGTTGTTGTAAACTTAATTTAATTCGATCTAACATTTCAGCTAACATTATATGCAAAATTGGTTTATTGAGGCCATACGTCTTGACCCCAATGTTTAGATAGTTAAGCCTTTTGAATTTTCTTCAGTTTCACCTTCAATTGTTCTGAGGAGACCTTGACGCTAATTGATGGAACATAGAATCATACGAGAGAATCACTCTGTCGTGTTTATTAAAGAATTTTATCTGCATTGCTCGGTCACAGATTTTAGAAGGATCATTCTGAAATGAATATGTGACGTCAAGCTTTGACGTTAGAAGTATAGGAAGGCTTCAGTCACCGTAATTTCAGAATAGACAAAAGGCAGTACTGATGCACCGTAATAAGGGTTTATAGTGTATAATTATGCTTTATGCATATTTATAATTGAAATGTTTGTAATATGTACTTTTTCCAAGGCCTGTCAGGGGAAGGGGGCTGCCATTCTCACTCTCCTTAAGACTTATGAACATTTTCGCTGTTTATGAAAAATTTTTATGTTTCTTAAGAGATAAAAAGAGATTTTTGGACAAGTATCCCAGTACAGTTTACAGCTGCCACGGTCACCAAACAATTTTTTTAAAGAAGACTCCAACAGGGAAACGAATGAAATATTAAACCTGCTAAATATCGAGGTTAACTGTTTATTTCAATTAATAAAATAAACGATTGTGCTTTTATAATTTAAGATGACAGTAGGATATTCAAAAAGGCTTTAATCTGGATTGCTTTGATCTTTATTCTAATCTGTTGACTTCCCCACTTCATCTACTATGCCGGTAATCTGATAAAGTAGTAAAATTGTTCAAATTTTTTATGATGATTCGCTAGTTGATTAGTTTTTCATTTACCTTTTACATCTTTTCCTGGAGAAAAGAGGGCCGAAGATTGGAGCTGAGATGGTGCTTGGTCGTAGACAAAAGCATTCAAAGTTTCTTAGTAGTCTAAAATAAACTATTGATTGTATTATTGTTGTAATTTTCTAGAATGATAAGTGTTATTAGATAAATATTCACTGAATGAGAAAATCGGTGCCAAATTGTGTATTACCTATCCTTTTGATTTTACTCTCATTACTCTCATTATACCGTCCTTGGAAATACAGGATTCCAAACAAGATTCCAAGCAAAACAAGAACCTCGAAGTAATTTTTTTCATTTCGTTTTGTGCTTTTTCCAATACAAGACTCTTGGTGCCTTATACTTGAATCAATCTCAGCTAATCCACATAACAGAAAGGTCTGAATATACATGAATTTGCTAGCGGAGGAGAGAGGCCGTGGATAAACAAGCTTTCTGCTCCTCTGTGACTTTTGATACTCTCCCGAATCTAGTGACTCATAGTTTTTTGTCTCGTTTATTCTTAATTGATATCAATTTTACTTCGTCCTTGTAGCTTGGAAGTGGTTGAGGGGTCTGTGGATTACATAATACGATTTGCCAAATTGTCATACATGTCAGGAAGTTGGCTAACTGATCGTCTCGCGCATCATTGATCGTTTAGGGACAGGCCATGCTCTGTTGCAAGTATGACATCCAATAGATCCTTTCCTTATCCTGATTTGCTGTGACATTTACAGCCCTACCAAGTGAACACTTTACCGACAACTGCTGCTATTGCTCGAACCATTCTGTTTACGCGCGCGCGATGCGACTGGACCAGTGCTTTTTTCATTTTCATTTACAAATAATTTAAGGAGGTTAGTCCTTTAGTAAATACTGGTTTACAAGGGACCCTCCATTTAATTATTTTAATTGCGTTTGCGTATTTTAGGATCGCTTGGTCACATAGAACAAATTTCACTGGCCTTGAAGGAAGCTGTGATCCTACTCCTAAAGCGCTACTTTGCTCCTTTAAAATCTCATCGTACGCACCTAAATTAGGGCTTAAAATTTGCTACTGACCAAACCGTCTATCTAGTTTTCTTAGATCTTTTTAATACTAGGACCTGGGTAATGAAATTTTTTTTGAAATTTTTCCTAGTTACCTAGTATACGGTAATCATGCAATCGTTCGCAAAGTGACTCATTGCTGATTTACTCAATCCATTTGTATTCATATTCCTGCAGGTTTCCATACACACATTGCCATTCATAAAAATATCAATAAGCGGAAACCTAGCCCATATTCTTCGCATTGCGTACAAACCAATGAAGAAGACAGACAAACCATTTTTCCTGGCAAGAACACCCAACTGCATTGTTTCTATTCGTGTGCAATGAGGCGTTTCTATAACAGATGCAATGGCGTATTGATGGAGTATAGGAGTTTTATGGGACCCAAAAAGTACCCCAAAATGGCAAGCTATAGCGCCTCCTTTCTTAATTGTTTGGAATCATTCTTCAAGAAACCAGACTTGCTAACTTGCAACTGCAAGCCGCTCTGCGAACAGGAGAGTTACGAAGTTAGAGTAAATCGTAATCCATGGCCGCGAAATTTGCATGGTTCAGCTGTCTTCAGAAAAATTTTGCCGTCCAGTTAATCAAATCAAATATCATCAACATAGATAAAACATATAACGCACGTACATGTAGGAAAAAGCGAGAAAAAAAGACCGAAATATTTTCTCTTTTTTCTTCATTTTGTTAAACTTACATATATAATGTGTTCTTGATGATAAGAAAGAGCAAGAAGAGAGCATATTAAATTTAAAATATTGATCCTTCCAATTAAGAAAAGCAGAAAGAATATAAAAGATAATAAAATTTGAACGAGTAATGATGTTATATACTTTGTTAATTTTGGAGTTACAGTCGAAATATTGTGTTCATTAACTGTGTGTTTTCGAATACAGAAAAAACTCGCGTGTAAGAACCTACTTTTTCGGAGTTTGGCGAAACAGGTTCTTGTATTATAGGGTTCTTGTAAAAAGTTTAGGCTAAATAGGTTCTTAGTTAAGTTCTTAATTTCTTAAGACTTGATACTGCTGTTGATTATCAGAAAATAGCATTATGTCTGGTCTGTTATTCGTTCTAAATGTTTTATTGTGTTCTAAAGTTGCCAAAAGTCCACGAGAAATTGATCGATAATACAGTACTGTATATAAAATAGCTGCAATAATTTTCTCATAATAACAGTTCAAATTTAACATACATTGTGCATTTTGTCACCTTTTTGGTTTTTGGTGAAAAGTAGATAAATCAAAAGAATTACAATCGAAGATAATAAAGGACCCTTAACAGACTAATTTCGCCAATTTGATCTAATATTCATTAAAATACCAACAGAAGTGGCAATTTTATCTGAATATAAACACTCTTTTCGTTAACGTATTAGATTAGCTAAGATTTTATTTCAGTTCGTTCTGAACTTGGCTTTTCAACAGTTATCAGCAAATCTATTGGTTTTTACGTTTTGAATATATTATTCTGTATAAATGACTAAATAGAAGAGATGCGATGAAATGAAAACATACTTTCGCTACTATAGTTGTTTGTAGTGTATCTCATATAGATTATTGAATAAGTATAGTGTAAGCTCGAATAAAGCCTTATAATTCAACATTGTGTGTGCTTACCGTATCTACTCGATCATAAGCCTCAACATTACATAATTTCCTTTGTATTGTTACCAATGAAAAATGTAGAATTTATCTTTTCTTAAAAATTGATCTTTCACGGGGGCTGAAAAATTAAATTGTGCGAAGTTAGCACGGCGTTCTACAGCACTTTTAAACTCAACTGATTAGGAACTGAAACTACGATGATATCTCAAAATCGGCACTTTGCAATGCTTAGATATTTAAATTAAGGCAATGTGAATTGGTCACGATGACAATGCTTGTATGCTTGTAAGTGGGAAAATATTCCCTTCAAGGCTACAATTGATCTTTTACGGGGGCTGAAAAATTAAATTGTGCGAAGTTAGCACGGCGCTCTACAGCAACTGAAACTACGATGTTTCGATATAATTCTGGAACTATTTACGTCTCACCTTGTAAATTTCATTACGTTGTTCACAGAGTATTATTTTATTCCTGTTTACTGGCACTGAAAGTTTCATCTTCGCCTCCCAGATTTTACTGGGCACGTGTTAGGTGTAAATGTGCACATAAGCCCGCGATACTATGACCAGCGGCAGACATTTTTCCTATCTGTTCATTGTGTGTGCTTACCGTATCTACTCGATTATAAGCCGCGACATTACATAATTTCCTTTATATTGTTACCAATGAAAAAAGTAGAAGTTATCTTTTTTTAAAAATAGCGATATAATTCAACAATATGTGTGGTTATATCTAACAGAAGTAAGAATTATTTCCGTTACATTTATATGCAGAGAACGTTAGCTTTAATGTTAAAGCATTTACGAACATATAATTTTAGCGACATGAAAAATATTAGATATTGCATCTTCGAGTGAGAGAACAGGTGTTCTCGATCTGTTTGGACAAAAATGTTTTTAGTTCACCGTAAACCCCTTTATTTTATTGCTGCCAAAAAATTTATTGCCAAGAAAGCTGAACAAAAGAGCAAAAATTTCAATAAAAGATAACAACGAAGCTCCCAAAAACAAACCCATTTGCCCCCCTAAGTCGCTAATTAGAGCTGAACGATCATACACCTCTTTTTCTTCAAACGTTGATTCCACCATCTCATCGTAATAGACACTGAGCCTGATCAGCCTTTCTCTAACCTCATATAGGCTCACACTTTTTACTCCTTTCATCGCCGAGACGATATGTGACACTGAGGATGCCTGCCAACTTTGCGGCCATGGGTTACGATTTACTTTAACCTCGTAAGTCTCTTCTTCGCAAATGGGACTGCAGTTGCATTTTCGATAGTCATACTTCTCTATGGATTTCATAATGCACTTCCAGAACTGTGGGTCGCTGTAGTTAGCCACTTTTGGGTACTTTGGGGGGCCCATGAAGCCTCGCATCTCTAACAATACACCAGGGCATTGTTTATAGCAGTTTGTGAAGAAGCACGAACTGTAACATTGCATTTGAGTGTTCTTGCCAGGATATATGCTCTCTTTGTCTTGTTCGTCCCCTCGAACGCATTTCGACGGGTAGGGGCTGGGTTTTAGTTTTATAATTCTTCTTCTTATGGCAACATGTGTATGAAATCCTTCTGGGATGGGAATTCCATCAGAAATAGGGACATGTTGCTTTGGATCGTGTATATGTACAATTACTCCTTGGCGCCTCTCCGCAAGTGGCTCGGCTTTTTTTGCATAAGTGAATCTTTCATCAGTTATTTCTTCGTTGTAAAGGATCATTTGCAAACCGTATTTTTCACCGCTGGCATTTTGCTCAAGTGTAGAATTCCTGTTGAGAGTGAAACACGGATAAATGTTTGGAAGAAGTGAAAATTTGTCTGGGAAACGAAAGTATTCTGGCGAATCCTGTCCAGCTCCTGATGTTTTTGCATCAAGTGTGCCGATGAACAATCTGCAGGCAAAGTAAAACATATGTTTGTTGATTTCATTCACAAAATATTTGTCGTCCATGAAACTACAATTTTTTGGAAAATGCTGAAGCACTGGTGCCGCTTTGCCATAAAGCATTGGGTTGTAGAAATTTGTATGGCAGAATGTGACCGCAGGTAGATGCATGTGGTTGGTAGGTTTTGTACCCACTGCAATGAAGACTTCGTGTCTGTAATACTTGATAAGGCTTCTCGTTGACGTAATGACAAGAAATACGAGAGCAGAGAGGCAAATAACCAGCCAGATAATCCTTGAAATGTACGTTTTTGATGAAAACACTTTTGGCAGGCCATGGATTGTCAAGGAATCGATATCTTTCAGAATATGACTTTTCTGTTCGGAGTCATGCTTGTTCATTATGGCAACGTTTGTATTTGCTTCCAAACTTGCTTCTGTTTCGGAGCCTCCATTTCCTCCGTTAAGTCTCACTTTTTTCTGCATCTCCTTATGGCTCCCGGGAAAAGGTCGTAAATGCAAGTAGTTTGTTTTCTCTAGCGTAAGATAACAACCCAAACCAATCCTCTGCCAAAAAGATTTCTGTGTGCTGCTTCTTGTGTATTTTTCCTTTACCTTTTCAATATCAACACCTGCATTTGTTTTTTCATGCGGGTATCCTAAGTGTTATACTGTAGCAAAGTCAATAAACCGTTTTTGTTTTCATTCAAAAAGTTTCATTTATCAAATCTATTGGAAATGTACAATGTTAGGTGATATTTCAAGCAACATTACAGCAACATGCTACATTAGCAATATGTCTGGATCACAGGCTACATTTCTCTTTCGGCTGATTCTTCTTGGCTGATTCTTCTTGGCTGATTCTTCTTGGCTGATTTTTCTTGGCTGATTCTTCATGGACAACTGCTGTATTCTTTCAAGAACTATATTCATCGAGATGGTTTCGAAACGTCAACCTACAGTTAACTTTTGCGATGATGGCTTTTGCTGTAACTTCTGCTTTTGCCTTTTTTGTTTTGTTGTTGTTGTTGTTTTGTTGCTGCTGCTGTTTTGATTGAGATTGTTGTTGTTGCTGTTGCTGTTGTTGCTGCTGTTGTTGATGATGATGGTTGTTGTTGTTGTTGTAAACTTAATTTAATTCGATCTAACATTTCAGCTAACATTATGTGCAAAATTGGTTTATTGAGGCCATACGTCTTGACCCTAATGTTTAGATAGTTAAGCCTTTTGAATTTTCTTCAGTTTCACCTTCAATTGTTCTGAGGAGACCTTGACGCTAATTGATGGAACATAGAATCATACGAGAGAATCACTCTGTCGTGTTTATTAAAGAATGTCATCTGCATTGCTCGGTCACAGATTTGAGAAGGATCATACTGAAATGAATATGTGACGTCAAGCTTTGACGTTAGAAGTATAGGTAGGCTTCACTCACCGTAATTTCAGAATAGACAAAAGGCAGTACTGATGCACCGTAACAAGGGTTTATAGAGTATAATTATGCTTTATGCATATTTATAATTGAAATGTATGTAATATGTACTTTTGCCAAGGCCTGTTAGGGAGGGGGGACTGCCATTCTCACTCTTCTTTAGACTTACGAAAATTTTCGCTGTTTATGAAAATTTTTTATGATTCTTAAGAGATAAAAAGAGATTTTTTGACAAGTATCCCAGTACAGTTTACAGCTGCCACGGTCACCAAACAATTTTTTTAAAGAAGATTCCAACAGAGAAACGAATGAAATATTACACCTGCTAAATATCGAGGTTAACTGTTTATTTCAATTAATAAAATAAACGATTGTGCTTTTATAATTTAAGATGACAGTAGGATATTAAGATGATAGATGACAAAAAGGCTTTAATCTGGAATGCTTTGATCTTTATTCTAATTTGTTGACTTCCCCACTTCATCTACTATGCCTGTAATCTGATAAGGTAGTTAAATTGTTTAAATTTTTTATCATGATTCGCTAGTTGATTAGTTTTTCATTTACCTTTTACATCTTTTCCTGGAGAAAAGAGGGCCGAAGATTGGAGCTGAGATGGTGATTGGTCGTGGACAAGAGCATTCGAAGTTTCTTAGTAGTCTAAAATAAACTATTGATTGTATTGTTTTGTAATTTTCTAGAATGATAAGTGTTATTAGAAAGATATTGACTAAATGAGAAAATCGGTGCTAAATTGTGTATTACCTATCCTTTTGATTTTACTCTCGTTACTCTCATTATACCGTCCTTGGAAATACAGGATTCCAAACAAGATTCCAAGCAAAACAAGAACCTCAAAGTAACTTTTTCATTTCGTTTTGTGCTTTTTCCAATCTAAGACTCTTGGTGCCTTATACTTGAATCAATCTCAGCTAATCCACATAACAGAAAGGTCTGAATATACATGAATTTGCTAGCGGAGGAGAGAGGCCGTGGATAAACAAGCTTTCTGCTCCTCTGTGACTTTTGATACTCTCCCGAATCTAGTGATTCATAGTTTTTTGTCTCGTTTATTCTTAATTGATATCAATTTTACTTCCAGGAAATACTTTGCAAATAACATTACCAGAGAAATTTTTCAACACGGCTGTAGATTGTTCATTGGCACATTTGATGCAAAAACATCAGGAATGCGTCGAGATATGCCAGATTACTTCCGTTTCCCAGAAAAATTCTCAATTCTTCCAAACATTTATCCGTGTTTCACCTTGAACAGAAATTCTACCCTTAGGCAGGGTATCGGCAGTGAAAAGAATGGTTTGCAAATGATACTTTACAACGATGAAATTGCTGACCATACATTTGCTAATGGATACGAAGAGGAACCGCTAACTGAAGTGCACCAAGGAACTGTTGTTCATATTCATGACACAAAGGTTCATGTGCCAATTTCTGATGGAATTCATATTCCTGCAGGCTTCCATACACACATTGCCATTCATAAAAATATCAATAAGCGGAAACCTAGCCCATATTCATCGCATTGCGTACAAACCAATGAAGAAGACAGACAAACCATTTTTCCTGGCAAGAACACCCAACTGCATTGTTTCTATTCGTGTGCAATGAGGCGTTTCTATAACAGATGCAATGGCGTATTGATGGAGTATAGGAGTTTTATGGGACCCAAAAAGTACCCCAAAATGGCAAGCTATAGCGCCTCCTTTCTTAATTGTTTGGAATCATTCTTCAAGAAACCAGACTTGCTAACTTGCAACTGCAAGCCGCTCTGCGAACAGGAGAGTTACGAAGTTAGAGTAAATCGTAATCCATGGCCGCGAAATTTGCATGGTTCAGCGCTGTCTAATATAATATTTATTGTGACGTGGCTCTATGATTTTGAAACTGCCTGTATGCATCTTGAGCGTTTGCAATGGGGAAAATTTATGTTGCCTGTTGAAAGTACACTTTCTGTAGCAGAAAAGTAGGCAGCCTAAGTTTATTGATTTTGTCCCCCTCAAAGCCCAATGGCCAGAGCCACCACTGAGCAACATTAGATTTGCCTAAGCATTCTTTAAGATATATCGATGGCAGGCGGACACTGTCACTGTGGATAGAAAAATTAGATATACATGGATGTTATACTTTTCAAGGAGTTGGTTGACTGAGCTGGCGAATCATCTGTGGACTAGGGTTATGGTACAATCTGTTCAGATATGACATCCAACAAATCCAATTCCATATAATGATTTGAAAGGACCTTCACAGCGTACATAAAGGAGAAAGCGAGAAAAAAAGACCGAAATATTTGCTCTTTTTTCTTCATTTTGTTAAACTTACATATATAATGTGTTCTTGATGATAAGAAAGAGCAAGAAGAGAGCATATTAAATTTAAAATATTGATCCTTCCAATAAAGAAAAGCAGAAAGAATATAAAAGATAATAAAATTTGAACGAGTAATGATGTTATATACTTTGTTAATTTTGGAGTTACAGTCGAAATATTGTGTTCATTAACTGTATGTTTTCGAATACAGTAAAAACCCGCGTGGAAGAACCTAATTTTTTGGAGTTTGGCGAAACAGGTTCTTGTATTATAGGGTTCTTGTAAAAAGTTTAGGCTAAATAGCTTCTTAGTTAAGTTCTTAATTTCTTAAGACTAGATACTGCTGTTGATTATCAGAAAATAGCATTATGTCTGGTCTGTTATTCGTTCTAAATGTTTTATTGTGTTCCAATGTTGCCAAAAGTCCACCAAAAATTGATCGATTATACAGTACTGTATATAAAATAGCTGCAATAATTTTCTCATAATAACAGTTCAAATTTAACATACATTGTGCATTTTGTCACCTTTTTGGTTTTTGGTAAAAAGTAGTTAAATCAAATGAATTACAATCGAAGATAATAAAGGACCCTTAACAGACTAATTTCGCCAATTTGATCCAATATTCATTAAAATACCAACAGGAGTGGCAATTTTATCTGAATATAAACACTCTTTTCGTTAACGTATTAGATTAGCTTAGATTTTATTTCATTTCGTTCTGAACTTGGCTTTTCAACAGTTATCAGCAAATCTATCAGTTTTTACGTTTTGAATATATTATCCTGTATAAATGACTAAATAGAAGAGATGCGATGAAATGATAACGTACTTTCGCTACTTTAGTTGTTTGTAGTGTATCTCATTTAGATTTTTGAATAAGTATCGTGTAAGCTCGAATAAAGCCATATAATTCAACATTGTGTGTGCTTACCGTATCTACTGGATTATAAGCCGCGACATTACATAATTTCCTTTGTATTGTTACCAATGAAAAATGTAGAATTTATCTTTTCTCAAAAATAGTGATATAATTCAACAATGTGTGAAGTCCGCATTGCATCCATTTTTATACAGCGAATGCTTACTCTAACATTATAACGTTTACAAGCTCATACTTTTAGCAATATAGAGTACATAAGATTTGGCATCTTAGAGGGAGAGAACGGATGTTCTTGTCACGATAGTTCGATTTGACAACAAAACTTTATTTCACCGAAGACGCCTTTACTTTATTGCTGCCAAAAAATTTATTACTATGAAAGCTGAACAAAAGAGCAAAAATTTCAATTAAAGATAACAACGAAGCTCCCAAAAACAAACCCATTTGCCCCCCTAAGTCGCTAATTAGAGCTGAACGATCATACACCTCTTTTTCTTCAAACGTTGATTCCACCATCTCATCGTAATAGACACTGAGCCTGATCAGCCTTTCTCTAACCTCATCTGGGCTCACACTTTTTACTCCTTTCATTGCCGAGACGATATGTGACACTGAAGATGCCTGCCAACTTTGCGGCCATGGGTTACGATTTACTTTAACTTCGTAAGCCTCTTCTTCGCAAATAGGACTGCAGTTGCATTTTTGATTATCAAACTTCGTTATGAATTCATTATAGCACTTAAAGAGCTGTGGGTCGCCATACTTAGCCACTTTTGGGTACTTTGGGGGGCCCATGAAGCCTCGCATCTCTAAAAATACACCAGGGCATTGTTTATAGGTTTGTTTGAAAAAGCACGAACTGTAACATTGCATTTGAGTGTTCTTCCCAGGATATATGCTCTCTTTGTTTTGTTCGTCCCCTCGAACGCATTTCGACGGGTAGGGGCTGGGTTTTAGTTTTATAAATCTTTTTCTTATGGCAACATGTGTATGAAATCCTTCTGGGATGGGAATTCCATCAGAAATAGGGACTTGTTGCTTTGGATCGTGTATATGTACAATTACTCCTTGGCGCCTCTCTGTAAGTGGCTGGTCTTTTTTTGCATAAGTGAATTCTTTATCGATTATTTCTTCGTTGTGAAGGATCATTTGCAAACCGTATTTTTCACCGCTGGCATTTTGTTTAAGTGACGAATTCCTGTTGAGCGTGAAACACGGATAAATGTTTGGAAGAAGTGAAAATTTGTCAGGGAAACGAAAGTATTCTGGCGAATCCTGTCCAACTCCTGATGTTTTTGCATCAAGTGTGCCGATGAACAATCTGCAGGCATAGTAAAACATATGTTTGTTGATTTCATTCACAAAATATTTGTCGTCCATGAAACTACAATTTTTTGGAAAATGCTGAAACACTGGTGCCTCTTCGTCATAAAGCTTTGGCTTGAAGTAATTTGTATGGCAGAATGTGACCGCAGGTAGATGCATGTGGTTGGTAGGTTTTGTACCCACTGCAATGAAGACTTCGTGTCTGTAATACTTGATAAGGCTTCTTGTTGCCGTAATGACAAGAAATACGAGAGCAGAGAGGCAAATAACCAGCCAGATAATCCTTGAAATGTACGTTTTTGATGAAAACACTTTCGGCAGGCCATGGATTGTCAAGGAATCGATATCTTTCAGAATATGACTTTTCTGTTCGGAGTCATGCTTGTTCATTATGGCAACGTTTGTATTTGCTTCCAAACTTGCTTCTGTTTCGGAGCCTCCATTTCCTCCGTTAAGTCTCACTTTTTTCTGCATCTCCTTATGGCTCCCGGGAAAGGGTCGTAAATGCAAGTAGTTTGTTTTCTCTAGCGTAAGATAACAACCCAAACCAATCCTCTGCCAAAAAGATTTCTGTGTGCTGCTTCTTGTGTATTTTTCCTTTACCTCTTCAATATCAACACCTGTATTTTTTTTTCTTTCTCCGTCCAGTTTATTTCTAAAAACCTTTTGACAATGCGGGTATCCTTAGTATTATACTGTAACAACGACAATAAACCGTTTTTGTTTTCTTCAATAAATTTCATCAAATTTATTGGAAATGGCAGGTGATATCTTCAAGCAACATTACAGCAACATGCTACAACAGCAATATGTCTGGATCACAGGCTACATTTTTCTTTCGGCTGATTCTTCTTGGCAGATTCTTCTTGGCTGATTCTTCATGGACAACTGCTGTATTCTTTCAAGAACTATATTCATAAAGCTGGTTTCGAAGCGTCTACCCACAGTTAACTTTTGCGACGATGGCTTTTGCTGTAACTTCTGCTTTTGCGTTTTTGTTTTGTTGTTGTTATTGTTTTGTTGCTGCTGCTGTTTTGATTGAGATTGTTGTTGTTGCTGTTGCTGTTGTTGTTGCTGTTGTTGATGATGATGGTTGTTGTTGTTGTTGTAAACTTAATTTAATTCGATCTAACATTTCAGCTAACATTATATGCAAAATTGGTTTATTGAGGCCATACGTCTTGAACCCAATGTTTAGATAGTTAAGCCTTTTGAATTTTCTTCAGTTTCACCTTCAATTGTTCTGAGGAGACCTTGACGCTAATTGATGGAACATAGAATCATACGAGAGAATCACTCTGTCGTGTTTATTAAAGAATGTCATCTGCATTGCTCGGTCACAGATTTGAGAAGGATCATACTGAAATGAATATGTGACGTCAAGCTTTGACGTTAGAAGTATAGGAAGGCTTCAGTCACCGTAATTTCAGAATAGACAAAAGGCAGTACTGATGCACCGTAACAAGGGTTTATAGTGTATAATTATGCTTTATGCATATTTATAATTGAAATGCATGTAATATGTACTTTTTCCAAGGCCTGTCAGGGGAAGGGGGCTGCCATTCTCACTCTCCTTAAGACTTATGAACATTTTCGCTGTTTATGAAAAATTTTTATGTTTCTTAAGAGATTAAAAGTGATTTTTGGACAAGTATCCCAGTACAGTTTACAGCTGCCACGGTCACCAGACAATTTTTTTAAAGAAGACTCCAACAGGGAAACGAATGAAATATTAAACCTGCTAAATATCGAGGTTAACTGTTTATTTCAATTAATAAAATAAACGATTGTGCTTTTATAATTTAAGATGACAGTAGGATATTCAAAAAGGCTTTAATCTGGATTGCTTTGATCTTTATTCTAATCTGTTGACTTCCCCACTTCATCTACTATGCCGGTAATCTGATAAAGTAGTTAAATTGTTCAAATTTTTTATCATGATTCGCTAGTTGATTAGTTTTTCATTTACCTTTCGCATCTTTTCCGGGAGAAAAAAGGGCCGAAGATTGGAGCTGAGATGGTGCTTGGTTGTGGACAAGAGCATTCGAAGTTTCTTAGTAGTCTAAAATAAACTATTGATTGTGTTTTTTGTAATTTTGTAGAATTATAAGTGTTATTAGATAAATATTCACTGAATGAGAAAATCGGTGCCAAATTGTGTATTACCTATCCTTTTGATTTTACTCTCGTTACTCTCATTATACCGTCCTTGGAAATACAGGATTCCAAACAAGATTCCAAGCAAAACAAGAACCTCGAAGTAATTTTTTTTCATTTCGTTTTGTGCTTTTTCCAATCCAAGACTCTTGGTGCCTTATACTTGAATCAATCTCAGCTAATCCACATAACAGAAAGGTCTGAATATACATGAATTTGCTAGCGGAGGAGAGAGGCCGTGGATAAACAAGCTTTCTGCTCCTCTGTGACTTTTGATACTCTCCCGAATCTAGTGACTCATAGTTTTTTGTCTCGTTTATTCTTAATTGATATCAATTTTACTTCGTCCTTGTAGCTTGGAAGTGGTTGAGGGGTCTGTGGATTACATAATACGATTTGCCAAATTGTCATACATGTCAGGAAGTTGGCTAACTGATCGTCTCGCGCATCATTGATCGTTTAGGGACAGGCCATGCTCTGTTGCAAGTATGACATCCAATAGATCCTTTCCTTATCCTGATTTGCTGTGACATTTACAGCCCTACCAAGTGAAAACTTTACCGACAACTGCTGCTATTGCTCGAACCATTCTGTTTACGCGCGCGCGATGCGACTGGACCAGTGCTTTTTTCATTTTCATTTACAAATAATTTAAGGAGGTTAGTCCTTTAGTAAATACTGGTTTACAAGGGACCCTCCATTTAATTATTTTTATTGCGTTTGCGTATTTTAGGATCGCTTGGTCACATAGAACAAATTTCACTGGCCTTGAAGGAAGCTGTGATCCTACTCCTAAAGCGCTACTTTGCTCCTTTAAAATCTCATCGTACGCACCTAAATTAGGGCATAAAATTTGCTACTGACCAAACCGTCTATCTAGTTTTCTTAGATCTTTTTAATACTAGGACCTGGGTTATGAAATTTTTTTGAAATTTTTCCTAGTTACCTAATATACGGTAATCATGCAATCGTTCGCAAAGTGACTCATTGCTGATTTACTCAATCCATTTGTATTCATATTCCTGCAGGCTTCCATACACACATTGCCATTCATAAAAATATCAATAAGCAGAAACCTAGCCCATATTCTTCGCATTGCGTACAAACCAATGAAGAAGACAGACAAACCATTTTTCCTGGCAAGAACACCCAACTGCATTGTTTCTATTCGTGTGCAATGAGGCGTTTCTATAACAGATGTAATGGCGTATTGATGGAGTATAGGAGTTTTATGGGACCCAAAAAGTACCCCAAAATGGCAAGTTATACCGCCTCCTTTCTTAATTGTTTGGAATAATTCTTCAAGAAACCAGACTTGTTAACTTGCAACTGCAAGCCGCTCTGCGAACAGGAGAGTTACGAAGTTAGAGTAAATCGTAATCCATGGCCGCGAAATTTGCATGGTTCAGCGCTGTCTAATATAATATTTGTTGTGACGTGGCTCTATGATTTTGAAACTGCCTGTATGCATCTTGAGCGTTTGCAATGGGGAAAATTTATGTTGCCTGTTGAAAGTACACTTTCTGTAGCAGAAAAGTAGGCAGCCTAAGTTTTTTGATTTTGTCCCCCTCAAAGCCCAATGGCCAGAGCCACCACTGAGCAACATTAGATTTGCCTAAGCATTCTTTAAGATATATCGATGGCAGGCGGACACTGTCACTGTGGATAGAAAAATTAGATATACATGGATGTTATACTTTTCAAGGAGTTGGTTGACTGAGCTGGCGAATCATCTGTGGACTAGGGTTATGGTACAATCTGTTCAGATATGACATCCAACAAATCCAATTCCATATACTGATTTGAAAGGACCTTCACAGCGTACATAAAGGAGGAAGCGAAAAAAAAGACCGAAATATTTGCTTTATTTTCTTCATTTTGTTAAACTTACATATATAATGTGTTCTTGATGATAAGAAAGAGCAAGAAGAGAGCATATTAAATTTAAAATATTGATCCTTCCAATAAAGAAAAGCAGAAAGAATATAAAAGATAATAAAATTTGAACGAGTAATGATGTTATATACTTTGTTAATTTTGGAGTTACAGTCGAAATATTGTGTTCATTAACTGTGTGTTTTCGAATACAGTAAAAACCCGCGTGTAAGAACCTACTTTTTTGGAGTTTGGCGAAACAGGTTCTTGTATTATAGGGTTCTTTTAAAAAGTTTAGGCTAAATAGGTTCTTAGTTAAGTTCTTAATTTCTTAAAACTAGATACTGCTGTTGATTATCAGAAAATAGCATTATGTCTTAACAGACTAATTTCGCCAATTTGATCCAATATTCATCAAAAAAACCAACAGAAGTGGCAATTTTATCTGAATATAAACACCCTTTTCGTTAACGTATTAGATTAGCTTAGATTTTATTTCAGTTCGTTCTGAACTTGGCTTTTCAACAGTTATCAGCAAATCTATCAGTTTTTACGTTTTGAATATATTATTCTGTATAAATGACTAAATAGAAGAGATGCGATGAAATGAAAACGTACTTTCGCTACTATAGTTGTTTGTAGTGTATCTCATATAGATTATTAAATAAGTATAGTGTAAGCTCGAATAAAGCCATATAATTCAACATTGTGTGTGCTTACCGTATCTACTGTATTATAAGCCGCGACATTACATAATTTCCTTTATATTGTTACCAATGAAAAATGTAGAATTTATCTTTTCTTAAAAATAGTGATATAATTCAACAATGTGTGAAGTCAGCATTGTATCCATTTTTATACAGCGAATGCTTACTCTAACATTATAACGTTTACAAGCTCATACTTTTAGCAACATAGAGTACATAAGATTTGGCATCTTAGAGGGAGAGAACGGATGTTCTTGTCACGATAGTTCGATTTGACAACAAAACTTTATTTCACCGAAAACGCCTTTACTTTATTGCTGCCAAAAAATTTATTACTAAGAAAGCTGAACAAAAGAGCAAAAATTTCAATTAAAGATAACAGCGAAGCTCCCAAAAACAAACCCATTTGCCCCCCTAAGTCACTCGTAAAAGCTGAAAGATCATACACCTCTTTTTCTTCAAACGTTGATTCCACCATCTCATCGTAATAGACACTGAGCCTGATCAGCCTTTCTCTAACCTCATCTGGGCTCACACTTTCTACTCCTTTCATTGCCGAGACGATATGTGACACTGAGGATGCCTGCCAACTTTGCGGCCATGGGTTACGATTTACTTTAACCTCGTAAGCCTCTTCTTCGCAAATGGGACTGCAGTTGCATTTTTGATAATCATACTTCACTATGGATTTTATAATGCAATTCCAAAACTGTGGGTCGCTGTAGTTAGCCACTTTTGGGTACTTTGGGGGGCCCATGAAGCCTCGCATCTCAAAAAATACACCAGGGCATTGTTTATAGGTTTGTTTGAAGAAGCACGAATTGTAACAATGCATTTGAGTGTTCTTGCCAGGATATATGCTCTCTTTGTCTTGTTCGTCCCCTCGAATGCATTTCGACGGGTAGGGGCTGGGTTTGAGTTTTATAATTCTTCTTCTTATGGCAACATGTGTATGAAATCCTTCTGGGATGGGAATTCCATCAGAAATAGGGACATGTTGCTTTGGATCATGTATATGTACAATTACTCCTTGGCGCCTCTCTGTAAGTGGCTCGGCTTTGTTTTCATAAGTGAATTCTTTATCGATTATTTCTTCGTTGTGAAGGATCATGTGCAAACCGTATTTTTCACCGCTGGCATTTTGTTTAAGTGTCGAATTCCTGTTGAGCGTGACACACGGATAAACGTTTGGAAGAATTGAGAATTTGTCTGGGAAACGAAAGTATTCTGGCAAATCCTGACCAACTCCTGATGTCTTTGCATCAAGTGTGCCGATGAACAATCTGCAGGCATAGTAAAACATATGTTTGTTGATTTCATTCACAAAATATTTGTCGTCTATGAAACTACAATTTTTTGGAAAATGCTGAAACACTGGTGCCTCTTCGTCATAAAGCCTTGGCTTGAAGTAATTTGTATGGCAGAATGTGACCGCAGGTAGATGCATGTTGTTGGTAGGTTTTGTACCCACTGCAATGAAGACTTCGTGTCTGTAATACTTGATAAGGCTTTTTGTTGCCGTAAAGACAAGAAATACGAGAGCAGAGAGGCAAATAACCAGCCAGATAACCCTTGACATGTACGTTTTTGATGAAAACACTTTCGGCAGGCCATGGATTGTCAAGGAATCGATATCTTTCAGAATAATATTTTTCTGCTCGGAGTCATGCTTGTTCATTATGGCAACATTTATATTTGCTTCCAAACTTGCTTCTGTTTCGGAGCCTCCATTTCCTCCGTCAAGTCTCACTTCTTTTTGCATGTTCTGTTGGCTCTAATGAACGGGTCGTAAATTCGATTTGTTTTCTCTAGCGTGTTTTCTAAGACAACAACCCACACCTATCTTCTACGCAAGTTTTCTGTGTGCTGTCTCTTATATATTCTTCCTTTACCTTTTCAATATCAACACCTGCATTTGTTTTTTCTTTCTCCGTCCAGTTTATTCCTAAAAACCTATTGACAATGCGGGTATCCTTAGTATTATACTGTAACAACGACAATAAACCGTTTTTGTTTTCTTCAATAAATTTCATCAAATCTATTGGGAATTTTTAATGGCAGGTGATATCTTCAAGCAACATTACAGCAACATGCTACAACAGCAATATGTCTGGATCACAGGCTTTTCTTTCAGCTGATTCTTCTTGGCTGATTCTTCTTGGCTGATTCTTCATGGACAACTGCTGTATTCTTTCAAGAACTATATTCATCGAGCTGGTTTCGAAACGTCAACCCACAGTGACCTTCGCGACGATGCCTTTTGCTGTAACTTCTGCTTTTGTGTTTTTGTTGTTGTTGTTGTTTTGTTGCTGCTGCTGTTTTGATTGAGATTGTTGTTGTTGCTGATGCTGTTGTTGTTGTTGTTGCTGTTGTTGATTATGATGGTTGTTATTGTTGTTGTTGTGAACTTAATTTAATTCGATCTAACATTTCCGCTAACATTATGTGCAAAATTATGTGGCCATACGTCTTGAACCCAATGTTTAGATCGCTAAGCCTTTTGAATTTTCTTCAGTTTCACCTTCAATTGTTCTGAGGAGACCTTGACGCTAATTGATGGAACATAGAATCATACGAGAGAATCACTCTGTCGTGTTTATTAAAGAATGTCGTGAAAAATTGGTTTATTTGGTAAATTGGTTTGTTATTAAAGAATGTCATCTGCATTGCTCGGTCACAGATTTGAGAAGGATCATACTAAAATGAATATGTGACGTCAAGCTTTGACGTTAGAAGTATAGGAAGGCTTCACTCACAGTAATTTCAGAATAGACAAAAAGCAGTACTGATGGCTCAGTGGTTAGGGTTTCGGACTAGATATCCAAGAGCCTGAGACACTGACATGTACAAACTTTCGCCCAGAGTGAAGAGAGGCGCCAGCTCTCTGCACCTCCGGGCGTAGGAACCACGAGGCATGGTCACATTAAGAGGAAGGACCAGGACACTGCTTGATAAGCATTGCTTCTCAGTGTCATAAAACCACCTTCGGATGATAGGTACCGTAAATACAAATTGTAATGTGTGCGGGCGAAAAGCACGTGCAATATTGACTAAGCTCACTGCGCATGCTCCAACGGGGAACGGAGAGGGTTAGCTTATTCGACTGAAAAACTCTCTGTCATTTAGCTAGCTCATCTAATTTTCTACAGCAACTTTAAAAACTACCTAAACATGATGATTCCAGCTGTTCAAGATTTGATTAATAATATGACTACATAATCAAAGATTGCAATATAACTTCTATATATTTTCATTAGGTAATTAGAGATCATGAAAATTATGACTGATCTTGTAGTTGAAAGTTTGCATAAGCAAGTCTAAGTTTAGAAGTATTAGCGTGTTTTTAACTAAACTATTCAACTAAAGTATTTCTTGCCAGCTGCCATTGGAGGCTTTGTAGGGTGTATTTCTGTATAGTTGTCGATCACCAAAAGCGTTCGGTTGGGCCAGTTTTGCAGGCGACTGCATACCACTCTGCTGGCGTTTCTCTACGTGAAGCCTTGAAAGTTGAAACAAAACAGTTTGTAATACTTAGAGGAAGATTTTTAGATCCAAAATTGCTAAGATAAGACATACTGAGATAGGTATCAGAAAGTTACCTGTGAGTTTCCTGAAGATAAGGCATTGCTAACATGAAAGAACAAGCTACATGAAGTTAACGGATGCCGAAGACTAAAGACCAATAATCAAAAGATGTAAAGCCGTACGTATGAGGGTGAAAAGCTGTTCCATGATAATATAAACAAGATCTACCAACAATTGATCAATCATATTTCATCGAGATGTATGTAACTAATAAAAATATATTTTACAAATAAAAATTACTAATAAAAGAATGGAGTCAGGGACAGAACAGAGGAAACTGCAGCACAATATCAGTTCTTTAACGATTCATGGCTTACCAAAGGTGTTTTCAGTAAAGGCATATTGTTCTAAACTACTATGGTTGACTTTGTGCAGTGCAGCTTTTATATCCTTGTTTTATACAAGTGCAATATCTCTAATCAAGTACTTCAGGTATGACGTTTTTCTATCTTTTGAGAAGAAGCCAACAAACAGCCTAGCGCTTCCTTCAGTGACTTTCTGCAATACAAATCTTTACAATCCATCTATGTACATGAACGAGGCACCTGTGTTTCAGCATTTGCCAAAAAATTGTAGTTTTACAGACAGGAAATACTTTGCAAATAACATTACCAGAGAAATTTTTCAACACGGCTGTAGATTGTTCATTGGCACATTTGATGCAAAAACATCAGGAATGCGTCGAGATATGCCAGAGTATTTCCGTTTCCCAGAGAAATTCTCAATTCTTCCAAACATTTACCCGTGTTTCACCTTGAACAGAAATTCTACCCTTAGGCAGGGTATCGGCAGTGAAAAGAATGGTTTGCAAATGATACTTTACAACGATGAAATTGCTGACCATACATTTGCTAATGGACACGAAGAGGAACCGCTAACTGAAGTGCACCAAGGAACTGTTGTTCATATTCATGACACAAAGGTTCATGTGCCAATTTCTGATGGAATTCATATTCCTGCAGGCTTCCATACACATATTGCCATTCATAAAAATATCAATAAGCGGAAACCTAGCCCATATTCTTCGCATTGCGTACAAACCAATGAAGAAGACAGACAAACCATTTTTCCTGGCAAGAACACCCAACTGCATTGTTTCTATTCGTGTGCAATGAGGCGTTTCTATAACAGATGCAATGGCGTATTGATGGAGTATAGGAGTTTTATGGGACCCAAAAAGTACCCCAAAATGGCAAGTTATAGCGCCTCCTTTCTTAATTGTTTGGAATCATTCTTCAAGAAACCAGACTTGCTAACTTGCAACTGCAAGCCGCTCTGCGAACAGGAGAGTTACGAAGTTAGAGTAAATCGTAATCCATGGCCGCGAAATTTGCATGGTTCAGCGTTGTCTAATATCGTTTCGACAATGAAAGGCGTAAACAAATCGAATCCTCAAGAGGCTCGAAAATATTTGGCGAAAGTAACGGTATATTACGAGGAAATGACAGAAAATATTTTTGAAGAAAAAGAGAAATATGATTTTTCAACTTTTATCAGTGAAACCGGAGGGCAAATGGGGTTTTTTCTGGGAGCTTCACTTATGTCTTTTATTGAAATATTTGCTCTGGTGTTGAGTTACATGAGGGATAAACTTTTAGGTCCAAAAGAAAGGAGAACAGTTTCTACAGAATAATACGTATATATATATATTTTTAACAGTCGCCCTATTCGGTGTTTTTGGGTGTTCTTTGTAAATGTTCATAAATATTAGCAATATTTATTTTTTAAGCTACTTGTCTTACATATATAAAATATATAAATATGTATAAAATTATAAGATTATAGTAAATATCCTTTAGCTGTTAATTATGTCACCTTAGCAGCTGTTAAAATTGTTGTTTCGAAATACATTAAAGGTATTTATGTTCAAGTATTTGAGTATTTAAAAACTTAAAATGGGACATTAAAAATGCTCCAGTCAACTCTGTGTAATTCAATTTGTCCAAGGAACCGTTAAAATGCTCGAATTATGAAATGTTCGACTTATACGAGTTCTTAAAAGATCCAAGGTTTTGCCAAAAGCCTAAAACAAACGGTCAGTTTTTATCAGTTTTTAACTGTAAGTTTTCAGTCTTCAGTCAAAAACTGATCTTGTATTTAAAAAAATTGACAAAAAATGATGCATTATTGACTGAAGAAGTTGAACACTTGCAGGCTAAAATATTTTAAGCCGGCACCATTGTAGTACCCTAGCGCAAGATACACATTTCTCAGAGCAACGTTGACTTGAAAATAAGGAAAAGCTACAAGCACAGATGAATTTATATATGCATGGAAGTACGAAAAATTATTATGAAACGTCAGATTCAAAAGTAATTTCGATATGCGAATAGTTTGAAAACGATTTTTTTCGGTATTTTCCCCTTTTCTTGTCAACCAAAGCTGCAGCAAAAAACCTGCAGTTCTTTCACGATCAATCTCCATATCAAAACAGAGTGAGCTAACTGAAGAAAACTGATCATATATAGAGATCAGTTTATTCAGTTTATTATAGAGGCTATTCGCAAGGGTTTGTTAAGAGATTCTCAAGGGACCTGAGAATTTTGTTCGAATTAGCAGAATTTCGAATTAAAGGAGTTTAAATTAAACAGATATTTGGATTTGTGAGAGTATATACTTAGAAAACATTTTAAAGTGTCAATGCAGGAAAGAAGGGACACCTTTATGAGCTGTAGATAGGCACATTTCTGAATAGTGGGTGTTTGGGGTGAGTTGGGTACACTTGCTTGGAAGGATGGGTTGGGTTCACGTGCTTGCTAAGGAGAGCCAGGGCAGAACCCTTCTTTGCATTTTGAAGGTAACGTCTGCGCACAAACCGGATATAGGAACTCTGGAGAAACCCAGTACGCAGTTCCTTACGACGGGAGTTCGTTTAACCAAGCAAGAATTCCTTTACCAATTTGTTAAATAGCATTGAGGGGACCAGTGTGTTTGTTCGTCATATCAAGAGGAACGTTTTATCGGGTGCTCGTTAACTCTATCAGCACCTGACGGCCGGTGTCATATGCGTTTCGGTAACCTTATGCATTTCGGTCTGGGTACACAAATACATGGCGCTGACTACAGATCCAAGGTTCCTTGGTTCCTTGGGACTCGCCCTGGCATGACCAAACTTTCAACCAGAGTGTCGCCAGCTCTATTGCGTAGGAACCACGAGGTGTGGTCACATCGAGAGGAAGGACCATGACAATACTCAATAAGCATAAGCTTCTTAATGTCCTTAGAAACAATCTTCGGGTGCTAGATAGAAACAAACACAAATAACATCGCACTACGATGAAATCACATGATTTGAAACATTTTGCGTTTCACAATGTTACACTTTTGCATAGGGTACCAAAACGCATATTACACCCGGCACTGCAATTAAGGATCTTTGTATAAAGACCATCTTTGCAAACGCGTTGCTTGGTTACAAGGCCTTAAAAATACCTAGGTGCTGCTTCACTTTTAACGTTGACCTGGCATGAATACTTTGAAAACTGTTTTTTTTAGTTAAAAATCAGAATAATTTGGTAACATTGGCATAGGTTTATAAGCCTTGCTATAAGAATAGCTAAGTGTTTTTGATGTTTTATTGAACTGAATATTAATCCTTTGTTCTACAATTGCTTAAGAATGAATTCATCTCATTTTTTCACCTGGTAATTTTGATCAATGATTTTCAACTTAATGAAAATCAAAAAATTTTAAGATTAATTGATGCTGAAACCGCTTTTCATCAGACGGCAACGGAATAAGCTATGTTGACCTTAGGATCAACAGAATAAAATATGAATTTGGGCACCATATCCTAACTAGGCGTACTTGCCATGCAAGCCATGTTGACAAAAACTCGCATCATTTATTGAAGAATCGCACGAGTTATTAAAGTTATTCTGTACATAAACAATAATAAAGAAAATCAATGTTAATTGTCTTTCTTTTGGGATGCAAGCAATCCATGATTTTCTGCCTCGAGTTGTTGATAAGGGAAAAGCAATAAGGGGTGTGTATGTGCAATCTTTTGCACTTTCTCCTTCACTCCTCGAATTGACAAATGCTGTGACTCAATTAATGTTAATTGGTTTCTATAGACCTTATTATGTTTCCGTTTATTGTGCTTTATACCCAAAATTACCTTTTGGAATCTACGTATATCGCTTCAGTTTTCCATCAGTTCATATGTGATCCTGCTGGGATGACAAAGATTCTGAAGAACTGAAATCGTCTTGTGACAAGAAGGCCTTGATGTAGATCCCAGAGAACTTGTATTTATCTAACCCTAAATTTTCTCTATTTTACTCAGTTTTTCTGTATCTACCCACAAAGTGTGTTTCAACTGTTTAAGACAATGGTTTATTGCCCTTCCCTTTACAGAAAAACAGGCCTGCCCTCCCCTCCCAATAGCTGATCTCTCTTCGAAAAAGCTCTGTGACATTTGTAGATTTCAGCTCTTTCTACTGAAATATTCAGCTACTCATTGGAACTTCTTTCAGCTTTCAAATTTTATTGCTTGAACATTGTCTTTCCAGTCGCGCTCTTCTTGATCTTTTGTTTTTATTTTTGTAAGAAATACAATAATAAAATTACTTTAAGTGAAGAGAAAAAAAGTTTTTGTTGTCGTTGATTTACGTTTGATGTCAATATCTAGTTTTTATTTGTTAGGATTGCAAGGAATGCTTCAACTACCTTAAAAAATTGATGTTTTTGGATGTTTTTGGATACCGATATCTTTAAAGGCATTTGACACAGGTCAAAGTGGCTTACAGCCACTCGACCACGAGCGGTTGACCAATCAAATTGCACACAGAGAAAAGCACGTGAACAGTTTCTGTCTTGCTTCGAATCGGTGAAATCCTAGAGCAACGCGCAGTGGTTTCAGGTGATCGGCTTTCAATACCTTTCTTGTGCGCGTGCTCTGATCAATTTGGCCCAAGTTATTTTTGGATTCGCTGTACTTATGCACGTCAAATGCCTTTAAAGGCAACGTGTTCATATAAAAGGACTGCGTATACCCAACTTGTCAAGTAATATCAAAATAACGGCTTGTGATTGGTCAGTATTCTTGCGATGCAAAACTGCTCACATGAAAAGCAAACTTCGCAGAAGGGTAAATACACAAAATGACCGTAATGGCTGGGGTGATGATATGAAAAATCACATGTTTCTCAAAACCCCCGCAGAGTTGCTTGCTTTAGCTGGATACTTTTAACCCTGAACAACTAGCAAACAGCAGGACATCTTGTTTTTACTTTCTCTTTAGATTATGCTAACCATTACGTAGATGATTATGCAGAAAGAAGGCCTTGCCACCCCCATCAAATAAACATCAAATCTGTTTTCCCTGTTTCTCACAAGCTAGTCACCAAATTATGATTGTCCTAGCAGATCTTTCCCATGCATGTATAAAAAACAAGGTGAAAAAGTATCACGCAGCTGCTTTAAAGGAAAATCCATAGTTAAACTTTGTTAAATTAAGTGTGAGAGAAAAAAGACTGACCATTTGCACACAAGTTTGCACGCATGAAGAATGCAGAACTGGCTTGTCTCCCGTAAGTCAATGATATGTCAAAAGTTTGTTTGGACTCATTTTTGCTTTTTCTATGGAATTTATAAAAAAAGGTTTTCATTTTTTTCTAGGCTTGAATAGAATTTCTTGGATATGTAAACGTTTGTTGATTTGTAAGTGAAATGTAATTGGTGATTGGTAGCCCGATGTAAACTTATTTATTCTTTTGAGATACGTGAATGGTAAAAATTTAGTTTGAAAGACGCAAAATTTATCTATCAATGAGAGCAAAGGTTTTGAAAGACGTAGAACGCAAAGCGTGTAAATCAGTATAAATCTGTCATTTAGCATAAGAAATAAAGATTTTCTAGCAAAAAGATCAGCTACCTTTAGCTCGTGGAAGTTTAATGGACTAAACCAATACAAAAAGGTACGGACGTTTTGAGGCTTGATCTTATGGCATCATACTTGGTAATCTTTGGCTATCCCTTTTCCAGGCTGCTCACTCTTACAAATACAAACGGACAAGCAGTGAAATAACAAAGAAACAGGTATTACTACGAATAAGTACATTGACACTAACGAATACTTTCATACATATGAGACATGGGCAATGAGCGACGACAAAATTGTATTGAGAAACTCAGATAGAGAAGCAGAGGAAGACAAAAAGAATGTAGGTCAAGGAGAGTACTCGAAGACGACTTTTAGCCGCCAATTAGAAGTGAAGCGATATCAGCTTTGCCAATCTCTTAGTCCCAAATTATTAGAGGAACATATAGATTTTTATTTCAATGATCAACCAGTAGTATTATTTGAATTCAGCTTGGTTTTTTTTAATTAAATGTGCACGGGAGTAGGAGCTGGTCTAAACAAGCCCACAGAAGGTTGTTTAGGCATGAACTGCGAAAAGACCTAAAAAACTTTTTCTCCCGGTTTAAAGAACTCCCGATATAACCAACTTTTCTCTGGTTCCATAAAGACGGTATTCGTTAGTGTCAGTGTACTCATTCGTAGTAATTCCTGACGCAATCAATATGTTCATAGTTCTTTGTATCGGGATTCTACTGTAGTTCTTAAAAATAAGCTTGAACTTTATAAACTTTGCGTTGTATTCATTTTTAGAGAATTTGGACAAATTCTGAAGGCTTTTATCAAAATAAAGCGCAACGAATCTGTATCCTAAGAGTATTTAAAACCTAAGAGTATTTAAAACCATACCTAAGAGTATTTAAAAGATGAATGGAAATGGAAAGATGCTTGGCTAATCTACGCTTGGAACTTTACAGGTGTCAATCATGGGATGTTCAGCCTCGATTGGGCACTACGCTCAAGCGACCGACCCAGAATTCGATAGAGGGTTTGTTATCTTGCTTCTTGGAACGGCCAACTGTGGGAAAACAACGCTTTTAAAGCAGATGAAAATAATACATAAAAATGGTTTTCTTGATGAAGAAAGGAGGGAATATTCTCTCTTGATTAAAAACAATATTTTGGAGAGCATGCTCACCATAGTCGATATCATTATGCTGGATTCCGAGTTATGCTTTAAAGATACAATCAATGAGGACAGTGCCACACAGCTGAAGCACATGCTCAATCGACCTGTGGACCAGATAGACATACTTGCCAACCTTTCTATCGTGGAGACCTTACTAAACGACCCAGCCGTAGAACAATGCATGTTCACACATCGCTCATCGATCCCGAATTTCGAGGCTGTTAGTTACTTCTTCAACGAAATTGAGCGTATATGCTCAGATGATTTCATACCAAACAATGACGATATACTTCATACTAGACTATCCACAACAGGGGTTAATGAAGTTAACTTTGATTTTGGCAGCCAGAAGCTAACTCTGGTCGATGTTGGAGGGCAAAAGACCCAGAGGGACAAATGGGCTCGTTGCTTCGACGGGGTTCACTGTCTTATATTTTGTGTTTCACTGGATGACTATGTACGCAATTCAAAGGTAAATGTTGTATTTGTTGTTTTCTATCTTTTTTCAATGAAGCACCAACAATAAATAAGAAATAATAGCAATTGCTCGAATGATAGGTACCTCTCTGTCGCTAGGAAATGGCAAGATGACATTGAGCAGCAAATTGCATTGCTTTCATTTTAAATTTCCTCCGTGTGAAACTCTATAAGTACCATTTCTCTACAGAAAAGCAGAAAATTCAATGCTTAGAAGACACACGTATACAGGTACTTTTGAGTCCGCATATTTTTATACGATGACGTAATACTGGCTTCAGTGCACGATGGCGCATTCTCTAAATGAGATTTCAGGCATAGGAGCTGTGAAAAATTCAGTGAATCTAAATTTTTGTGGATGGCTGAATTCGATTTGAACACGCTACATATGTATTGTGGACCCAGAAAAAATTAATCCACAAAGAAAAGTTTGTGGATTCAAATGATTTGAATCTACATGGTATATTTTGAAAAGCAATAGGAATCAAAATTACTTCATTTTCGCACTGTAGCAGTTCGTACACAGAGAAGTTCTACTGGTTTATTCCCACATGTCATCTGTCTTCAAGAGATATTTATTGACCATCTAACGATGTACCCAAACAACTATCAAAGGTGAAGGTTAGGAAGAGATGTCACATTTCTAATTTGATAATTCTGATTCGAGGAAGCAAAACTAAGGAATGCACGTTTTTTGGTAATCTGTTAGATCTGGGGTGGCACCATAAATTTTCTGGCGAAGGGATGAGGCTGACTATGTCGAAAAGGGGTAGGGGCAAAGTATCGAAAAGGAGTAGGGGCACAATGATTATGGTCTTTCAACGGAGCTTGGGCGATAGTCCCCTAATCTTCATTGCAACGATTGAATCTTTCGTTTGCTCTGAATTCCTCTTCTGAGATCTTCAGACAGACATTAAAACCTTAGTACTGATCTCCTTCAACCTTATGAAACTGTTAAAAAATCAAAGATTGGCTGGAAATGATTGTCTTCGATGTTTGAGCACCTATTTACTGCTTAGTTTACGCAAATAAATAGAAAGAGGAGCTCCTTGGGGTTTATAAGGTCTTCTACTTTATGTCATGCCCATAAGGAGCTCTTTAGCATTTGGTATCTAAGATACCTTCAAAAGACTTCTAGTACAGAAATCAACAGAGAATGGAAATTTGAATGCATTTGAATTGATGTTAAGTTAAGATGCAATATAGAAACTTACAGGGTGTCTTCCTAAAACTTTGAGGTGTGGGCTGTGATGTAGGCAAATTTTTAAAGCCACAATCAGAATACATCTATTGTAATACTCAGTATACACGTAAAAGAATTTGCTGCTGTGTGTATGAAATAATTTAAACTGCTTATCTACTACAAACGGATGAAAAAAGTTGCTCATTCACGGAATATCAATAGCACGTAAAGGGTTATTTCACATTGCCAGGTAAGGTATTCACCCATCTAAACATGCACTGGCTATTTGAGGGGGCTGTGCCCCCAAATCACTCTGAATTTTAACAAGGGGGATGATCCCCAACCCCTTCCATCACACCCCTGTATAAGCTGATATTAAATACGTAACGTTTCATAGACACTTGGATTTTTGCAGGATAACCCAAACATGACGGCGTTGGATGAAAGCCTAGAGGTGTTTGAAAAGATTGTCAATAATAACTGGTTTAAAAGTAAGGAGATCCTGATTTTCCTCAACAAAAAGGACATTTTTGAAAACACACTAAATCGTCATCCTCTTTCAAGATATTTTGCAGACTTTGATGGTAATTCAGAGAGCTTTGATGACTCTTACAAATACATTATGGCTTTGTATTTAGCACGGAATGAAAACGTAGAAAGGAACTTGTATATCCATGCAACATGCGCTGTTGACACAAGAAATGTGGAATTGGTATTTTGTGTCGCCATGGACTCAGTCCTAAAGCAAGGAGCACAACAGTTTGGTCTGTTTTAAAAGGAAAACTCTAGAAACAAAGAATGACCGAAGAAACAGCTAGCGAGTGCATTTTGGAAATACTTCGATGATCGGTAGATTGCAATACATTTGCGAAGTGCTGCTGAACAGCAGGAAAAATTGAGAGAGTATCATTAGAGAATTTTTAAAAAGCAATTGCGAATCATTAGGTTCTTGCTGAGAAATTCTACAAATCATGTGAGAACAGAAGCATAGATGACGTGTTTACATGACTTTCTCACAATTCTGTTGACTCATTTTGTGGAGATCTTTATTTGAGATTATTGGGAGAAATTTGACTGTTAATTTTTAGCCATTTTTCAACTCTAGAGGTGGGGTAGGCTCTGCAGCACTGGAGTTCCCTTGCCTCTCTTAACGTCTTAAAAATTGTTACAATATCACCCATAACGTACAAATTTCTCAAGTGTTACACCTGTGATTGGAAATAACTAGTTCTACCTGAAGAGAAAGAACACAAGATAACGGAGAACTCTCTTGAACAGGAGTGGCGGCATGGGGGGGCAAGGGGGGGCTTTAGCCCCCCCTAGATTTTTGTTAGTCCCCCCGTCGGCAGCCAATCAATTTTTGCTTTCTCAATACCGTCGGCACTTGATGGATGTCACCCGGTTTACATGTTGTTTAAATGAAATAAATAATCGAGGAGAAAACTGCACTGGCTGGTTTATGGTTTTCTCAATGGCTTTTCTTCGGCAATTTTATTATCAAAGTGGCATTATATCCTGTCGCTTCCGTGAAAGCTGTGACTTAATTTCATGGTGCTCCTTCGCATGACCCAAAATACCATGGTGCTCCTCTCGGTTGAAATTCCTGTTGCTGCTTGGAATTCAGGCGAAACGTGCAGATGCTTGATTTGGATCATGTTTTGGACCGTTTCAAGGAAATTTACCCTAACAACAGCAAAATCACGCTGTCATAAATAAAGTCTTTAATGAATTTTCTTCTTAAGGGATTTTCTTTTCGTTTCAAGACATTATTATTGCCAATGAAAACATTTCGATCATGAGCACATTTTGCGTAATAAATTTTTCAAAAAGCACTTCTTGTCCTTTTTCATAAACTATTTTTCAATAGCATTGTTCACCGCATAGCTTGCGACAAACAAATGGTTTAGAGAAAACCATTGATTAACTTCTTCCGCCATAGATAGGAAGAAATATTCAACAATAGGCAATATTTGCGCATTAAGTTTCTAACAAGGCACAAATTGCCGAGAAAATCTGGTGGACTCCGACACAGGTTGGAAAGTGGGGGACGGGAAGGGGGCAAGGGAGAATTTTGCACCCACAACAAAAGATTTTGGAAAAATGCTCTATTGCTCAATAGGAAATTTCAGGTAAAATCCGCTCGGTGGAAGAAACGCTTTAGGTATTTCAGAGACCTTCCTGTCATAAAATCAATAAAGGATCAAGCAATCTTAGGTAAAATTGTGCCTCGTGTTCATTTCTCCTAAAGTTTCTCAGTAGAAGCGTCAACTGCAATTCACTATGAGCTCCACATTCAAAAGGCATGCTAAGATGGAGAGAGGGATCTAAATTTAGAAGTAACTGACAACCTGGTATTTTTCAAGACCACGGCGAAATTGTTGTTTTTATCTGCTGTAAAAAAGTTTTGCAAAAAGACAATAATTTTCAATGGGATTAGGAGGATTGCTTTAGTGGAATCTGCTTAAAAGAGTACATTTTCCAGGGAACTAGAAGCACCACAATTCGAAAATTTCCTCCCCCTTCGGCGGCAACCATGGTGCCGCCTCAGGTAGTAACTATATATTTTGCCCGTCCCGATATAGAGATTTGACAAGACTATTAGGAAAGTCGGTTATCTTACAGAGTTAGATTGACAAAATGTATTGCAGAGGTTTGTGGCACCAGCTAAAAAGTTTCAGGCAATAATTTTTTAATCAGGTAAATTTGCATTCCCCCCCCCCCCCCCCCCAACGAGGCTTGCCTCGCGACGGCCCTGCCTGCTATTATATGGGGCAAATAGATTTTTTTTCTGTCGGCAATTTGACACATCCAGCGTCGGCAGTTACGGAGAATATAATCTTCGGCACCTTGAAGGTTTGTCTCTAGCGCCACCCCTGCTCTTGAAGTAGAAGCGAAGTATAATGTTGTTTTTTGAATCGTAGAAACAGTCTTTTTTCAAAACACTTATTGTTGTTTTCACATATTATAACTATATTAAATTGTTTTACTTATAGGTTATCTATGGAGGTTTTTCATTTAAGTTCAGTCAGCCTGCTGTGTGTCTTAGTTCTTCAAGATGTGGTTTCGTGTTAGACCTTCAAGATATTACGACCACGGGGCCCTCAAGGACTTCATTGCCAGGGGTGGGGTGTAGCCTAGAAGACTTAGAATATTCAATTATATCAATGCTACTCGATAATCTACTTGATGGGGACCAGTTTGATTTGCTTTTCACTAATGACGAATTCGAAGAATAGGACAATGGCTGCTTAGGGAAGTGTAAAGTTTGTATATCCTTCATCAGCGGTTATGTAGAATATCAACGGGAAGCACCACCCCTGTTGGAATACATCGTGAAAAATAAAAGTAACAGTCTGAATTTTTGTCATAGTAATAAAAGAAAACAAGTTTTGTCATCGTAAAAGTCTTTCAGTATCATAATATTTTCATGGCAAATGTTGAGCTATTTCTGGGAAAATTCATCAAGGTCAAAAACATACCTTGTCTGTATCAAAAGGTCAGATGAGAAAAGTTTTCTTAAAAAGAATAAATTTATAAACATAATCTTTCACTATCAAGCAAAATAATTATATCTTTCTTCTGCCACTGTTGGACTATTGAGTTACCATATTTTGTAGTAGCAGAAGAATCCATGCAAATACTTTAACTACCCTTTTAGATAATCTGGGGCCTTGTAGGAAGAGATGAAACTAAGGGAAAAATCATTGCTTAAGTTTTGAGTGATTTTTACACTTTAGTCACAACTGATAAATTTAATGCTGCTAAAAGTTTTTCGAATTAATGGAATATTCAGTCAATCCATCGCTCTATAAATAGCGATACGAGCTTGTCAAAAAAAATTCGTTGACAAAGAGAAGCTTCTTCAGGATTCAACGCTTAATTGCAAGTAAGATAATACCGAAAATGAACAACTCAGTGACAGTGAAGATTAAGGAGAAATTAACGACACGATAGCTTATGATCTTGAAATTGTTATCTAGACAAAATAAGCTAATGTAAATGTGTTATGGTTTCAAGTTTGAATGTTGCAGAGAACTTACAGACCAAACTGATTCAATAATTTATTTTTCCAAACCAGATGATCCTAATTTCATCCCTCTCCCTAAATCAAGAGCCCAAGTGCTGACAGCAGTGCTAGTTTATGTCCACTGGAGATGATATTTTGCTAAACATGCATAAAAAATAAACTTGATCTATTTATAGGACATTCAGCGGATAAAGACCCCTGTATTTCGGAAAAGCCTCCTCTCCCACCCGATCAACATTTAGTTTTGAATTCTACACCAAAAACTAGACTAGAAAGTGTTGGTTTGTAAAGTTCCTCTTCGGGTGGACATGGGACAGCCAGGACCGCGGAGAGGATTTATGGGCCCCGGGTCAGGAAAAAAGATAAATAGTAAAGCATGCCTAAGGCAGACGCTTCTAAAGGGTACGGGGAATGTTCCTCCTGGAGGGGGTACGGGGAATGTTCCTCCTGGAATTTTTGAAATTGATGATTGCTTAAATTGCTCTCGTGGCTATTTTGGTTGCTAAAATTGCTATGATGGCTAATCTGCTTTGGTGGCAGTGGCGCAGATAGAGGGGGGTCAGATGGGGCAAAAAACTCCTGTTGAGCTAAACTGCTATATTATTGGAAATCCTCTGGTCTTGTCGGAAATTTAACATGGTTGTCTATGTTTATTTAATTGCTATGTTTTGATAGGAAAGAATTTAAAGCTGAATAAACATAAGAATATCTGAATATATCAAAAGATTTAATTATTCCAGTTCCTAAGTCGTTATGTTATGTTAAAACTTGTCAAAAAATACAATTGCTTCTTGTTAGATTTAAGTTTCTCACATTCCTACGGATTTTCCTATCTAAGCCATTGTCTGGTGGCTATTTTTAATTCTGTTTGCTGTTTGATATAATTTGAGTATAACTGATATCTTAACACCAAAACGAATAAAAATGAAAATTTCTTTAAAAATTTTGAAAGTCTTAGAAAATGAAAAATGTTTAATTCGTTTACTGAATTCGATCACAACCGACACACTGTTGCAAATAGATGCGCATGCCATAGTTTAAGTCTGTATGACATACATATTGCTGTATGTTGCCCTGTTGCAATCACATTTTCTAGTTACATTCAGAAGCTTTTCAACCGCAAAGATGAAAAATTCTCAACAAAAATATATTTAACACTCAGGCAGTCAAAGACTCAAACTGCTTCTACCTTACTTCATTCATAGACTTTTGTCACTATTGTCTCTACTAATGACGGTAATGGAGAGGTTGGATTATCACTTAGAATTTTATTAAATTTGTTTTCTCTTTATGGGCCCCTAAAGCAATGGGCCCCTGGGTCAGTGACCCCCCTGATCCCCCTCTCCTCAGCACTGGGGACAGCTCATTCACAGGCTGCGTCCTAGTGTTTTGACAGAACCCCCCTGTATCTACCAAAATCTGGTCCAGAAAAAGTAAAAAGTTTGAGTCCCAATCCCAATAGCCTCTGCGGAGAAGAGTAATTATTTTGGTGGGAATGTTTATGGAGATGAAAATTGAATTGAATTACTGAAGTTCAAAGATACTCTGAAATAGCCATAAGTAAATGGAAAGTTAAGAGTAACAACTGGAATAAAGTAATGAATAAATGTAGAGTATTTATAGTCATAATCCTGTTTTCCTCGTCGTTTATTTTCATTCAGACATTGATTTATGGATTGCTTAACAACTGGGTAAGTATGCATAAGGTTGATATTCACATCTAGGCCTAGGCCCTAAAATATGCAGCTTTCAATTCTGTTTTATTTCTTTTTGTTGCGAGAGATGGGATGGAGGCTTTGCTCAAACCTGTGTGTATGCAATGGGTATGTTAATTTTTTGACTAAACCCCAGATGCCTTTACAGTTGCCTGATGATTACATCAAGTGTGAAACTTGAAGTTCAAACTTGCAAACCCCCTGTTCTATACATCAAAGCATAAAGAGCTCCTTTATAGCACGAAGCACTTTATGACAGACAGTTACAAAATTTATTTGAATAACCTCCAGATTGGATGTAGGAAGGCTATGTAGCAAGGATTGGCAACAAACTAAAGGAAATACTTGTGTCTTATTTCCCATGGAATGAAACTCTAATAAATTGGGGTCCATTTGCTCATATTGTCAAGCAAACATGGTCAACTGCTCCTCCCCCCCCCCAAATGTGTAAACTTATAGATGGTAAATTAACTTTTTGATTGTCAGAACCAAAACGAGCAGTTTTTCTATTTGTCTTATTCGAACATGTTCATTTTTGTTTGTATTAAATTTTAAAATGTAAAAATCAGTTAAATTTTCTTCAGGACTTGTTGGCTTCTTTGAATCTAATTGCCATCAAGAGGAATCATATAGATGTCAAAAGAAGAAGTAAAGATGTGAGAGTGAGTAACTTTTGCCTTGAGCAAAAATATTATTGAGCAATGTGCAATGTTGTTGAGCAATATAAATAATCCTATGTGCTCTTTTCAAAAATATCAGAAATGGACAGTTTATAATAAGGAATGTACATATTTAGTAATTTTGAATTGTTTTCATGGCAGCATTATGAAAACTTTTTGGAAAATTAGCCATTCATGTCTCTCTCTTGATAAAGCACATGTAAAATTATCACCTTAATGAGCAGCTTGGACATTCAGATATAATTTTGTCACTTGCCCAGTGTGGGAAGACAATAACAAAACTTTAAAAGGTGCAGGATCATAGATACTATTGTAAATAGGCATTAGTCTGAACCATATTTTTTAAAAAGTAATGCAATAACTTTTTCAAATATCTCATAATCTAGAGATAAATTACATCCAGAATGATTTTTTAAGGTCAACTGCTTGATTACTTCAGTCTAAATTGAAACCTATAATCATAAGCTACTTTTTACTAGTCTGTGTGACCTGTGACCAGAGAAATAAAATCTCATTTTCTTATAGATTTTACCATATAGTTATTGCTCTCAGGACATCAGAGATATGATCCCAGGTCCACCAGTGGCATAGCATGAACTTTCTCCCTGGGGGGGTGTGGGGGGGGAGAGTGGGAGGGGGGAGGTGGGTGAGGTGTATAAAGAGATGCAAAACCATATTTTGCCATTAGAATTCCTTTTGTTACATTGAGCATGAAATTATTTTGTTGTGAATGTAATTCTACAGCTTCTATAGAATTTGAGAGGATTGACACCCTACACCCCATTGCAAGCTACGCTCCTGAGGTCCACTTTCCCAGTACTTACCCTTTCCAAATCTCTTGTTCAAATTCACAACATCTGTCCCCTATCTATTCCTTCCTCCCTAGATCTTGTTAACTTTGGAATGCTATAGTATAGTATACCCCCCTTCCACCTTCTTTAGACTCTTGGAATAAAGACTCATACAACCAGTCTTTATTCAAACAACAATAAACAAGCTTGATATTTCTTATCTCTCTTCCTAACCCCTCCTCCCTTTCCCTTGTTTGGGCTTAGCTATGGGCTCCCAAGCCTTTCCCTAACATTACCAACTAAAAATCAATGTCTGATAAAAGCTTGTAATTAATAATACAAATAATAGCAAGACTGATATAAATGATAAATAATGACTTCATCTTTATACAGTATTATGATAATAACAACTTTTTATACATCATATGTATTTACCTATTGTGTTTTTAGGATGCTGTTTCAGAGTTTTTGAATGCATGTGGAAAGCTACCGTTAAAAGTTACATTAATTGATCAAAAAATACTGGGACACCTTTTGGAGAGAATAGAAAGATTTTCAAAGGATGGAAGGACGGAGAATGATGGACATGGAGGGTGTCATTACTTTTGCTCTCAAAATGTCATCACATTTGGGACCTTTGAGCCAACTTTTGAGGACAAAATGCAGTGGGTATGAGCTGTTTTTATCTGTAACTTGTTCATTTTTCATGCAAATTAATAATTCTAAATATATTCGGATCAGTTCTCGGCAGGATCAATTCTGCATTTCGTCTAAATCTGATGAGAAAATGTTGGGGGAGGGGTAATATTTTGGGAACGTACTTTTTGTGATGTAGTACTTATGTGATTTTCAAACTGCCTTTACATAGCAAAAAGTGAGTCATGGGCGTTCCTTTCAGGTAAAAATTGCGTTTCTTAATAATTTTTTTTTTAAACATCTCATTTTCATTGAATACATTTTAAATTTACAATTATACGACTCGCTTTTACAGGCATCATATAATTGGCTTATCTGCATTACAATATTTAAAAGTCAATTAGTTCGGGGCTTAGCCATGGTTTGTTTCGACGACAGAAGATATAGTAGGTGCAGCGGATAGAAATGTTCATGAGTTTCATCAAGATGGATTTAGTTTGATTTGAGTCAAAATTAAGTTGGTGTAGCATGTCAGAGAGAGAGGTAGATGAGGTTCCTAGAATGCCAAGGGCACTCATAGAAAGGTTAACAAAGGTAACACGTTTATAGGCAGGGCTCAGTTCCTTGATAAGGTCGCTATATTTCCTAGTTTTTCGTGTACTGTTTTCGTCAATGTTGCTTTCGAACCCAACAGTAAGCTCTAGCATGTAAAGGATTCGATCTTCAGTTACGAAGACAAGATCTGGTCGATAGGAGTCACCTGTGATTAAAGAAGGTGATAGAAATGAAGGCAGGTTGGCGTAAAGTGAGCTGTTTCTAGGTGTTGAAAGGATTTTAGCCAAATATAGAAGTACAGAATCATGTCTCCAGGTATACCTACCATGTTCAAGATACTTTTTGCAGCTAGAGACTATGTGCTGTAATGATTCTGATTGGAGACAGAAAGAGCAGGCAGATGACTGAGTAATTGACCATTTGCAGAGGTTTTTCCTAGTGGCAAGAGTGTTGTTTAGGTATTTGATGGTAAAGTTGTAAATGTTTTTTGGTAACTTTTGCTGGACACTAGACCAAAGTTGATTAGTTCCCTTAGAAGCAAATTTTAAGATGCACGAGATAATAAATCCTTGAGATGTAAGAACATTTTCAATGCGATTTTCGTGTTCACTTTGGATGGATTTGAGAACTTGTTTGGTGTTGCGATAAACGTCATATTGTATAATAATAATAATAATAATAATAGTAATAATAATATGATGTATTTAATTGATCTAGCCTATAATAATTTATCTACAAAGAGAAAAGTTCTTTACAATTGGGCCCACTGTCCAAGTAACGTAAAAATTAAATTCAAAAGTAAAAGCTTGTCAGTAAAAGGGCGTTTTCTGGTGCTAAAAGAGGCATGGTCTAAAATCTTTTGTTTTGGCCCCCCCCCCCAGAGCATGGTGGCTGGCACCGCCATTGCCCCTCGACATTGTAGGTCCACAAACACTGTTAAAACAAGCGATTCTGCCATCAGTCAACATCTTTTATATCACCCATTTTGTGCAAACTCTCTAATGACGACATGTTTCAGATATTTGGCAGAGCCTTGTCGTCTTTCCATCTAGCAGTTTTGGAATCAATCTACATACAAACAAAAAAGCCGCCATTTTGTAAACAGAAGGAGTTTGTTTTCTCTTTTGGACTCCATTGGTAGTTTGCCTTTGGACTCCAACTAAGCCTGTCTTGTGCTTGCTTTTTTCTGATTCACAGCTGGGTATATATTTTTAATTGTGTCAAACGAAAAAGTTTTAAGCATGCTATGAAAAGGTTGCTTTTTTCAAAGCCATTTTCAAATCTTTTTGATATTACATGAATTACATGAATGATATTACATATGCATGAATATATTAAAAAGGAATATATGTCAGAAAAGAATACATGGATATAATTGTAAAAGCTAATCTGCTTTTTAGGTTGTTGAAGGTAATGTGTCCTACTAGCAACTCTGCAGGGGTTTTCAGAAACATAATTTTTCATGTGATTGCCCTAGCCATTATGATCATGTTGTTTATCTACACTGCTGCAAAGTAAGCTTTTAATGTTAACAGTTTTGTGTTGCAAGAATACTGACCAATCTCAAGCCATTATCTTGATGTTACATGACAAGTTGGGTATATGCAGCCCTTTTACTTTGGGACACTTTACTTTTAACATGTTCATAAACAATTAATATTATTTTTTACTAAGGTACGGATTATCCTTTCAAAGTTTTGTTACAAAAGAATAGTGTTTTGATTTTGTAGGAAAGATTTTCAGAGCTGGTAAGCATAATGAATTTCAAAACTGATCTACTGTCTGGTCCAGACAAAAGGCAAGCTACATTGGAAAGTGTTGGAGAATTTCCAAGCATTCTGTCACATGCAGTGTTCTATAGAAGAAAAGTGATAATTCATCTTGTAATGTTTCATAATAAGAGACATGATCACTGGTGGTCATCAACTTGTCAGCCTAAGATCTCAAACAGGAGGCTAGAATATTATTGGAGGTTTCTAAAGAAATCATCATTTTGTACTCAAGAACATATTTTGCCCAGGTAATTCTGTTTGTATTTTGATGTCATTTTTGCTTGCAGTTTCTATTTTACTATTTTATGACAAGATGGAGCACTTTATTGCTGAAGAAAGTTTTACATGAGTGAGTACTCATAGAAATATATTTTTCACAAGGTCCTGCTGGATTGAACTAGAAACAATTATTTTTGCATCAAAAATATGATTGCATTCTAAATGTGACAAGAAACAAAATATAATTACACTCTGGCAGAGAGGTTGTATAGCAGCAAATCAAGTTTTCATTGAAATGTAATTGTTATTTGAAAGTATGGCATGCAATCCATGTCAATGATACTTGTCTTAAAAGTTCACCTTTTTATCCAAACTTTTTATTTTTGCCAAATTTCAATAACCCAAAATTTGCGGACTGTTCTAAAATTTCAACAACTCTTACTCCTTTCCAACTACTTAAACAACGAAAATTTTGATACTTGTCTAATATTTTCGTTACTTTGAGCCTCGGTTTGCTTGTGCTGATGGTAGACAAAGTCTTCCTAGGGAAATAAGTTTCTTCTTATATTAAAATTAAATATCTAACAGGAGAGGGAATATCTAACATTAAATATCTAACAGGATTAAATTATCCAGAAGAATAAAAAGTTGCTGTTTCTTATTCAAGACCTTTCGAGGCATGGAAGTATTCTAGCTTTGTTTGGAGAATTTTTGCATTTTAGTCGGTTTTTGCAACTCTTCATTTGCTAAAAGAACAATGGTCATAATCATGTATTTAATTGCCTTTTTCTCTCATGAAGGACCTCAATAATCCCAGTCCATGTTTGAAAATCGGCATCCACAGGCCTTGCCCGGAAAGGCGCTCGATCGAGCGCGCGCGCCTAGAGCGCACCCAAAAAAAGCCTTGGAGAGCGATCTATAGAGCCCCTCAAAACGTAAAAACAATATTAACACGGAGCAAAATGAATTTTTGGAATTTGTTGAATCAACTTGATCAAGCATAAACAATCTTCCAAACAGACCGCAATATTATGATTTGCGTAAGATTACCCCTTGAGAAAAACTTCAGCAAAATCAACGTTAGGTTTTCGATATCATTTTTAATCTAATAACCCTCTAATAACCATCAAGGACACAGGCCACCAAGCGTATTCTCCGGCAGATTTATTTGTTTTTCGAGCAAGCGTTAATCTTCTATTGAAGTATATATTATTTTCTGTTTTTTAACTAACTTAAAATCGCCTGTGCAAATCAGCGATCACGTTTCCGTCCAAATTATCGCATTGCTTTTCATTTTTAATTTGCTTTTGCGAGTAGTAGATGTTCTAGCGTTTCTATAGAATGGATAACATGAAAAAAGGAAACAAAGTTAAATGTTCGATTTAAATATTGATGCGTATTGATGAAGCAATATGTGAAGCTGAACATAACTAGTGATACTGACACTGATAAAAGCTCATCGAATGATGGCAACTTACATATCTAGAGAAATCTGAACAACTTTGCGACTTTGTTCTATTATATTTCTATATTTATATTAACATAGTGTTTGTTGCATGTTTTGTTATTTCATATTATGGTGCTTTCTGGTATCACCGTTGAATTTCATATTTAACATTCTTTCGAAGCTTTCGATATGAAGCTCTCGATCTCCTAAAGCTCTCGAAGGATGCTCTCAAGGAAATTTACTTAGAGGTGCGAAATAGAGCGCCTAGAGTTTCTAAGGGGCTCTTTTTATGGAGCACCTTCATTTTACTTAGAGCAAGGCCTGCATCCATACTCATTCATTAATCATAGTTGCAGCGATCTGTTCAGGCCTGAGTCAGAGATCCCCAGAGAAAGTCAGAAACACGACAAAATTCACAAAATACATCATTGACTGATTAACTGAAATAATTGAGAAAAGTTGGTAAAAGCTAAGAACAGTCTGGAAATTTTAGCCTCTTGAAATTTTGTCAAAATTAAAATTTGATTATAAAGTGAAATATTAGAACAAGTATTATTTGCAGGGATTGAATTCCATGTAAAATTGTAGAACCAAATGTTTAATTGCTTATTTCAGGGCCATTTGAGCCAGGGGCCCTGGGAGGCTGCAGTCCCCCTCAAAAATTGTCAATTGTATATTTCCTTTTTATTGTATTTTTTTCCAATTGTATTTAAAAATTGTAATATATTTCCTTTTTAAAAGTGTAGTGAATGAGAAGAAATACAATGGGCAACCCCCCCCCCCCAATATGAATTTTGTCCCAACGGCACTGTATTTACATGTATTCTGTTTGACTGTAGGTTGCAAAAAGGGTAGGTTATGTGAATGTTTCAAAAAGGGGTTACTTGACTGTAAACATGAATTAGTTTTTGTATCAGACCATTGCTAACTTGAAAGTGTATCTGTTATTGGTATTATATAATTTCATTTACTTTTATTTAATTTTGTATCTAACTTTTGCAGGGTCCTGTCAACAACAACTCAGTTGGATGGTCTCAGTGTTTCTGTTCCTCTTTACATAAAAAAATTTGCTGGGAGAATCAATAATTCTATTTATATTAACTGTGATTATAGCAGAGCAAGGAAATTCTATTCAAAATATGGTAGAGACGAAAGCGAAGATGCTGAAGTATTTAGACTAAAAGCAAAGAACTTATTAAATCAAGTGAAATTTGCTTTGGACCAGCTAGGTGTTCCATTTTGGTTGAGCAGTGGGACATGCCTTGGTAAGTTAATTTATGTTGTACCAGTTATGTCTGATTTGTATCATGGTCAGCAGAAGTTAAACCTTTTTCAACTACTGTTCTTGAAATTAATTATTTTGACCATTCTGATTGCAACGAAGTTGTGCAATTTTTTTAAATTAAATCACAATTACAAGTACAATTTTTAAATTAAATCAAAGCAAATATACATTGAAAAGGATAATACAGATGTATTTCTAATTTAAAGAGCAAATAACACCTCTTAGATAGTTAAGATTGCAGGGAGTATTGAAAAGGTCAAGGAGGGACCCTGTTTCCATAATGTTTTCTCTTAAAGGTAAAGTTGTTCCTTATTTGGAGTCTGAAGGGTAATGAAAACCTTTCTCGTTTTAAGGCTGGTTCAGGCAATGTGACTTTATCCCACATAGTAAAGATGTAGATATTGGAATTTGGATCAAGGATTACAACCCAAAAATTTCTGATGCAATGCAGAAATCTGGTTTGGTACCAAAGCATATTTTTGGTAAGGTATGTATTTGGTAAAGAATATTTTTCTAAATGGTTCTGTTTGTTGTAAATTGTATCATTTTACCTTAGACCCAAATAAATCCTCAGGAATTTGACAAGACATCTGTAAGATCTGTAAGATACACCAGACATTTGAATAATCTGCAGGACATGATATCATCAACCTGCTATCATCCAATCATCCATGCTGTTGGTCTCTTTAGTTGATTTTTTCGAGTCAAGAGCTGTACCATAAACCTTCAAAATTAAAACATGATAGTACAGGCAGAGTTATAGGTGCAATTCCTTGCTGTTTTACATTGCAAAGCTAAAGGAAGGATTGCTGGCTTTAAAATGGTAGCTTTCACAATAATAACATTATTCTTAATGGTGTTATGTTGAAAAATATTCCGAGAAGCTTCAGGTGCTGTTCAAAAGAAAATTCATCTTTGAAATTCTAGACAACATATTACTTAACCTTGGTAAAGCTTTATCTTGTTGGGAATATCTAGGTTTGCTCATGTTTTTGACACTGTTGAGAAACACCTATGTCCCCTAATCCAGTGATGTCACACCTTTCTGGCTTTCAATTGGTTATTAGAAAGACAGTTTTTTTATAAGGAAAGCATAAATTTAGAAATGTTATTTTCAATCTGCAAGCAGCGCTACTCTGCCCTTTGTGGGCGCATCAGTGCAGCACAGAGCTGGTCTGAGACACAATCCAAGCCATGTTGTCACACAACAAGGCGTTTTAATGTATTGATTGATTGTGGTAATGTTATATAGGTTAAGGAACTATGTCATGTTTTGGCATATTGTGTATGAGGACAAGTGTCTTTTGTTTTGGTATTGCTCGGTGTCTTTCTTGAACCTATGAATTTTTGGTGATATGATACTAATGGTATATTTGCAGATAGTATCAGCTTTTTGTTTCTATTTTTGCCAGCTGGAAGATAGTTTGGAGTTGTCATTTCGCACACCCAGCAATGACCTGAAGCTAGACATATTTTTCTTCTATGAGGAAGGAGACACAATGTGGAATGGTGGAACCCAAGCGAAAACTGGAAAAAAATTCAAGTGAGATGTTACAGTTTGTTAGCTATGAGAATTTCTGTTATTAACTTCTTCCTTTTCTTGAAAGTAAACAAATCTTGTTTCAAACCAGGAGTCATTGGTGAAGAGTAAAGAAATTTAGAGGAAAAACTTCGGAACCTCAGTGGAAGAGCAGCAGACATGAGTGCCTTATGTAATTGTTCGTTCTTAGGAGGCTTGTGCGCCTTATGTTCTTATTGCTCACATAAAATTGCGCCCCTATTAATTCTTTCCTTTCTACGGTACTTTTTTTGACCCTTATTAAATTTGTCTTTTAGATATCGTTTTCCCAAGTTTACAATTTGCTGGACTGAATTTGTTGATATTCTTGTCCGCGTTCCATGTAATACAATAGATTACATAAAAGCTAATTATGGACCATCTTGGAATATTTTGGTTAAAGAGTGGGACTGGAAGAAAAGCCCGTCAAATGTTGAAGAAAACGGTCAATGGCCGTCCGATGAGTTGGCAAAAGTGGTACAAGTATTTCAATGACAGAACACATTATATGAACACAATTTTGCAGGATCGAGGGAGCAACAAATTTTTTAGAGGGGAAGCCAATCATGCAAGGCTATAAATTTTGTGTCTATTGTCAAGAATATTTTGAAGATAATGGGAGGGAAAAGGCCCCTCAGCCCCAAGCCCCCTCAGCCCCAAGCCCCAAGTTCTGGTTTCCATAACTTACACCAATTTTCGTCTAAATTTTGTTGGTGTATTTTATAATAGGTTTTTATAATGCTAATAGGTTTTTTACATCTGTATTTCGTCTATGCTGATGTTAACAAGCAATGGCTGAAACTGCTTCCTGATAACAATGTGAAACTGCACAGAATGTAAAAAAAGCTGTCAATTTTCAAACATGGCTAAGCAACCTTCTTGTAGACTTGATTTTCTTTTCCTGTTAATCTGATTTACTTTCGGTTAAACTACTTCACCTGATGGCATTGGAGATCTATTGTTGCTAGGGGTTGATATGCCTTAAATGTGAGCGGTCAAGCATTATTACCTCTTAAGTTTCTTTCAGTTTTCACATGACTCAAAACCTTTTCAAAATTTTGGCGGCAACTTCTCCTCCATGCCCCCTTCCACTTCGGCAAAGCAGTAAGGTAAAATTATCACCTTGCTTGTTAATTTTCAATGGTTAATTTTTCACTGAAGAATGACAAACTTTGAGTAGACTCGCATGTGTTTAGTCAGGATAACATCTTGCCGTCATGCCATTTAACGATTTATAAATTGTTAATGTTGTAAAGTGATTGTTCTGGACTTCTGGACAATAACTTAACATATAGGTCAATAGAAAATTGTAGTTGTAATCATCGGCCTAGCCGATGCAAAAATTTACAGGGGCTTAGTGTGGATCTTTAGGGGGACAATTGTTTTTGCTTCATTGAGATAAAACTGGGAGAATGGAGCCTGAAATGCGATAATTTTGCCTTATTTAGGGGAAGGGCTACATCCCTCCTAATCCCTACTTCTCATACCCCTATGACTGTAATTGAATTGCTTTTTTGTTATCTGTAAATTTTGATGTTAAAAGATAGGTTTGCACACTGATTCTAAATCAATCTTTGTTATTCAATCTAAAATTCACACAGTTTTCACAGCTACGATCCTGTGTTGTGTTTCTATAAATACTCTGATAGCCGAAGTGACAGGAATTTGTTTTTTTTGGGGGGGGGGAGTGAAAATGGGGGGAGTACAAATTATGCAGAAAATTTGCTTGCATATCACCCTCACTGGTTGCTCTTATAAAGTTCTTTATTTAACGTTGACATTGCATTGTTATCTAACAGCATTTCACTAAAAAAACAACTCCATCTTAGATTATCTCCACAACATGCATTCATATACAAGGAATTGATTCACATTTTTGGGAAAGGTCGCTATGGTATGGAGAGCGCTCGTTGAATTTCTGACTGCTTTTGGGTGGAGGAACTCATTTGAGTGAGGCCCGCACTCGATGGGGGCAGTGATGTGCATAGACAATTTTGCTTGGGGGCGTTTAGAAAAAAATTGACCAACTATTCTTTTTTGACCAACTATTTTTCCATAGAAAATCTATTAACAGTGAAATAGATTACCATATACACTTAATGATAACAAAGTAGAGAGTAATGGCATGAAAGTATAAAGAAATTAAGTTTGCGGAAACTAAAATTTCTGGATTTCGCGTTTTTGGGTATATCCATGAGCATCTTTTGCGAAAACCAATTTTAGGTTAATCTGCAAAAATTAACTACAGGTTCTTTTTAACTCCCCATAACATCCTTCAGATTAGCTTAAAATGCATCTCAGAAAATTTCTTGCAGTCATTTTTTGCATTCATTTCTAGCAGTCATTTCGTATAGTCGTTAGCTAGCTACTTATAGCAAGTTATCTGCAATACATTATTTTTTGTACGAACCAGTAAATTTGAGTTCAGGCTAACTGTTTTTTCGAAAATCTGAGGCTGGATTACTGGCGTTTTAACTCTAGGGAGGTGTTCAGGCATCATTTGCCAACAAAGTGAGTGAGGCAACCTTTATAGTTTGAAATTTGGTCAAACTTCCTATTTAATGCTAAGGTTCCTGCTGCATGACCAACTTTCTTATAGTTTGCAATATTGCGGGGCGTCACGCCCCCCCTCTCGTGGCCCCGGAGAGGTACTGGGGTCGATGCGCGGGTCCTCCACCAGATGTAAGAGGTGTTTCATAACAATAATTGGTAGAGCGTGAGGCAAATAATAACGCACTCTTATGTGATCATCTTTCATGAATCAAATCAACTCAAAAAACTCCCGATCAAATTTCTATTTACAATATATATAGTAAAAGTCATGTGATTAGTAATTAACGGCGCATGCGTGATACGTGACAGGAGAGTGAACCTGTTACGCATCCCTGGATGGAGGGTGCTCGTTTCAGGTTTAACATTGCCTTTGACGAATACGAAGGGAGGGCCAGGAGGGGCCATGGCCCCTCACTTTTTGCAAAACAATATACCTTTTTTCAAAAGCTTTTGTTATGATTGTTATATTTTCTCTTGGCTTCTCAACTTTCCAACCTGCGTCGGAGCCCATGTTTAACGGTACAGGAAAAATACAGGAATGAATAGCTTTGTTCTCACAAATCGTCGTCCTCATCAAGGACTCTTCAGACGAATTAAGTGATCTGATGACGAAACAACCTATGTCTGCCGAAAAAATATGATATGACATGACAGCCCGATGACAGTTCTGTTCTGGTGGGAATTCAAAAAGCCATGTGGCTTCAAACGATTAAAAACTGTATTTTCTTTGAAATATTCGATTAAATTAACAATTCTACAAATTTTGCGAAATTCAAGATTTGTCAGTTCCATAGTAACAAGGAATTTGCCCAAAATGGGAGTTTAGGGACAAATTATCAAAAAATTATTGAAGATCACTCCCTTTGGAGGATGCTCTCGTGCTTTAACTTATCAAATCACCAAATGCAAGGAAAATTTTGAGCACCCTAGCCTCGTCCCCAGCTCTGTTATTTGTGATGTGTTACATGAAGTATTTTGACATCACGATAATGGCGACCAACATGAAGAGAACGTTGGACGTTCTGAACGTCGAAAACACAGAATTCTCGTCCCTCCTGTTAGCAGAAGATGTTCTCAAAGGGCTGAAAAAATTGGGTTTTAAGAATCCATCCCCTGTTCAGCTAAAGTCAATACCACTTGGAAAATGTGGGCTTGGTAAGACTTGGGTTTAATGCTTCTGTTTGTGTATTGGTAAATATATAAATTTCAGAATAAAAATGAAATTTAACCCATTTTCCCAAAAATCAAGATGTCATTGTATAGTGCATTAGTAGGGTCATTTAGTCTACTTTGACTTTGTCATACAACCAAATTGTTGAAGGCAAGTAGTTTGTACTTCCACAAGTTGTGGAATTACAAGCGAATCAGTCTGCAGAGCGTGGCAGTTCTCGACAAGATTTTGTGTGTGCAAGAGCAAGTATAAATGTGTGCAAGAGTGCTAACAAAGTGTGCAATGTGTGCACACTGTTCAGTTTTGATCCAATGTGTGCAGCAAGTTTCTAATGGGCAAAGTCTTTGTCAATTTGTCTCACAAATGTGTGCTCAGAAATTATTTCTGCAAAAGTGCTTTCGAGCATTCAAAAAAATTTGACTGCAGATTATAATTCAGCATGGGGCAATCATATATTTTGTATGATTAAAATTCAATTATTTCTTGTACTTAGTCAAACTTCCAGGTGGGGGTGTGGGGTTGAAATGTAACCACTAAAAGTTCACTCAGTCAGTTGATTTTAACAATTCAGTCCACAGAATGATCTTACAGAGTAAATCCTTGACCCTATACCCATGATTGAGCACAAGTCAGATACTGCAGTTTACCAAATAATCTTACTTTCTTTGATTCAGACTGTTTATGATCCCTAGGCCTCTTCTTACCAGCCCTTGCTTAGGAAATTGAGAATAATCCTTCCTGACTTGCCTTAAACATAATTTATTCGACTATAGAATGATGTATCATATTTATAATGCTATAGATATGATTGTGCAAGCTAAATCTGGAACTGGAAAGACTTGTGTCTTTGCTGTTATAGCACTAGAAATGGTTTTGACATCATCTACTGAAACACAGGTATTTAATCTTTCTATGAGTGAAATATTGATTTATATTTGTTGATTAATTATTCTTCTTTTGTGGCATCCATCTACCATCCAGCTCTACCAATCAATAGTGTTTGTCTATAAAAGCAAAACAATGTTCTAGCCTTGCTCAGTTTCACTATTCATTGAAATTTAACGCATAGAAGCCCATTGTGAATTGCCACAGTGTGCTTTCTATAACTTTACTTTTCTCTACACCATGCAACATCTGACATTTCAAAATTCTAAGAAAAATTTCAACAATTATTATTCTATGTATACAATTATACACAACCCTTGTGTATTAGCTGTCCTTTATCTTAAGCAGTACCCACAAAATTAGGCAACCATACTTAGTTTTAAATGACAAACATAAGAATTGATTACAAGGTACAAACATTACTTAATTGTAAAAGTAGAAGTATTGTCATCAGCCTATAATGAAATAAGTATGGTTGGTTGAATTGTTTTATCATTATCATTATCAGTATAATTAGTCAGTCCATCAATTTTCTCTGCTTTATCTGCTATTGGAATTGAAAGCTATATTTTGCCAAGGCACAAGAATTACAGATCACAGGGTTCCACCTTTCAGTAGACTGCTAGACATGTGACCTGCCTTTATTGTTGATATTACATATCATTACATCAAAGATTTTGGTTACCCATTGGCGGTAATCACATACCAAGAAAGCTAAAGGTTTGGCAGTCTCAAGTCCTGGAGGACCTCTCAAAACAAATATATCTGGATAGGCAATTGCCGTTATAAGCTCATCTACATGGACAATATGTCACCCTTATAAAAAGGCCCAGCCAATTTCTCTTCTTTTCATAGGTAATCATTCTTGCTCCAACCAGAGAGATTGCAGTACAAGTACAAGGAGTCTTGTCTGAAATTGGTTCCTTCAAAAAGAACTTGAATTGCCATGTCTTTATTGGAGGCACCTCATTGGAGGATGACAAAAAGAAATTAAGAAGCTGTCATATTGCTATTGGAACACCAGGTATTTGAAGGATCAAAGGTATTTTAACTGTATGGTAAAGTAAAGTTGTAAAAGGTTTATGAAATATTGAAAATCAAGCATTTAAGTGGCAGAAATAGTCAACAAATGTCTTCAGGTAATGCTACAGAAACAACGTATCACAAGAAAGTGTTTTCACAATGATTGCAAATTCTATTAAAAGACTTAGGTATTCTAACCATTTCAAAATAAAAGATTTGGACCAATTTCTGGTAAATTACATGTATACAACTTGTCAAATGATTATAATCATTGGATAGATATATGAACATGCTTAATAGTTAGGAAAGCAAGTTTTATTTTCAGTAAGTAGACAAAGATCAATATTGTAGAGAAAATATTCTAATTTCTAATGAACGTTATGATAATTGGCTCTAATCATCTTTGTAATTAATATCTGACTTATTAATTATGATCATCATGATTTGCATTTTGATGTTTCTGGTATTTTAGGTTTTTTACTCTCATCTTGTTCTGTATAAACTTTTTCTTTTTCAAGGCAGACTGAAAACTTTAATTGAACTGGAGCACCTCAAAACTGATTTTGTCAGACTGTTTATCCTTGATGAAGCAGACAAGCTACTCGAGCCAGGATCTTTTCAAGAGCAAATCAAGTATGCCATCTAGTTCTTTTAAAGTCAGAAGCTTAAATCGATGATATTTGGAAGATCGAATTTAAGCTAATTGTCCAGAAGGTTGTGTGTAGTGAAACAAAACAAATTTGCAAATATTTGAAGATAAATTGTGTGTGTTGTTTAGAATATACTATGTTATTTTCTAAGTAATAAAGTTCAATAAGCTTCTATAGTCATTGGAGATTTGAAAAGTCTGACCTCAAGGAATTCTTCTCTCTAAATTGAGAGAAAATGGGAGTGAAAGCATAACCAGTGCAGACATTGAAAGTTTGATCTGTGTCACACTGGTTGTATCACTTGTTCACATTTTTCTTAGTATGTTTTCTCAATCCTGTTTTGCACTCATTAAATGCATCAAGTCATAATAAAAAAGGGAGGGTATACCAGAATTTGCTAATTTTCTCATGCTGCAATTCTATTGGTGGGCCTGACTTTCAGGCACTTATCTCATGAACTCACTTCATACTGATTTACAATACAGCTTCTGTTATAAGCAGGTTATCAACAACAAATACCAATATCACAAGAAACTATGCCAAAAGCGAATGACTCCCTATAGATAAGGCCTATTTATAATGAATCAATGTCTTTAGGCTCTATGTTTTACCTGACCCAAAAAGAACTAGGCTAGTTGACCGGAATGGAGAGAATTCATAATATCTTCCATGTACCTTGAAATTCATTTAATTGCAAAAATTTTCACTTCTATGTACTTAAATATCTCCGAACCTTTTTTATTTCCTAGTTGGATATTTTCTACCTTACCAAAACATAAGCAAATGCTGGCATTATCTGCTACATACCCAGAGTACTTGGCGAAACACCTGAATAACTATATGAATGAGCCCATTCATGTGAGATTAAATACAGAAGAGCCTACACTTTTAGGTATTTTGCGTTGTTTTTTTTCCTGTTCTTCATCATTACATTAGAAATCAGTATCTATTGAGGTAAATGTTATCTTAGTGAAAATAAGGCAAAATCTTCTGGTCTCCCATAGAAATGTTTGAGTACTGTGTCAACAAAAGAAAATATTAGACTCCCTTTACTTTAGATATTTCGTCTCCTTAGTGCATCTTAGTCTTCCTAAGTATTAAGGTATTTTTTCCTATCAATTGATACTTCTATTACACTAGACAAATAATTTCGACTTGAGGAAATCATGCATACTAGAATGACTTTTGAAGAAGATATTTTGCTAAACCACTATTTGAGATTTTTCATGAACTATTGATAAATCAGATAAATGTTTTTCTGTATAGTCTTAGCTTTATTGTATCATACATAAAGTTGTTTTCTTCTTGAATGTATTGAACACACCTTTTTATTCATTTTTTTAATATTCTAGGAATAAAACAGTTTTACTTAAAGGTACCATCACATCATTTGCCACATGTTGTTTTTAATCGAAAGGTAAGTACCTGTTAAAATATAATAAAATCTTAACTAATATTTATTGGTCAGATGTTATATCATCTGTTATCATTCAAGGACCTGTATCCCAATTACAAGCATTGTACAAAAAAGGTAAAAATTAAATAAGAATAGAAAGTTTTATTTACAACTGAAGTATATTATCATGATTATATATCTAAAAAGCAGGAGCTGACCACTTGCACTTCATAATGTCCCAACCGCAGTGCAAGTAAAAATGCCTTTACTTGCAAACAATTTTTAGATGGAACAAGTTTGGCATTTACTTACTTTTAATTTGAAACCTATAATATCTAAACGAGAAAATATGTTGAGTAAGCATAGCTTCTTGAGCACAAAATTTCAATTTTTTCGTCAGGCAAAGAGGCTTACAAGATTTCTAAGGAACACACCCTTTCAGCAGTGTATGGTTTTCTCAAATTACCAGACCAGGTAACCTAAAATATTCTCATTTTGTCAGAGGCTCTTATGCACCTGGTGTATTTATGGTCCCGGTTGTTTTGAATCCTGAATGAACACTCTTGATAGCAACCATGTTGAAAATTCTTAATTTCAATCAAAGCCAAGGAAATAACAATTCATAAAATCCGAAGGCCAGACCATCCAAGTTGTTAAAATACCTTTGCATGAATTTTTCGGCCTTTCAACATATATTGGCGGCCCATATAGGAGTTTCTGTTAAATTATGATGCTGGCAATTCAATTAAAGCTTCTGTTGAATTGGTTTTCATAAAATGCTTGATGCCATGTAGCAGAGCTCTACGCGCTTTAGTTACCTGATAGTGGCATTAAGCTCGGGGTTGCAACTTAGGATCTTCCTGTTCTGCACACCAACGTCTGTTTTTTATTTTATTTGTTATCGATAAATGTACCATTGTATGACATCTTGTCCCTTCTGGCTGCATCAAGTCTTTGTTATGCATCGATGTTTTTCTGTCTGCCACTCGAAGTAACAGTTAAGGCCAGTCCCCGATGCAATCTGCACGTAGGGAAATCTTCTTTAAGATTGATCACCTGTCTTGGACCAATAGCTCGATGGGGTGGGTTGGCCCGTTCTTTTCCTTGCTTCCTTTATTCTCTCAATGTTGCCATTGGGTACCTATTGTTGATTCTGAATATTCATGTTTGTAACTTTACGCCACTTCGCACCAACTGCTACCCCTGTAGTCATTTGAATTCAAACTGCGGTGACAAGGATATTCTTGGTGGCTACACCTATTAGCTGCAGGGTTGACCGGCGGCAACCTTCCAAATAATGGCACGAACTGCATCAGATAGGTCGTTTATGTACCATCGTAGTTGACGAAATAATGGATTGTCTTTTAATGCACATTATTCATGCACTTTTTCTTTTGCATTCAGGGCGCAAATTCTTGTCGATATCCTGTCATCAGAAGGCTGGCCTGCATCGTGCATTTCAGGTAGCTTTTATAATCAATTACGTGCTAAAATATGGATTTTGTTATGGTAATATTTTGCTTGTTGTCAGCATACCGAATTGATTTGCCATCAATCAAAGCCAAAGAGAAACCTTTTCCATGCAAAATCCACAGGCTGTAACATCTCACTTGTTAAAACTAGCTTTACCTGAATTTCTGCCAGATTCTTTGGTGTTTTGGTGGAGTTGGTGGCAGGTTTGAAAAGCTAGTTGGTTACTGTCGAATTATGTCGTTTTCAATCCAATGAAACTTACCGTTTACCGCTCTGTTATATAGTGCTCGATTCCGTAAAGGCAGATATTTCGTTTACGTATAAACTGTGATTGATACATCAAATGGTTAAATATTAATCTTTCTTTGCAGGCAATCAATCCCAGGAAGAAAGGTTAAAGGCAATGAAAAAGCTGAAAAAGTTCCAATGTCGTATCCTTGTATCAACTGACTTAGTAAGTACCTTAACTGCATTCATTATTTAACAAAATATCATTAATAAGGTCGAACTATAGCCTAGCTTCTTCATTTGTCTTTCTGTTATTGCCATTTGCATGTTTTTGTCTAAACTAAACTTCTTAGTGCGATTTAAAAAGGAGGTAAAAGGTCTGAATTGCTTCAAACTGTAACTCGTATTTTCACGTTTGCTTCAAGCTGTAACTCGTATTTTCACGTTTTATGTAATCGCTTTCAGCGCCCATAATTATATGTAGTCACGTCCTTAACTTTGTTATATTCAGCTATAGTCAGAGTTTCGCCAACATCCGCACTAGTCGATGTGAAAAATTCCCCAAAGGACACTTACAAAAAATAGATGATCCGGAGCAGACTTTGGTTGTGCCAGCCACTCAGGGGCAGGAGGGGAATAATACCCCCAGGGAGCTTGCAAGACAAATTTACTGACAGTGGCCAGGAAATTGTTCTTGGGTTGCACTTTCTTCGTGCTTGTTTGACAGTCAGTGGCGGCACCAGAAAATGGGCTGGTTTATACTTGAGAAAGACCTAGCAAATATTTTTCTTATGATGAAATGACCCAGCTGGTTGCAGATCAAACAAATCTGTATTCAGTACAGTGTGATGTTGCCAAAAGGAGCATTGCAATTACAAAAACAGAGGTAGAACGGCTCCTCTCAGTCTTTCTCAAGATGTGCATTGTCCAAATGCCAAGATATTCAATATATTGGGAAGCTGAAACAAGGTACAGCCCAATTGCTAGCTTGATGAGCAGGGACCGCTTTAAGAAATTAAAGAGCTTCCTGCACTTCAATGACAACTCAAAAGCACCCAGCAAAAGTGACAACACGTATGATAAGCTGTACAAGATAAGGCCACTGCTGCAAATGCTAAGAAAAAATTGTTTGGCTGTGCCACCTGAAGAAATCAATTCTGTTGATGAGCAGATGATTCTTTTCAAAGGGAAAAGTAGCCTACGAAGGTATCTCCCAAAGAAGCCAGAGAAATGGGGCTTCAAAATTTTTTCCAGAAATGGTCAAAGTGGATTCTGCTACGATTTTGAGGTAGAAGGTGCCCCGGACCCACAACAAGAAAACAGAACTGGCACTGCTGTCGTCCGCTGGTATGATAAGAAGCTGGTTCAGCTAGCATCAAATTATGCTTACACCCACCCAACTGATGTGGTTCAGAGGTGGTCTAAGAAAGATAATAAATATGTTGAGGTACCAAGACCTCAGATTGTTGTAACATACAATGCAGGAATGGGAGGTGTTGACCTGTTTGATACGTTTCAAGCCATTTACCGTCTCCATCATAAATATCGGAAAGGATACATGCGTTTCTTTTTTTGGATTCTGGGCACAGCTGTCATAAATGCATGGTGCTTATACCGCAGAATTATGAAGCAACAAGGTGTGCCCATTGCCAAGCAGCTTGACCTTTTGCAATTCACATGCTCAGTGTCACACACACTTGCAGAGGCTACAATACGAAGAAAGGGAAGAGGGAGGCCAAGCATCGAGGCATCATCTGTACCCACAGATAAGCTGCCCCGCAAAGCACCCGAAATGGCACCACAGACAGGAATTCGCACTGATTCTGTCAAACATTGGCCTGTTCATAGGCCAGATCGTCCTCGCTGCTTTCACTGTGGGGAAAAAACCAGAATGGGGTGCGAAAAGTGCAAAAAAAGGCTATAAACTACCACTATCATAAATACCAGACTACCATAAATAGACTGAAATACTGAAATATTTTGCATGATTTTGTACTCTTTTGTTCATGCTATTTATACGCAGTTTTACATGAGTTATTTCATTGATTCGAAAAACTATCGTTCCTTGAATAGCTGGAAGGGCCATACGGCCCAGCCCCAAGATTTGCCCAAAAATTAGTTTTTTTTCAGAAAATTATTCTGAAATTCAACTTCTCCTTGTCTGTTTACCTAAAAAACATGTTTATTTATTTTTTATTTCAAATGAACCTATATTCAGCCTTGAAAGGGTTAAGCAAAGTATTTTCTAAGGCTTGCACATAATCTTAAGTAAAAAAGATACGGTGTATAATAATTATTACCTTAGAAATAACATTCTTCAGACACTTAGAAATTCATGGATAGTTTTTACCGAATTGTCAAAAATTTGCATGTTTAAAATAGATTTTATTTTTTTCGAATTGACTTTACAAAACAATTCTGTTAACTTTTGCCAGACATCTAGAGGCATTGACTGTGATAAAGTGGATCTTGTCATCAACATGGATCTTCCTTGGGACACTGAAACCTACCTCCACCGTGTAGGCAGAGCAGGAAGATTTGGAGGATATGGTCTTGCAGTTAGCTTTATCGCAGAAGGAGATGAAGAGTTAAAATTGAAAAACATTGCAGATGAAATCAAATATGACATATTGTTTTATCCAGGTAAAACGACACCTTTCTTTTTGGTTTACTATAATGGCCAAACAATCTACACTTTGTTCATGACTAGAAACCACAATTGCCGCTCATCAGCATATATACAACTTTGGGCATGTTTTATTGTATATTTACAAACTTAGGTATTCTCAAATAACAAAATGACCCAAACTTTATTTTCGCCTCGTCTTGAGCATCTAGCATTTTAATCATGTTCCAAAAATCTTGTTATGATAAAGACAACGGCAAGATAATGCCATCCCAACCTTTGATATTTTTATGAGATTCTAGCGAGAATAATAAACAGGAGCCCTATGATCGTAAAAACCCTTTTGACCACGCTATGCACAGTATCGATCTTTGTCAAGCTATATAGACCCTTCCGATGAAATTCCAAAGTATATCCATTCACTCGATTCTAGAAAAAAACTAAACCGAGCTAACATGAAAGGGCATCCATTCACTTCCTATATGATACAGTTATTAAATAGCAAATTAATATAGAATATTGAAGCATATACATCGACATGACTTACCTGCAGAATCTCTAGGTCACTCTGATAAAATCCTTTATGCTAAAGGGAATATGAGCAGATTCCTTTAGTCAATTTACCTTAATTCGCAATTATTTTTAGCAAAATCGTTTCTTGTTATTTTGCATTGGTATTAGTATGTCTGAATTGCACTTTCCAGCATACATTTAATCAAGCTAACTTTGTAAACATTATTCTGCTTCAACAGTTACGAATCTCTAACATTAGGGTTTTGTTGCCTTAACATACGAATGGAAAATCTAAATGTTTACTTTTTTGTCTATGTTTCATAAACTCTTTCTTTTGCAGTCTTATTTTATATGATATTGCCGACTTCATAACCCTCTTAACACGTAGTCCCGTCTCATCCGAAGCAAAACCCTCTACTTTTCTTCCGATCAGTTTTTCTACATTGACTAGAAAAGTTTCTCAAACAGTTGTTATTTTCTTTGGCTTTTCTCAAGCTTTTAATTTATCGAACGCGTCTCTGAGTTTTCTGGGAAATATATGTCGCTTGTTTCTTTTATGTTTGTCTTGTGTTTAAAATTGTGTACTCACTTACATCTACAGATACGAACTCAGGGGTAGATGATGATGTGGTGAGCCAACAAAGAATTTACGATACCAAAAGCGAAACTCAGGAAAGAAGTTCCAAAGAAAATAGTGGAAATCCAATACCAGATATGAGAGAAGAAGATAAACAGGAACACATGGCCAAGTCTGGTCATCAGAATTTCATGGATGATTTGCACGATTCCCTTGCCGCAAACCAAAATGGCTCGTTGAATGATAGGGGCTACTTAAACCAAGAAGATGCCTTCCTTGAAATTAACTTCTTTAGTAACAGTGCAGAAGAATGTTTGGATGATGCAGTGGACTGCTCTGCAGAGCAATCATTGGGCAGTCATGGTAAGCATCCTAGTTTGATTTTCCTCATTAAAAGTTTCTTATCTTTTCAAGATTAGAGAGCAAGAAAAAATTTAGAAAAAGAGTTTCTAGGCTATGCAAATGGAGAATCGAGTTTAAGATGACTTTTTTAACAGTTTGACATTTTTGATGAAATTTTTGATTAAAGTAAAAATTTCAGTAGGATTCATTGATCTAACTTCTGTTTTCTTTTTTGATAAGCATGAACATTTAATGCTATCTGAGATATCAAAATCTTCAAATTATGTTATTATAAAGTCAAAAACTTTTTTTGATTTTTACAATCAATCTTTCTTACCGAGTCCAATGCTTATTCTAAGAATGCATAAGCTTAAATTTAATCTATTGTAAACATTTGGTATGAATCAAGATAGGGGGAAGAGGGTGTCTTTTGGGTGTCTATTAAGAAATGGTGGTCATTTAAAAAATAAATTTTTCCAGGCTCGGTAGGCACTAATATTAACAATATTGAAATGTGGGCACAAAATTTTACCCAAATGCAAAGCTACTGTTTTGGATCTAATTGTTTTTAGTGAATATATCTTGCTCGTAGTTTTAACAATCGAAAAGGAAGTTCTATTTGAATGTTCTTTGATAAGGTGGAATGAAGATAGACGCAGAAGAAAAGAGAAATTGTCCATTCTTTGTGGAAGGGAAAATACATACTGAAAGGGCAGTTGGTGTTGAAATACTAGCCAGCGATTCAAAAATTTGCGAAAAACAGTCAATGGACAAGCCAGAAAGCATTTTAACTCCTAAGCGTGAACTTGCTGACTCAGAGTCAACAGAGGGCCTACAAATAAACTCTGGGACTCGGTGCTTGCATGACATATGTAGTTGTCCTTGTTCAGATTATGCTGGTGACCAACAAGATGACATATCAAAGTCAGATTTGGGTGTATCTTTGTTGGCTAGTGACAAATATAAACGTATAAATGACACTAATGGTTATGCTAGTAGTGAACGACTTTCCGATAGCATGGTACAAACCAAGGAGTGCTGTAATGGCCTAATGAAAGGTGATTCAGACAACGCAAGTTCAAAACCATCTGATGAGTATGCTGATTGTGAACCAAAAATTGAAAACTCTTTTGTTGGTGACTCTTCAAATGCTGAAGAAAAAAGTAATAATCGAAAGGTGATATTATCATGTGACCTTGAAAAGCTGCTAGAGAATTTTCTATGTGAGGAGATAACAGAATCAGGGGTTCGATGTCTAGATGAACATTATAAGCAAATGGGAGTTGGTGAAATCAAGACCAATCGATCCAACCAAACGTCTGCTGTTTTCAAAAGTAAAAGCTTAGACTCTTTTGATCCTGAAGAAAATGATACAGAAATTATGAGAGTTAAAGAACAAACAACTAATAATGATGGAGGATATTTATCGACTGGAGTATCAGAAGGGTCCTTTTCTGAAAATTTATCTTATGCTAGTAGTATAGTGAATGCTGACTTGGATAATACTTCAGTTAGTTTTGTTATGACCCATCAAACAAGTGAAAGTGCTGGACTAGATGAGGATCGTGAAAGGAATGGAAAAGATGTAAACATAATAAATGATAGCAAAGAACTACCTAACGAATTTTCCGATGACAGTCAAGTTGACAGTGTCACTGCGGATGCACACCTTTCAGCTAGCGAAAACGAGGTCGTATTTAAGCCATATAGGACTCGTAAACAGAGGAAAGACCCAAATAAGCTTCTGTGCACATGTGTAGAAGAAAAGAGCCAGGAACAGAGAGCGACACAGTCTTCTTTAATTAGAAAAGTGAGGTTTCTTCAGGCATGGAATAATGCATATAACTCACAGGTGGCCTGGCTACAGCATTATCGTAGGCAATTTAAAACATTTTAACAACAAGAGAGGTTAGATTGATAAATAGATTGCTAAGGGCTCTATATTATCGCCTTTGTGTTTACACATAAATTGTGTTGCGTAAAAATGTGTTATTAACATGGCATACAATGCACTATTTTTATTAGTATCGAAGACTTCAAACTGATGATTGGGTAAAAATTGCCTAAATATTGGAAGACTGACAGGGGGGGAGATTTGGCTGCAACGCCCTCATATTCGGTAATAATTGATGAGAGTCAAAACTTTTTTCTGGGTTCTTGAAAGGTTTTTTGTAAGCTCTTTAGGTAATGTTTAATTGGGTGTTGCTGGCTGGCAGTTTTGATAAATGTGTGACAAAATTGAAAGATTTTGGAATAACAAATTCTCAGGTGTAATTTCGTCCGAAACTTAAATTCTTTGATGTCTTGTCCCGGCGTTTTATTGTTCTCTTGGATTTTTTAAATTCTTTGGAAAGAGAAAAACAATAAGAAACCTTTGAGCTTTTCACAGGAAATTAATATTCAAATGTTTGGAAAGTTAACTTGACCCTCAGAAAAATCTCTTAAATGTTTTAGATGTTTCATAACAGTTGCCTTAAAATCTCAAAACATATTGGAAGAAGTTTCCTTAAACTTTGTGATGTTCTGACTCTCCTTTATTGTTCTTAGTTTTCTCCTTCCATTTAATTTTTCCGTTGCACCTGTGATTACCTAAATAGTTGAAGTTACCAATGATTAATTAACTTAAAATTACAAACTAATTATACATATATTTTGGTGACCATATATTTGTACAAAATTCTTGAAAATATGTCAGAAGTTCTTTGTCAAATTGCTTTTGGGAAACTTTTTTGTCCAGGAGTTCTTCTTTTAAATGTATACCTTATCAACATATAAATATTGAGAAAAAAGTCAGCATCATATAAAGAAATTTGGAGGAAAAATTCATCTGGAAAATTTCACATCATAATATTTTTCTTGCTGTTGCAGTTCATAGTTGCAAACACTCTAAAATTTGGTTAGTATTCTTAAGATTTAAAAGTGAATTTAAAAATAGAATAGAACTAGGCTGAAATAATCCTTTGGTAAAATAGGTAAAAACTGCTTTGAAGAAAGCAAATGTTTTGAAGCATACTAAAGCTTTTTTGTCATTTTGTCTGACATTTTTTGTCAGAGTATAAAACATCAGAACATAGATAAAAAACTGTTTTGTTTATTGCTCTATTATTTTAAAAAACATCTTAGACTCATTCTGGTAACTCTATAATTTTGGCTTTTCTGAAGGTGAAAACCCTCTTTTTTTATACCAGTGTTTTAAAATTTCACATTCTAAGATGAATTTTTAAGTGACATCAAATCAGAAATTTGTACTTAAATAGCAGGCAAAAAGTCATCATACAAAGACAGTTGAAAATGGAAACCAACTTTATTGGATTAATAAAAGAAAAAAATTGAACACTATGTATTGGTAGCAGATAACGTTTAAAAGAGAGTATCTTTTGTTCTCTTATAAATATGATTTTTAAATGTTGATGACCCTGCTTAGTCTCTGTATTCTGTTCAGTAGATTGTCTCCTTGTTTTATAACAGCCTGAAAGAAGAAAACATTTTGTTACAAAAATACTTTGACAGAGCAAACCAATCTCATTCAAAATGATCACAAGCCTTTTGCTTGCATTATTCTTGATTGAAGCAATATTTACAATATAGTTATACTGCTTACATGTCCTTTAATAGTAAAAATGAATATTCTAGCATTCATGGATGACATGCAAAATGTTCTCACCTGGTACTGATAGTTTTTGCTGTCAGGTCTGAAATACAAGAAAACTATTATTAGCAAAATTACATTAAACATTGTCTGTATGATGGAATGATTTATTCAAATGACAAGAATTATGAACGAAAATAGGTACATACCATATAGAAGTGTTAAATTTTGAAGTTGTAAAAATCAACACAATAAATGCATACGTTTACAGATGCATTTAACAAAATCAAGTGATTGCCAGCAGTTTATAAATTTATGTGACATGTCTCTCAACAATCCGTTCTTAAGTCTTTATAAATTAAAACTATTACATATTGGAAACATATGCTTTGTAAATGATGTAATATAAAGTTCAAATTCAACAGCTGTCAACTTAAGCTACGTATGTTGTTTACAAAATTGTTAACTTTCGACTGAAAGTTGTTTGCTTTCAAAACATTAAAAATGTACCTGTTTGTCTCTACAATGCCTCCAACTTTATCAATTTTGCAGTTTAATCTACCAGCTGCAATGAAACGAGCCAGTTCCCTGGAGAGAAAACTTTTGTTTAAGGTTCATGTGGCTAAAAATGATTTGGCTCAAGGAGCTGAAATTTCTCAACTAACGAAAGAGCAATGTAGCATTACAATGAAAATAGATTTTTTGCATTCAGAGCAATATAATTTAAAAAAAATAAGCTACAACCATGGGTCTTAATGTTTTGAATAAGGTTTCAAGTCTGTATTCATGGGGTAGGGTGATGATGATTGAAAGAAAAAATATGTCATCAATTCGAAGGATAGGGTGCGAGGATGACTCACTTGTTAGAGGAGCTGACTACAGACCCAAGGGTCCATGGTTGGAGTTCCTGGCATGACCAAACTTTCACCCAGAGTGGGGAGAGTCGCCAGCTCTCTGTAATTCCAAGCGTAGGAATCACGAGGTGTGGTCACATTGAGAGAAAGGACCAGGACATGGCTTGATAAGCATAGCTTCTCAGTGTCCTAAAAACTACCTTCGGATGCCAGGTAGCAACAAATACAAATACAAATATAGATACAAATTAGTATCAAAAGATAAATAAAAAACAAGGAAGGTACCTGTCAATGAAATCAACTGTAACTCCAAAAGCATTAGCCATGTATTCCAGTGTTAAACTGCGATATGATTCTAGCAACTGGGTGTATGCTAAGATGCGCATTTCCCTGACGTAATATGTGTAATGAGGCTCCAACAAGCGATCTTTCATGAGGTTTACCTCAATTTCAGCTAGAATAAAAGTGATAAATTGTGATAATGAGACTATGGTAATAACATCATATTTCCATTGTTATTTGGTTCATAAAGACATATTTGTTTAAATATGAGCAAAATTTATCTGTGTAGATACTATTTGCTTTGATATGCAAAAGTTATTCCTTGCGCATCAAAAAAATTTTCCACACGTAGTTCTGTTTAAGCTTCTTGCTACTTTTCAGTATTGCATTTTCTAAAGTCTTTGCGGATTTTTCAATCAAATATTTGAATTCAAATTTGATGGTGTTTTTTCTTTTATTAATATTTCACATCAAAAAAGCTGAACTGTGTAAAGGGAGTGACAAAACAAAATAAAAATCTATGTTGTAAATTGCCATAATTTCTCCAGATTTTCATGCCAACACTACTGTATAACTGGGATATAAGTCGGTTTTACTTACCCAAGGCTTGGAAGAAATCTGCATAATGACACTCGTACAATGAATTCAAGTATTTTTTTGCTAAGGGCAACTGATGTAACTGTTCCTGTATTTCAGCTCCCTGAATGACCTAAAAAGGAAGTTTCTTGTTGATACATGCTTCCTTCTAAACATCCTTGAAAATATTTCTATATTCAATGACCATGTGGCCTTGGATATGCCTTTGACATTTCATAATCTGATATAGTTTACATGCTAAGCAATAAGCTGAGTTTCGTAAATATGCTTATTGTGCATTATATGCCAGGATGATTCAAAACGTTTGGGTGGAGCCCAATATAGTATTTATAATGTGAAGGCAGCTTTTATATCATTTTTTTTCTCTCTAATATCTTATACTTAAAATATCTTTGTTTACTAGCCTGTGCTTCCAACACTATTGAGAATAAGTTGATTTTTTTGTGATTTATAATAACAATTCTCTGCCAGTCCTTGTTTTTCTAGTTGATAATTTTAGGGGAAGGCTAAGGAGCCTAAAGGAAAGTCCTGACAAGGGAAAGGAGTGAGGGATTTGGAAGAGGGGGAGGAAAGATCAAGCTTTTAGATTTTTGTTTTGAATAAAGACAGTTTGTAAATGAAACAGCTTGTGAAACTGCCAGAATATGATGAGCTCTGTAGTTCTAATTTTAAAGAAAGAGTTGCTGAGGAAACAATCATGTGTAGTCTCTCAACTATATAAAATAATCCTTATGTCTAAATGTGTTACCTTTGTTCTTAATTCTGTCCTCTCCAATGCAATCATTGACACTAAAATTGTATATACAACAAAGCTTTTGTATTCCATCAATTCATATGATGTGAAAGTAGAGATGCTTTCCAGAAACCTAGTTGCTGCTGTTTTAAAATCTCTGACAGTCATTGAGTAATAGCCTTGATAGACCTTCAAACGATTTCTTCTGTCCCAATCACCACCTTCTTCTATCAGGCTAAAAGAAAATTTCAAAAATAAGGGCTTTAATAGAAACATTAGCAGTCTGGGAACCATAAACTCTGCAAATCTGGAATAATTTTATTGAAAACTAAATTTCTCATCTACTTGTAAGTAGGAAACATGAACCTATTCACAAATAACTTTATATTGTCAAATGGATTGATTGCAAAGTTTGTTTTTATGTGTATTGATGTAGAATTCAAAAAAGGAACATCTAACATAACAGTGTCTGAACCATCTACTCTATTGTTGATTCGTCTTTTCTATTTAAATATGAAGTTAAAGGTAATGTGTCCAGCTAAAGCAAGCAACTCTGCATGGGTTTCAGAAACATGTGATTTTTCATATCATCGCCCCAGCCATTACCGTCATTTTGTTTATTTACCCTGCTGTGAAGTTTTGTTTTCATGTGAGCAGTTTTGCATCGCAAGAATACTGACCAATCACAAGCCGTTATTTTGATATTACTTGACAAGTTGGGTATAAGCAGTCCTTTTATATGGACACATTACCTTTAAATTTATTGCATAAAAATGATTCTAGTGAAAAATAATAATTACAAACTCATGGCAGAAAGGCACAGGTGTTTTTTTAATGTAGTAGTTTTAAATCTTACGTTTTGGCTTTTGCCAGATTCCTAGACATGATATCATGGTCTAAGAAAAAGAACCCAATACGAATTTGATGAAACACATTATCCAGTTTATGACCCAGCGTTGTGGTTTTTTCATATGCTTCTCTAAGGGCTTTAAGAGATCCATCCTGGAAAAAATTAATTGATTTGATGAGCATGGTAAATGATAAGATTGATTATTGAAACATGTAATGTAAAAAAAGTATTTGAATTCAAAACCAGGTGGTAGGGGCTGAAACCAGAAATAAAGTGTTATTATTTCACAAATTATAAACAACCCATGAAAATCTGACAGACAAATGGCTTTTGGCAGATTTTTCAATGATTCTACTTTAATAATTTTCAGGATTCGTCTAATGTGCATAAATCTATTAAAGTTTTGATATCTAAGATTAAACTTGGCTCATTTTCTTCTTGTTTTTTTCAACTTTTTCTTAGGGTCAGTCTCATTCAAGGCAATTTAGTACGACAAGGGCTTTGCTTTCAGGAAAATATAAAAAAGCAAATTGCTACCTTGTCTCCAATTTTGCTTAAAAATTCTGCCTTGGCAATCTTTGCATCCCTTATTTCAATTTCACCAAGATTTTCTTCTGCATCTTTAACAGCTTCTTCAAGTTTTTCAACTTCAGTCTTATTTGTTTCCTTCATCTTTGCTAACAAGCCTTGGTCGACTGGGAGCTGCAACTCATTGCAGACGTATTCATAGTAAGGTGCCATATCTAAAAAAGTATCGTTGTTAGTGTGGTTACCTTGTTGGTCAAATCAAGTGAATTGAAAATCAGCCATTGAAGAAAAACACATACTAAAAACAAATGATGACCGGACTTTAGGTTTAGGCAATGTGTTTTTAAAATGTTTAGAATATTTCTGCATAAAATCTAGCTCAGTATAGAACAATTGTAAAAAGTAATTGCAAATTAAAAAGCTTACGGGCTTTTCTTTTAAAATGTGAAAGAAAACACTTACTGTTGTCCACAATTTCTTTCATGAGCTTCGCTTTCACGTCTTTCTTATCATCCGCTGTTGTGCTTTTCGACTGTAAAGCAAAAAGAAACTCTGCATATTCCATATTTGGGTTCTTGGGGAGCCCTTCGTCTGATGATATGTCAGTTGCCATTCTTATTGCTGCTAGAACGTACAACCAAAAAGTAGATGTATTTTAATTTAACAATCAAGATTGCCTAGGCCGCCGTAAATAATGGGATCTGAGAATGAGGCAAAATCCCCCAAAACGGATCCACGCCGCACACGGAGCCTCACTCTGAGCTGCAAACAGCTCACATGGCGAACAAGAAGTAAATGTTGATAAAACTTGAGGTAAGTTTACGAATTCAAATTTTACTATATTGGTTGTTCATAGATTTTGTGTAGAACTGTTACATACCCTGCAACATAAAAACGGAATAGTTAGAAAAAACCATTTTTATGTGAAAAAGGAGACGTTTTTCCAGTCATATGAATAATCAAGCAGAGAAATACCAAAACCAACCCGATGCAGAAAATCCAAAAATCCACCCTAGTAGAGAGCTTAGAATAAATTTTTGTAAGCTTTATGTTTTCCAATAAACCACTAAGAAACAACTGCACCTTTGGGTTGTTTCTTTTACTAAGTTTCCAATGACGAGCTTTATTTTATAAATATCTCTGGCTTGAAGTAAATTTTGCTCCTCAGATTTGTCAAACATGACAGAGCTCTTATAGATTTTGTAAACTTGTGTACTTTTTGCACATCTGGGCCCTGGACATGCGCTGGAAAACTTTCTATCCACTGCCACATGTCCCTGGATCTCATAAAAGGTCTACATATAAAGAAACTGTTACCCAGCTGGAATTCATCAACTGCATTCAAGACCTGTTTTGCGCCAGATCAGCAGCGAGCATAATTCTTTATAAAAGTTTGCCAGTTAAATTTTAGCAAATTTGCAAATTGTTAGGCTACACCGGATATCTCCGGGATAGGCTGCATGGATTCCACAGTGGTTTATCAGGTTGATGTGATAATGCAATTTTGTGCCCCATTTCAACTGGTGAGCCATCTTTTTCAGGATAAATTTTGTCTAAAATCTATGGCTCGTAAAAATTCAAGAATGCATAATGGTCCATTCCCAGGCTGATATGCAGAATTTTTCCATTTTGGTGACTTGTCAGGTGTACAACTTGGGACTATGTACTCTCCATACTGGCTCCCAGGGTTACTCTCTAGTCATAACATTTATATATGAATGGATCAATGTTTTATGGTCCAAAATTTCATGCTAAAGTAATGATGGATATATGTCATCACATAATGATATTAATTGCATTTGATAGCAGTTTTAGAGCAATGTTGTGTTGCTCGGGTTGTAGGTTTGAGTGGTCAGTCAACCTAACCTGATCATTTAACTCATTCACATATCTCTTAAGTAAATGTCCTATTCTTTTGTCACATCATGAAGCCCCCATTGATAAAGTCATTCTTTGAAAAGGGGATGTTATCGGAAAAGATAGAGAGAACAAATACATTTTTGGCACAACCCTTTTTTCTTAAATTTTAACATAGTTACAAGTAACAGTTCTATTCAAAGCTATTTTTCTTCTTTGAAAAATAGCAGCAAGTATTTTATCAGTACCCTTCTTAAATACATAATATGACAGTAATGCTCTTTCTATTAATTATCCCCCTTTCTAATGACAGCTCTACAAAAGCATAAACATCATGTCTCATAATAAGAAATCTGCTACGCTACCACTAGATAATATTACAATAAATAATAACTTAAGGATGTGGAGCAATTGACTTACTTTTGTGCACATGACACTTCAGTGCTCACATTACTTCACTTAAACATTACTCTTTCAATAATAATGAATTGGATTAGCCAATTTATTATCTTATATAAAGTTTATGTAAAAATGTTATTCTAAACCATTTTTAAATTGATGTAGGGGAGCAATGTGAGTTCATTGTCCCTTTACCCCCACCCAACCCCTTATTGGGAAAAAAGTCTTAATGAGTTGTGCTTTGATTGAAGATTTTGCCTTATTATATTTGTTTCAATGAACAGGTATATATGTAAAATATTGGCTAATTTTAATATATTCTAGCAAAAAGTTGGGGGAGGAGGGCTTGGCTTCCACATTTCCTGTGATGCTAGGCCTGGCCTGTCTTCTTAAACATCTGCTTTAATAAATGTTCAACAGTATGATTCCCATCTTTTGCAAATAGCTTTTTGTTGTTTGAACCCTGTTGATGCGTGAAAAAGGAGAAGCCATATTGGCAGAGTAAAGTTGACAGTTAGCAAACTAGCAGCCAGTGGACATGGGTAACAGGTGTGCCCAATTGTTTTGTAACAATGTATATAATAAACATGAGCAAGGCTTTTAATTTTTTCTGAATGGTATGTTATTTACAAAATGTCTTGTTATTTGCAGGTCAATGGCTTCAAAGAAAAGTGGTTTGGATGATGCCAAAAAGAGGATCCAGGGAAAACTATCTGATATTTCAGAACAAGTTAAAATTTTGCAAGAAATAATAAATTCTGCGAAAGATGAGGTATGACATAACTTGCACTGCTCAAAATTTGGAAGCATTTATAAAATTTATAACAATTAATGTTAAGCCAGATTTGTAAAAGTATAATTATCAGAATTTGCAAATGCCTTGATGTGCCTTGTAATATCAAATATTTAATTATTTATTGAAAAGGTATGCAAAAAATTTAAAACCCAAGTTAGAAGGCCAAATATAATAAAGTTTATTTACACTGGCCCATCAACTAGGATGCAATTCATTTTTGTCTCATCCTTTAGTTTTAAAGCTGTCTTGTTATTTGTTTTTAACTCAGTCCCATCAATCATTTTCCTTTTATTCTTCCAATAGGCAGAAAAAGCAGGTGCAGATCTTCTACAGCTGAAAAGCAAAACTAAATTCTTTCAAAAGTTCCCGACTGTGAGTCAAAAACTGGATGGAAGTTTAACTCGTTTGTTACTTATCAAGGATGCCATTTACTCCCTTGATGAAGAAAACTCAGCTTGTAAGTAATCTTGAGCAATTAATGCTTAATGTTGCAATTTTTATCTAGTACTTAAACCCAGGGGAAAATTTCTTTAGCATTTAACTGGATATAATAGGGGATTATATTCTCTTCTATTTCTTTTCAATATTTTCTCCCTCTGTGTTGTATTAGTTACAGGGTTAGATTCATAAAGAGCTGCAATTTAATTTTTTAAATGCACCAGTTTAAAAAGTTAGGTTTAAGCGATTGTGCTTATTTGATCTTGTGCCCTTCTAGATATTTCTAAAGATAGAGATAGACCAATGAAAATTTTTATGTTCCACCTGTCAGCCCAGATATGAATGTGTTACAGGTTACAGTGAGCTATAACTTATGAGTAGTCATATACAGTAAGAAGCAAAGACAATAGCGTGCAACTTGTGTTGAGACTCGAAACTGACTAATAATCCTAAGATAATTACAACAATGCATACTAAACACAAGCAACATGAATTAACATAGTAATGTAGACTAGCATCAGGTCCTATTACAAATATGAGGATATATAAATATGAGGAAATATGAGGACAAATATAAAGGCAGGAAGATGTTTTGGTCAATAGACATGTAAATAGACATATATATGCCTAGAAAATGGTTGGCTGCACAACCTGTGTACCATCTGTGTACTATATGTGGGCATTTTCATAAAAACACTAATTTTAGTTTTTCTTGGGGAACTTTAGAAACTATTGCTTTTTGCAAACATATACTTGTTGAAGATAACAAGTCATACAATGTCATACATTTAATCATTAATTAGGTATAGAGTAGGTATGTTCAAGAAATAATTAATGGTTATATCAGAATGATGTCCTAAATTGATGCTTTATTTCAGAAAAAGTTTCACAAAATTCTTCTTTGCCTCAATTTTCTCAGTATTGATTGAATCAGCATTTAATATTATGTTCATATTATTACCATCTTCATATTTTATCTGCCTTTGAGAAATGTCATCATTGATGGTTTACAGTGCTTTATTACAGAAAAAGTTTCACAATATTCTTCTTTGCCTCAATTTTCCCAGTATTGATTGAATCAGCAGTTAATATTATGTTCATATTATTACCATCTTCATATTACCATCTTCATATTTTTATCTGCCTTTGAGAAATGTCATTATGTTTAATATCGCATTGTGCCGATACTATTATCAGTAAATAAAATATATGTACTCTTATTCTAATTTGTATCTTATGACAGCTGGTGATTCAGAAGATGGATATAGCAATATTGAAACACATTCAGAAGCATCTACCCATCTAGCAGCATCAGTTGTAACAGGCGTGGAGACAGTTGTAACAGGCATTGAGATAATTGTAAAGGAAAAAGAGTCTGATAAAGGTGCCAATAATATGTTATTTGTATATGTATCAAATTCATTACACATGAAATGCTTTCCCAGCATATAAATTCGGCAAATGAATCATCTGCCTAAATAATTAGTGTTCCTTGACTCAGTATTTCTGTCACTTGGTTCCTCTTGTCATGTCAATCTGTTACCCTCTACTTTTACAATGTCTACTTAAGCACTTCTCACATTTCTGAAGCTTTACTGAAGCATTGCAAAAATCAAAACACTGAAGTAAAATGTGGTTCTGCAAAGGGTGAACATGTACTCACAAATCCAGAGTGTGCTAAGACATATGGGGCTGACAGTTTCAAAATCATTAGATAGGCAAGGTTGTCTTTTCAGTAACGAGTTTTGGAACCTGTTCACATCAAAGCAAAGGATGTGTAGACAGAAAGAGTTCGTTTTTTCATTTTGGTCTCTTCAGGGTCTCTGATTGGTAAAAAGACAAAAGAACTAGTCAAATGCATTTTTCTCTTTTTCACTTTGTCCACAACTGGATTTAAATTGAATGCTTACTTCAGTCATTATCTGAGGTCAAACGCTGAAGAGTGTCAGCTGAAAAAAAGCTTAAGTATAAAATGTTTTTGCTATTTCATGCCATATTCCAATTTTGCGGCATCAAAAACTTATTTGGTTTTTACAAGTCATCAGATTGTTGTCTAGTCATTCCAGTCATTCCAATCATTTGTATTGTTAAACATTTTTGTTCTCTAACAATTCATGCCTCTTGTCTGCTGCTTTAACTATTGATTTTGGTCAAATTTTTTTTGGTGATTTTTTGGTGACCTAATAACTTTAGGCTTACATTTGATCATTATATGAACCCTTATATCACAGTTCTTTTATGGTAGGTATATACTGTAAAAGCTCTTCAGCTATATAGCAAATCTTTTTCTGCAGATGTTCCTTCTATCTTAAAAGAAAAGCCTGTTGTGCAAGATGTTGCAAAAGAACAGAGGTCTCAGCAGGTAAAAGAGAAGAAACAGCAAGTAGAAAAAAACTCGGATTCAGTTGTTGCATATGTTGCAAAAGAACAGAGGCCTCAGCCAGAGCCAGTACAAGAGGAGAAACAGCAAGTAGAAAATAAACTGGACCCAGTTGATGAAGATTTTAAAGGCCAAAAATTGAAAGAACTGATATCTGCCAACTATGCTCCTTCAGAGGACAGTAGCACTGCAGGTAATTTTGTTACTAGCTTGCCCTCCTGTTTATTCTGTGTTGATTCGTTTTTATAATTTGCTGAAATATTATTTTCAACCAAACTTGTATTCCAGTTACATAAAATGCCAACACAGTTATCAAAATCTTATCCTTGCTCTCCGATTCATTTAAAGGCAATCTAAAGATACAAAAGTGGTTTAAATAATCTGTCAATCAAAATTAGCCAGTCAATAAGGGTGTAAGTGGAGTCACACTCGCTGATTGAGCAATTCTTGATTCAAAGACAGTTCATGCTCCTTTAGTTTCTGTTGATTGCCCTAAATCGATGGTAACTTTATTCTGCCTAACCTTGTAAAGCAAGACAAATTGATTGTGTTCTGGAATAACAATGAAAAGCAAAAACAAAGAACAAAAAAGTGCTACATCCTAGCGTTGCATGCACACTCCCAGCAATGTAGGCTGAGATGTCCAAAGGACCCAACATTTCGCCTGAAATTTCTTTGAACAATTTCAGCCAATATTTAATAACTATATTTAGGTCAACCAACATTGTGTTCACACAACCCAATATGTTGTATGCATTTTGGGAGAAATTTTTGGTCATTTCAAAGAGATTTAGAAATTTTTCAGAATACTTTCAATATATTAAAGGTTTTTCCATGGGCTAATTTTGTGAAAGGCTTAAAAAGTCCGTAAGGTGATGCAGGCCATGGCATATTTAAGTGTGTGTTTGTGATGGGCATGGAAATACAAGAAAGGCGTGGGTTAATTCTCAAACCATCAGACAATTTTTAAACTATGTGTGCCGAAAGGAATTTATATTGTCTAGGTTCAAAAACCGACATTGATTTCCGCAGAGTAATGTCTATTATAGTAAATATTTTGTAGCATTTCCAAAAAGTTGCATTTTTTGCTGATTTGAGATGTTCGTTTTTTCGAAAACCGAACAATATTGTTATTCATTTCGTCTTATTTTTCACTGACTTTTTTTAACGAATAATTGATTCTAAAATGGGAGATATGGAAACATATTTTGTGTTTTCTTCAGATATGTTTTTGTGATTCAGTTTTATCAAGTTTTAGTTGATAAAGCAGCTAAAGATTATTAAGACGACCTTTCTAGTAGTTGCTCATTTTTTATCTGCAATAAACAACAAAAAAATTCTAATCTTTGTCGTGGATGGCTGCATAACACAAAATCAGTTTAAGACACTGATGTCAATTATTATTCTCATTTTCTTCCAGAAGCCCCTTCCAGAAAGGCCCAGAGAAGTTTGTCCATTTCACCCCTGCCGCCTGTGTTCCAAAGAGTTATTGCTGATGGTAGGTAACTCTTAAGATGTAAAAAACATACCTTATCTTGCTGAATAGCAAAAATGTTTTATCACGGCAAAATTACGTTACAGTCCATGTACATTCTGAAACTTTTGAGATTCTAAAATAGTACTCTTGTTCTTGAGACCTATCTGTGTACAAAATCTATTTTTTGTACCTGCCTGTCCTCAATTTCTTTATCTTCAAACATTTTCTATCCTGAATTAAGTATAATCATGCCATGAATTTTTTTTGAGATGGTTGGGACATAGAATTCTAGATATCAGTACAGTAAACATATTGTTAATATAAAACAGTTATTCGCATATGTTTGTTCTCTCAATGAGACCAACACTGCGTTACAGATGTTCATGCAATAAGATGCTTTTCCAGTCCTGTAACGAAGCTTGAGGCCTTGTGCTTGACTCCATGGTGTTGTTTTCAATGACAACACAATAAGTGCTCTACCATCCCATAAGTGCGGCTATTCAAACTTAACCGTTTCTTGTTCGTATCTCGCAGCCTTTCTCTATTGGTTTTTTAATCAAATTGAGCCATGTTATTGCAAAAATAAAAGTTTGTTATTTTCCATTTTTCCTTTCAGATGTCAAAGTCCCGAAACCCGTTATTAAATACGATACAGCTTTAACCCTACTTGTACCAGAAAATAACACTCCTTGGGATTTCTATGTACAGATTTTTGGCAATGCGTATGATCAATTGATGGAAGAGTTATGGTGCGTAAGTTTTCTCTAATTATCTGAATTTTCTGAGAATGTTTACCTGGAATTAAAAGGCCCATGAAAGTTTGTTATTCTCGATGCAACAAGCCTGATTAATCAACGTTGCAAAAACAACTCTGGGATTTCAATCCTTGTCGCCTGAAATTATTTGCATGGGAAAACTCAACTCGGATTGGGAAACCTCATATCAACGAATAAAAAAGAAAATGGCAGTCACTCAAACTCAACCGGGGTTGATACTCAGTATAGCTCAACCTTCCTTGTGTAAGGTGACTCTTAGTAAAAGAGCATGTGCATTAAACTTAATTAATATTGCGCATGCTCACTACTTCAAGAACGGGGGTTTGCTCCTTCATGAGGAGACTTTAATTGGGTCGTCTTCATAGCAGAAAATGTTTTAAAGTTTATTTAGCTCTGTTTTCTGTTTACGTCTTGATCTTATCAGTTGTTGAATTCTTCAGCCGCTTATTTGATTCTTATCTTAATGTTTCTTATTGCTATTTCAATTGATGATACATTTTGATTTGGGGATGAGTAACAAATAACTGAAAACTATAGTAATCCACTTTTTATGATATACTGACCATTCGACGATCAACTGACTAGATGGTGTGCCTTATGACTCTATATTGTCTGATTTTATGCTTCACACACTGATACAAGCACTGCCTATCATTTCATTTTACTAATTTTGAACCGCTTTTTCCAGCCTATATTTCTCAAGGCAAGCCAGTCAGGGATATAGAGGAGGTATCATCAATATACCGTCTCCTGGATGTTATTGCTGTGCAAAGTCACCCATTGACGGAACTTGGTATAGAGCGCAAGTCATGGATGTCAAGTCAATAGATTCAACTGAAAACCCAATCAACACGGACTGTAAGCTGCTGGTTTATACATTCAGATTAGTACAAAATTATCAGTAAACCAATGATAACAAACGAATGCAGTGTAGGCCATTTTCAAACGTTTTTGGACGTAAGAACCAAACCTTCCACCATATTTCAAGTCGCTTGTTACGCCTACATCGTTTTACATAACATTTCACGGGGTTGCCTTATGACGTGAACATTGCAATAGTCTTTGGTGTCAAAGAGACCTTGCACACTGCATATTTGTACCTGATGTATCCTATAAGCGCTTCTTATAGGTTGATTAACGATCATGTGATCATTTGCAGTTTATATGACAACAAAATGAATTGTCTGTGGATGTGTACGAAGCTTCGCATTAACTGATGATGGCTTTACTTTTGCTGATTTTAGAAAGCATTTATACACCAGGATTTTCCTTCCCTTATTTCCGGGCGCTGTTATCGCTTCATAATTGTATGTTGCTTCATGGTAGATTGTATTTTGATTTTTAGACTGCCCATCGGAGAGTGCCATGAGCTGTTACGAGGACCCCATTCTGAATAATTTCAAAGCAAAAGTGTTTTTAATTGACGAAGGCATTACCAACGACGTTCCTCTGAAAAACTTAAGACCATTGGATCCACAGTTCAGTCAGTTACCTGCTCAAGCAATCCATTGTATGCTTGCTGGAGTTGGACCGGCAGAGGATGAAACGCTTTCAGGTAGATCTCTTTTAGCTGTTTAAATAATACACAATCCTTGCTAAACAATTCAATGCTAGAGGTTCTTGGAATGCCTTATTGATTAGGTGTTGGTTCTTGCGCATTGACCTAACAAAAGTAAACATTATTGCTTGTAGACTTTAATACCATAACTATCTGACAGAATCAAATTCGATAACAAAAAAGCCCTCAACATTGAATACAGCATCATTGTATAGGAGGGTATTCTATTGACATTATGCGAAATTTTAATGTTGTGTAGAAAGACTTTAAGCAAAGAATGAATGTAAGTCTTTTTTAATACCCCTAAAAAATAGTTCCTATCGTCAACTAGGGCACAAAAATACCTCCTTAATTAGCACTATATGTAGTTTCAACTTCTAACTGTGCTTTAGGCCTTTTTGAATCATAACACACTTTGTTACAATTATAACCCTGTGTTCGCTGCCTAATGCAATCAGTGTAGATGTTTCTCTCGTTTAAAGCAACAGTTCTGTTCATCACACAAGGCGCCAGTGGCCAATCTACATGCACGAAATAACCGGTCTTTCAATTACAAGAATTCTGGGGCAAGGTATTAATAAACTACGCTCGAAGGGAGCTGTAAAATAGGACATAAAGCTGAATATTAAATGCTAATTTTTCTGCTTACTGTCTTTGGTTTGAGTGACGTGAAGCAGGAAGGTCCGGATTAGACAAAGATATCACGAGGTGGTTGAGGTCTAAAGTTTGCTAAACAGAATCTACTGTTGGTATATTTTGTATACAAATGGGCAGTTTTAAGGTGATTGTTATCTTAAAAGATTTTCTCTTTTTGGAGTTAAGACTTTCTAGACTTTCTTAACTGTGTGAGAAAATGCACCTTACAACTTGATTTTTAAAAGCGTGATTTTTGACAATTCTTGATTTCTACAGGCATTGTTGACTGGTCTGATGAGTCAATCGATTGGTTTAAAGCGACAATATCTTCAGAGCATTTCTTTACTGGCTACATCCATCACGCACACATTGATGGAGGCTGTTTGCCGATCGACCTTTACACCGGTGAGCAGCCAGTCAAAGGGACTGCTGCAGCATTGCCTCCGATTGATGACAATGTTGGTTGTATGATGTTAATGGTAAACATGGCGAGTCCTTTCTCTGCTACTCCGTCGCATTTGCGCACGCATTACAAGAAAATTGACAGCATAAGTTGTACGTTAACACCAAAATTGCTTTCTTTCAGCTTTGTTTTCTAGAGGTTTAATACAGGCAAGCGTCATTTGAGTGGGGGGGGAGGGGGCTTGGTGGGGTATTGGATGTGGGGTTGGGTATGGGGTGGGGTTGGTTAGAGGATGGACTGGGTATGAGAGGTGGGGCTGGATAAGGAATGGGCTGGGTAGGGGAGGTGGGGCTTGGTATAGGAGATGGGGCTGGGTAGAAAAGTTGGGGTTGGGTGGGGGAGTTGGGGTGTGGGTAGGGAAGGGGTGGAGGTAATAGGTAGAGGGTGGGACTTGGTAGGAGAGGTGGGTGACAGGTTGTACTATATATGCTTGCTACTTGGCATATACTTAAGCTTTCTTTTAAAAAAGCTGTATTCGGTTCCGTAGCGAGTAACCCATACATTATCGAAAATTTGTTACATCGATTGAGATTTTTCGTCTTATAATTTCTTTGACTGAAAATTCAAGAAGTGAAAATTAACTTAAATTTGTTTGTATTGTGCTTCCGCTTCATTTTATTAGATAAAAATTGTCATGCTTTCTTGTCGTTATTGAAAATGCCAACTACTTCTTGTTGTAGATAAGCCAATTGTTTCTGAGAATGAGTTTCAAGAAGAGGAAGAAGAAAAGCCACAGAATCTGCGAACTGAAACAAGCTGCAGAGATACGGAAACTTTTCAGTCGGTAGAAAATAATCAGTCTCCTGATATCAAGGAACCTTGTAATGTGGAATTGTTAGCAAGAGATGTAGAGAGGATAGCTTTAGCGGAGGCCACTGTATTCAAACAATCAGTGGATAAAAAACTTGGCAAGAAGGAAAGTCAAGTAAAGAATAAGCCAGTGGAAACTGCGAAGAGTGACGTCACAAGGACTTGTGCTTCTGAAGCAAAAATCAGTCCACAAGATTTGCCTAGAATAGAACAACCTCCTGCGCAAAATGCCACTTTTGAGAATAAGTACAAAGAAAAGACTTTTGATGTTGGTCAAGAAGGGTTTTGCCCCGTTATAGTTTCAAGCGTGAATGATCCATCGCTGTTCTATGTTCACCTAATCACCCCTGACGTGGCTTTGTTTGGCACAATGATGGATAAACTAAACAGTGTTTACTCAATTACAGGTAGTACAGTACATAGTGTTTCATTTGCTAAATAATACTGCAGTAGACCTCACAGTAAAACCTGTTATTTGACTATAGTTTTTGCAGTATACTAGAAGTAACACTATAGTTTTTGCAGTATACTTAAACCAAACTAACACACCTTAGCTCTCCTGGGTCCCCCTAGCCTTTCTGAGCCCTCCCCTGCATTCTTTAGCCTTTCAAAGCCCTCCAAACCCCTCCAAACCCCTCCAAACCCCCTCATTTTGCCCTCCCGAGCTCTCTGGTCTCTAGGCCTTTTATCCCATCTAGCCTCTTAAGCTAGCTAGCACTACAACTCTGTTGCCATCCGAATATCAGATTGAATAAATGCATCTGTCCTGGCATTTTGTAGAATTCAAAGTTCCAGAAGAACATCTAAACATTGGCAATGCTGTCGTGGTCAGGTTCTCGGAGGACGGAAAGTGGTATCGGGGAGTGATCAAGCATCTACGTATACCACAAACTGGCATCGATTCTGCAAGCGGTACTGGTTCTTTGGCATGCCAGTTCGAGTATGAAATACTACATGTTGATTATGGAAGTTTTGAGTGGGTGAAACATGCTGAGGTCTGCCCAGTCATTGAAGAATTCTTCGAATTGCCAATGGAAACACTTCCTTGTTGTATGGCCGACATCGAACCAATGGGTACGGCTCATTTATTCATGTCTTAACATGGAATTCTTCTTTGAAGGCCAGTTGTATTCCTCAAGTGGTCTGTCACTCTATCTTGAACCTCTTTTTCTTTCTTACCTCAGAAATGTTTCCAGAATTACGTGTTAGAATGTGAACTGTGAAAACACTCATATACAAAATGATGTAGGCAGTTCTAGGTTCCTAGTGTCCTGTTGTTGCATTAAACACTGTGACGGCTCAAAATGTGGATATGTCAACTTTGTAAATTTCTCTGTATTTTGAAAACAGTTTATGTAAATGTGACTCTTAAAATTGTAATCTTTTTTTCTTGGAAGGTAATACTTCACTTCTTCACAAATCTATCAAATTCAGATTCATTTGCTATTCTAGGTTTTTATCATACAATTAGTCCATCTTAAATATTTTGGACGTTACATAGATCAAATAAAGTCATAATTTAAATTTTGTATGACATTTCCTATTAAATAGAGGTTTGCTTAGAATATTTTTTCTTCTATTGTAGAAATATCACGTGATGTAAATGTCCCATCATCATCTGCATCAAATGGCATTGCCAATGACCGAAAAAGAACCTTTTCTCGGGAGATGAAGTCGAAAATAAAGAATAGGAAGGATAGGAAAAGTTCTCATGAGCTTATTGAAGTGGCAGCTGGGGATGAAATGTTTGATGATGCCTTTTACACGAAAGAACTGCAAGTGAAATGGTCAGAAAAGGCCATTGAAAGGTTCAGAGAGCTTACATTGGATGGTCAGCTGAGAATTGCGAGTCTTAAGGACAATGTTAGCAAGCATTTACCAGAAGATCCGTGGGCAGTTTGCTTGTACAACACAAATGATGACGCAGATGTCTTCATAAATCAGGTTCTGGTTGACGAGGGTTTGGCTGTGTCCCATGTTTATACTAAAGCAACCGAAGAAAAAGTTTACAAAAAAGGTAAGGTGTGCAAGAAAATATATAGAACTAGTGAACCAGAACTATACCAAAGCCAGGAACATCCTTACATTGTGAAATATGCTTTGCAGCACTATCTTTTTTTGTAATGGCATAAGAAATCTGGGATAACATAGTTTATTTTCGTTATTGAAATGCTTATTTAACTTTGCCGATACATTGTTGCTGCCTGCTGCTTCTAAGCTGTTCGACTTGGAAATATTTGCTTATGTAGCTAGGGCTTTTTATTTGTGTGGTTATGCTTAAGTAATGGAGTTTGTTTTTTAGCAACAAGAAAAGTCGTCGTGACAGAACAAGAGCTGGAGACAGCGCTTGAAAGAAGCAAGGGTAACATACCTTCACTCTTTCTAGCATACTGGGCATATGTTTCAGGCTTCATTTACACAGAACTGAATTCATCAGTAAACTTTTTGCATTTTATATTTGGTATGGCTTAAAATTAATGAAAATTGCTGTTTGCTGGTCTACCAAAAAGTGCGCGATCCCGTATAGGCAGAGCTACCCAGTTTTGCTCTTAGTTCGATCATTCGGCAACTGTTCTAGTTTGAAATTTTGCCCTGTTCCACACTGATCCATTTTCAGGGGGTGCAGTGCGTGCCTAAGGATTTGAGGAGAGACCCAGCATCCAGCTCTTTAACAGCATAAACATCATGGGTTCCAAATTTTTGATCGGCCAAGATACTTAAGTTTTCAACACCTTATTGATCAATCAAAGTTCAGGAATTTGACAGCAAATGTACCTCGTAGCTATAGATAGGCCAATACCATTTCTACCATATCTTATTGGACAATCAAGTTTCACGAATTTTACAACAAACACGTCTTTCAGGCCTGTTTTGCACATTTTTATCAGCACCCCCCCCCCCAGTATAAGATGGTAGGGTAAAATATGTTGAAAGATATTTCATAAAAAAATATATGATATATGATAATGATGATAAAAAGAATTTTTATAAGGATAAAAAACTTCAACAATCGAATGCTGCTATCAATGTTTGCCCTGTAGAAATAGAAGATACTAAAAAAATGTATTAGATGGTAATTACATCTTTAGGAATTCAGGTGTTTATAAGTTGTAATGTTATGCATAAAAATTATTTATGATCTTCCTGAAAGCAGCTGCATTGTCAGACATCCTTGCAGCAAGTGGCAGTTCAGTAAAAATTTTTGCACCCCTGTAGAGGAAGCATTTCCTTGCGTATTCAGTTTTAAATCGTGGGAGCCATACACTATATTTATTGTTTCTTGTGTTCTTGGAATGTTCTTGATACGTAAAGAATTGGCTAAAGGATGGCAGACATTTTTCTGTAGGATATTGTGTGCTGACATGCAGGTCCTCCTTTTGGTGGCATTCATTGGTGATATAATTTCGCATTCCAATTTCTTGCAATTATTTTCATTGCACGATTTTGGAATAAATGGAGCTTTTTTTCTTGTGTCCTATTCACTTCTAAATTTGATATTCCGCAATAAGTAAGCACTGCTAGGACCATTGACCGGCCAATTGATTTTGCATACTCTGTGTCTAGGTGATTTCTGATCTTTGCCAGTAGCTTTATGCGTCCTGAGACTTTTTTGTATTTGTCATCAAAATCACCACTAAGTTTGAGTCTAGCGTCTAATTGAACACCTTGCATTTCCGAGATACTTGTATGTACAAGTAACATTTATTTGACTATCCCCGTGTAATATGCATAAAGGCTCCATGCATTTCCGTATTTTCTGCGCTGTTCCAAACAATAGGGCTTTTTTAGGTTGAGGATTAATTCATTTTCACTAAACCAGTCAGAAAGTTCTGCTATGGCATTCGATGATTTTGCATTTATTTCTTTGATCTTTTTACCAGCTACGTAGATAACGGTGTCATCTGCGTATTTTATTATGCTGGGGTCTTTGGTGGAATAAGCGTTATCGTTTGATAAATTTGCAAAAAAATGCTGTTACGTACATAGTGAAAATGTTTCCGCGATCCTCGGTTATTAAGGCTTGCAAGTGGCCGTTCACAGCTGTCCTAATTATTTGGGGGGGGGGGGTTGGGTGGTAGGAGTATGGAAGAGCTGCACAGCTGAAACGTGTAAAGCTGTTATTATTTATTTCTTGGTGTTGTTGAAAGCGTGCAAAAAAGGCTTAAATCTAGCTGCAAGGCGTTTTTGTTGTCAAATTCGTGAAATCTGATTGTCTAATTAGATGTGGAACATTAAAATCTTTTATCCAATCAAAGATTTGAAACCTACAACAAGATAAGACAACAGTTGTTTGCTTTCACAGTACAGATCTATGAGATGTTGTGTAAGTACAATCTTGTCATGTACGAAATATGTTTAATTTCACCTCTGTCAAAGTAAAGCCAGTCCGATGCAAAAACTAATCCAGTGTTGTATATTTTGGAGCTTAAAGACGAGTCATAACCCTGTACATTTGCATGGTCCACCGTCACCGAATTTGACATTATTTCCTTTAAACGCAGATGAACAGTCACCAACTTCTCCAGTTAGTCCAACAAACTTATTGATGAATAAATGGAATCCAATGGAAGAGGCCTTCCATTCTTACAGAAACGCGTACACAATCGACATCGATGACCCTGGTTTGGCTACAACCGGAAACGGTAAGTTATTGGTTGTAGAGAATTTCGCAGCTAATTTGTTTCAAACTTTATCCATGAAAAAGATAAGAAAGGAAGGAAACACACAAATAGTATTACAACTTTTTAAAACTGTTTTTCTCGAAATATAACCCTGTGCTTATGTTAAGGGTAGTAGCTTATTCCGAAGTAAGTTTAATTTCCAGTAATGGAAAGCTATATGAGGTGGGACTGTATTGGTGGGTGGGGGGGGGGGTATGGTTCATTTATACACATATACAAGACATATAGAACCTACACAAAGGAGTTAATCAGGACCTGGTTATGCTTAGACTTGGGAATATAAGCGGCCTCGATCTAAATTATATTGATCTAAGTGGTGCTACCTGTGCTATGACAGTTAGTCAGATGGTAAAGTTAAGAAAGAGGAATATCTTCTTATATTTCTGTCATATGACCTAGCGACTTCATAATGACAGAAATGTAACTGCTATAGACGTTTCATACATTTGAGTAATTTGTCCCATAGTTGTATAGAAACATGGCCTTCGTCAGTCTTCTTGATTGTGTCACAAATTTCATATTTCAAAATTCCATGTACTTCCATGTATTTGACACATCTATTCAATTGTTCCTGTGATTTGCCATAAAATACTGAAATATTTTCTTTTGCAGTGGAGCCAGCGAGAAACATTTGCCGAAGTTTTTTGTCTCGCGCTGGGTGCCGAAGAGGGGCATCTTGTCATTTCGAACATGCACGGCCAAGTGAGTACCTAATGTGGCCTAAAAACTGCAATGCTGTTTTACCCCTTATCAACAGCTATAATAGTTTTCATCCATTCTATAAGAAAATCATAGTCAAAGATATGCCTCTTGGCATCTACGAAATTTTATTAATTCTTGATATCATAGCTTTGTGATATTGTACCGATATCAGCTCGTTGCTGCTGGAGCTCTTGAAAAACTGTGGAATAAGCCATAATCTGTATTTGTTCTTTATGAATTTACACTTCCCTCCCGAAGCATTCAAACGGCCGGGCCAATCATTCGCCTTACTTTTTCTTACGCCATGTAAAAAGTTTATTTAAATTTTGGCGGGAAAATAAATCAATAGTGTCAGGAAATAAACGAACTAAGCAAAAAACATAGAGATTGATAAGCCTTGTATGATGCATAAACCTTGCTTTGACCTGCTTAGCAAATTCTTAACTGCATTAAGATTGTTTACGTAAGGTTTTATTCTATACTAGGTGACCCTTCTAGGATGAAACACGAGGCATTTTGTACCACCGTTACTGAAGAGCAAATGTCTCGCTTACTACCAGAGTTTGGAGAATTTGTTCTTGTGAAAGTCACTGTCGTCATTTCACCATTAAAGTTCTACGTTCGGTTGCCATTTGGTCGTAAACCATTTGGAAACATTCTCAAAGGTAAGGGCCATTTTAAGCTAGAATCATCCGTTTGGAGAGTTACTTTTTTATGCTTGAATTCTTGAAAAAGATAATCCACTTTCACAGATTTGTCCACAGAACGGATATAATTCCAAAAGTTCACCTCTGTTATAGGTTTATTTCCTCGGGATGAAATTATTTTATTCTAAGATGGACAGGTTATTAATTTGATTTTTCAAATTAGCAATTGTAACAAAAGGGAGCTTTTTAGCGGAAGCAATAAAAAAGTCAATGTTTTTTAAGTTTTAATTTCGGAATAAATTTATAGATGACGGCATTTTAAGATTATTTCAAATTGTCTATGTAACGACGAGTATTTTGCAGAGTTGCCTCTTCGTCGTATTGTCATGTTTTGACCTTTAAATTCTTCTCCTTTCCTTCATATCTTTCATTGAAATGTTTTACGGATATAAAGTAAGAGTGAATTATGATATTTACTTGCTGAGATTCCAGAAGAGGCTTTTTTGAAAGTGTGGCATATTAGAAATACAACATAAATCTGATAATAAAATCTTTTTAAATTTTTATTCTGCCATGCAACCTTAAAGATGACTGATACTAGCAGCTTCTTAATTAGATGGTTATATATTATGTCCCATTACAAAACTCAGTGTCGAATCAGGGGGTTTCGATAGATATGGGGCTTTCTCCATAGTTTTCAGATTTTTGTTTAAAATGAGGTGGGGGTTGATCTAGAGGAGGCTGATAGAAGAGAGGTGGGGGGCTTGACCCCACTGTTTGTATCTTTTCATGTAACCATATTGGCGTATCTGCGTTTATAGGGTACTTTAAAAATACCATCTTTTTATCAAGTTTAGTCTAGCCATTACGGTCCAGCCTTAATTATGTTTATGAATTGCCTTTCTAGCTGCTTCATTTACCAGAGAATGTAATGAAGTTGACGAACTTTTTGAGCTCCGTGAGAAAATGAAGTAAGACCACAATTTATGTCTGAATATAAGATTTTTCCTCCTTTGTGACTCATGATGTCAACCTGCGAGGACTCTTTTGATGACATTAATGCACAGCAATTAGCTGACTTTGAGTTTAGAATGATCAAGTCTTCGAGTGTATATTTTAAAGTCTTCTGTTTCTCCTGTGCTAATGATCAATAATTAATTGCGGGCGGTCTTTAGTTAATGGGATTTCTTTTTCACGTGTTAGCTTGTGAATCTTTCCCATTTTATGACTCTTTTAGTATCAGGTTTTTCTGCCGTTATTATTTCAAGTGTCTTTTCATACCTTTATTAAAGTAAATGTAACAATTATCCGTACTTTAATTAGAATTTAAATGAAAGATATTGGGAAGGTGGGATCTCCATGAGAGAGAAAGAAACCTCTTTGGCATTGGCACATTGACCAATTAGTTTGTTCATTAGATAGTAACCCATTGATAATTTTTTTAATAATTTCATTTTAATCTCATCCATCTAAACTTACAAACAAATTTCCAAAAATTTATTTAATCTAAAAACCTACATGCTTACATTCAGTATAACAGTTCTTTAATTAATCTACCAAAAAACAAAAAACAAAAAGTCTATTTAAACAAGAATTCAAAAAAAAGTCCCTGATCATTTTAAGCACAGCAAACTAGATTTTGTTGAGCTAAATGATACTTTCGTTACTGTCCTATCGTCACTGATCAACTCAGAATATTTCTCGTTCAATTTTGCTGACAGTTTCAAAGCAAGTTTCTTGTAGAAAATTTGACATTCTTTACCCATAGAGCCATTGGTTCCAAAAACTAAAGGGGGAAATGTTCTATGCTCTACCTCTATGATGCGTTGATTATTAGCCCTTTTTTCTCGTTTTCTGCATTTTTCAGAATTCTTTCTGTTGTCAAATTATTTTGTAACGTGGCGCTCAGATTAGACATTGTCACATCAAATAATGCCTTTATATTCAGGCTAGCACTATCTTCATAATTAGCTGTAGATGGTACTGGTGAGGGGGTAGCAGCAGTGGCTCATTTGCAACGTCTTTGCATACTTCAGAAAGTAGGCGAGCTTCGAGGTCCCTTAAGTCATTATGGAAAAATCCACCCTTTTTTTGCAGTTCGTGGCGTGGATCGGGTTAAAGGGTTGTTTGCAAGGACACCTACTTTGCAGTTCTTTTATTGGCATATTGTATCTTAAGTATAAAGCATCTCGAAATTCCTCTTTGTTTTACATATAACCCTCCTCTTCCAAAGGAAGAACATTCAGCTTGTTGGAAGTTCCTTTGTCCTTTGCAAGTGTGACTGCTCTTTTCATTTTATTTGGAAGTTTGTCTTCCAGTTCCGTGGCTTTATCTTTGAGCTTTGTTATTCTTTGGTTCTTTAAATTCCTAGCTATCTCTTTAACCTCTTCTTCTTTTGGAATTTCATTATATTTTTGTTGAATTATCAATACTGCCAGAGGTGTACTGATGGATTTTGATGCAAGATATTTTTCCCGAGCTTCTCCTTGCCTGTTATCAAACCCCAGCTCCCCCCCCCCAAAGCTGTGTTGGAAGGGATAATGTATCCTGTAGACCTCTGGGGTTTTCCACATCCAAATATTGCTGGTAACAACTTATGATGTACATGATCGCTCAATGATTTCCGCAAATGGCTTATGTTATGAATTGTTCTGAAATGAAAGGTGAATTTTTGCTTGTATCCTTTGACATAGGCACAATAGGCTGCTTGTGGTTGGGAGTTTGCAATCTCACAGAGGTTATCTAACTCCTTTATCCATTGATCCACTTTTCCACTGATGTACTTCTCTTTAAAGCTTGTTGATCCTATTGCTGCTCCAAGGTGTCTTTCGCCTTCGGTTGTCATTTGAATTTCATAGCTTTTGAATATTTGCTTGGCCTTCTGATGATCTATTTCATTTTTCAAGATCAACCATGACCTTTTTGCATTTACATAATAGCCAAATTTCTTTCCTTCAGCTAATAAGCTGTCAAAATATGATAACAGTGACTGCAACTTTCCTTCAGCAGAGGTGTCATCTGCAAGCCACACTTGTTTCACATCTGGGCTTGCGCTGCGGAGAGTTAAGATAATCAGTCATGTAGATACCGCATTGAAGGGCATTGCTAGGGGGACCCCTTGTGTGGTCCCTTCTCTGGCGACAGTTATGCTCTCCCAGTGATGAACAGCCTTGAAGGAGCTCTGTACGTGTTGATGAGAATAAACGATGCTCTGGGGCAGAGAATTTGAATGTTGTGGAGAGCTACTTTGCGGTTCAGGGAGTTGAAGGCATTTGACGCATCTACTAGCAATACACTAAGTGAGTTCTCTTCTGCAAAATTTCCTGCATAGCATGGGTGGCTGCCTCAGCTTCAGCCTTGTGGCCGGCACAAACTTGAATGGGGCCAGCTGGAACTTTAAAATCCTCCTTCAGCTCATTAGCAACAACTCTACCTGTTAGTCTCCCACAGATAATTGTATGACGTCAATGTAAATATAAATCAAGCTGATAATACATGGTTTCAAACTCTAACCGCTCTTTGAAATTACAAAATCTATAAACCTTTTCGTTGTTCTGTGTTAGGGCAACAGTTTTCAATTTTTTCCAATACTTTTTTTCAGCAAAATGTATGCAAGTATGCCATACAAAAGATCTGATATTGTGGTGTTCTTGGAGGGGGAGCTCATAGCAACTAAATACGCTCATGACGGACATTGGTACAGAGCACGTATAACCAAAGTATTGGAAAGAGAGTATGAGGTGACCCAATCAAATCTGTGTAGCCTTGTTATTGTGTTGTTGAAGAAATGATATCAAGCAAGTTCTGCTATTGTCCTATTGAGGGCTGCCAAGAAGGGAGAGCCAGAGGGCCCTGCCTCTTACAAAGTTCAAGCAAATTTTGAAGACTTTTAATTCGAGAATTTGCTAAAATTGTTCTCGAATTCTTTTCAAATTTAGTTTTCTTATAGAGGTATTCAGGATTCAGTATATGCTTAAAGTTTTTTAGGATACTTTTAGGAAGGCATTTAAGTCACACAACAGGCAAAAGATGTCTGTTAGAACTGTGTTAGATGACTTTAACTTTCTTTAATAAAAACTACTGTTTACTGGCCTTTCATGATGAGCTGTACACAAATTTCTGCTGATAGCATTAAGCTTGAAACTTGGTTGCAACAAATCAAATCACTTCTTTTTTTGATTGAATGATCGATCAAAATGATTCCTGTTCTTTTATGATGTATTGATTTTTACCTGATAGGTGTTTTACATTGATTATGGTAATGTTGAAGTGGTGCAAGAAAAGCAAATCAGAAAACTGATACCAGAATTTTTGTTTGTGGACCCACAAGCAATGGAGGTTTCTTTGTCAGGAGTTGAGATGAACGAGAATGTTGATGGGAAAGGATATACAGTGGAGGAAACTTTGTAAGTAGCGTTAACGCATCAGTACATCGATACATGAGAATAAGTGTTTGTAGAGTCTGTTTTATAGTGGTCGAAGCCATTTAAGCAGAGTTGTACACGCTGTGGTGTATAGAACTTAGAACTGTATCCTTGAATTCTACTTAAGCCTGCAAAACTTTGTTATTCCCTTTCCTGTATAGCTTTCCATCCCGCTTACATGTTGCCAAAAAACCTATTCAAATAACAACAGCTTTGTATCTATACTCATCAGATTTAAATATGTTAGTCCATAGCTCCAGTCTTTCTTTTGTCAAGGTTCCATTGACTATAGGCCCCTGCGCATGGCTTTTCTAGGCACCCCTGAGTAGGCAAGCTAGTGTTATGCAAGAATTAAGAGTAAAATAGTTTTAGTTAAGTGGGGCAAGATTTTAATCAGTTGCTATCTTGCATTTTAGGGAGTGTTTGAAGGAAATGCTTGGCGATGGTGTGGCTATAGCCCGGGTTATGTCAAGGTTTGTATTCATCTTCCATGTTTTATACAAACTATTGTAACTGCATTTCTTTATCTTATTATTAATTTAACTATTTTTTGAGTGTTTTTACGACATTATGCCTTTCTCTATCTAATTATTTATATAGCTATTTGCTTAGCGTTTTTAGAACATCATTGTTTTAAATCGCTTTGGGTATCAAAAGTAATTAATAGGGAGGGAGTTTTATGATATCTTTTTCAACTTTATATACATTAACAGATTAAGAGTAAAGTACGGAACCTCTATACTGAATATATACTTGAAATAAATATTTTCTGCTTGCACCTTATGAAGCTTTAAGTTTCTCATTCCCCTTAAAATATGATCTACTTTTTGTAATCTCAATTTCAGATGGATAAATGGGACCCTGCAGATCGAGCTGTTTGACAAGAAGACAAATGTGAACATAGGCAAGGAGATGATTCAAATGGGATATTTTCAGCCCATATCAACCAAGAAGGCGTTGAGCACCGCAAAGCCAATTAAATTTAGCTCTGCTAATCCTCGTATGATTCCAGCGTAATCCTGGATTGTTTGTAAATGAAATGATCAGATCTAGCTGTGACTCTGATAATCATTCAATTTCCAATTACAATATCAAGTATCAAATCGTAACAGAGTATATCCCCCAAGAAATTTGGCTTTTTGATAAGTTTCTCTTACAGAACATAAAGCACTTGATACGTCATAAGGGGTTGATTGTGTTACATTTAGATGTTGAAATGGGAGTAAATCTAATGAGGTTCCCGTTTCACCAGTACTTTTTTGTTTTTGTTGATTGACTAGCAACATTTCAGTTATGTTCTACTGTGTTTTTGTTTATTTTTCATTAAAATGATTTCATTTTGTAAATTAACTGTAAATACTATTAAACTTCTCCCAAATTTCTTTTTAAGATTAGTCAAATTATAGTATCTGTGTATAAGAGACACTTAAAAGAACTTGCTCGTGTTACCTGACCTGGTCTTATCGACCGCCAGGTCATATTTTAACATAAGCCATTATGTTAAAATATTTCGGTTTGCAGTAAAAAGGAAATATCTATATAGGGTTTTATTAAAAAATCCATAGTCAACCATGTTAGGATATTTTTTAGCTTACTTACTTTTTGAGCTAAGAGTTTTAGTTTCTAACGTACCTCATTGATGTACTAAAGCACCGAATATTTGAATAGGCACCTAGGCAAGTCAGTTTTGCAAAACTTGGGTGCTAATACAGATTTTAATTTACTCTAATACAAATTTTTTGTTATTTCTACGCTAGTCAAAAATTAGGTGGTATTGTTGATTTTTTATCACAGCTACGATTTGATTTGATTTTCTCTGATTTGAAACTGATTTTCTCTGAAATCTTAAGCTTGTCCTTAAGCTGGCAAAATCATGTTGAACTCAAAGATTTAATTTGTTATTCTATTTTTAAATATTTACCCTAGAATACAATTCAGTTTTGAATAGGCATGTTTTTTAACTGCTCTCCATGCCTCGAGAAAAAAAAGAAAAAGATTTTGATATGATTTTAACTATCAAGATTAGCACATTTTTACCATTTTCGTAATAAAAACTTCTAACTAAAGATTATAGAAAGACACTGTAGATCAGATTTACTAAAATAAGGTCAGTTCTATTCAAGATGTGCAGTAAAATCAGATGCATTCCTAAGGAGAGAAGATTTTCGAGAATTAAGGAACTTAATACGGTATTTTTGTATGTAATGACTTTTTATTCTTGCGTTTGTTTTATTATACACAAACTTGATATTTAGCAGTATATATGGTCGTATTCTCAGTATAAATTTTTAGAATTTATGTGCATGTTCGTTAAAGATCTTAATTTTCGTTGAAATAATGCTTTTATGACTTCATTTTTGACAAGAAAATATGCTTTTAGATCAGAAAATATCGTTGAATTTTTATTATAATTTGTTTTGTTCATGTTTCGTCATTATTACTTCACATGTAAAATTTTTAGTTCGATATTTGTATATTGTTATGTTATTTTAAGCAGTGGTATTCAAATTTAATGGTTATTGTGTAACACTGAGAAAAATTTTTATGGAAAACTCAAAAATCTGAAAAAGAGTTTGGTTACTCAGCTTGAAAGCTCTCGTGGATACTTAACTTATCTATTTTCTTTTGTGAAAGTAAAAATAACAATTTTAGCCAATCTTTTGTCAGTACATACTTAATAAGAATACCCTAATATTTTTCTCAACATTCTCAAGAATTTCCGATATTGTACCGAAATATGTTTTTAATGATTCTTTAACGACACTAAAGGCAATAGTAGAAGGGAAAAAAGTTTTTAGCCGTGAATATATAATATGATTAACACATATAAAATTTTCGTAAAAGTAACTGTAATATTAAATAATATTGAAGCTTAAAATTGCAATCAAAACTCTAGTAAATACTTTTTTATGAAGTTATAGTATATCTATTATTTTCAAGTTATTCTTAAATTTTAGCAGTTTCGTGCCTCGATTCCTATAAAAAATTCTTATAAAGTGCGTTGAAATTGGTAATGCATATTCTACTAGGTGTACATTCTTAGATAAAATGTTCACGATTTCATGTTATCGATTTCCCAAAAATGCTGTATTTTCAAATAAAGTTTCGTAAAGAATTTATATCATATTTGAGAAAAGTTTGGAAAATAAGAAGAAAATCACAATGCTCGAAAATAGTCGTTGTCAGTTAGGGAACTTAAAACATTACGTTAATAACCAAACTTTTTAATTTGATAAAAGTAGAGTATTGAAAGAATAAAAGTTCAGCTTGGTAAAACATATGTTAATCACATTTGAGCAGTTTCGCAACTATAAATTTACGCATTTATAACCAAAAAATTTTTTAAAACATTTTCTGCTAGTTTTTAGGATATGTAACGAAAATTGTTTAAAAGGTAAACTTTAATGAAAATAAGTAATACCTACATTTACGAACTTAACGAGCAGAAAGGCCTTGGAACAAATATTCGAAATTAAATTATCAGAAATATCGATGATTGATAAGAACACTTTAAAGCAATACTAGTTCTTGTACAAATATTTTTTAGAAATAGAAAGCCATAAAAGAATTTCAGACAATATTATTACAATTTATAAAAAGTTAGTGTTTGTCATATCTACTTCGTTTATATTTACGGGTAATATTGAAATTTTGCCGAAGCTGAAGAATCCGGTCAGGATAATCCGATTAACCTCGTGTCATATACGTCGAAGAGTTTTTTGACTGCATTAATGAATTACAGGTCGCACAGAGTCAGAGAACGCTCTCCTAAGAATATGACATCTAGCAAAACATGATACCTATTCGGATTCTTCATGTCCGCCAAAATTTGTAAGTTTGGTGTTTCTCAAGTTTAGACAAAACAGCTTTTAATGTATAGAATCCTGTTAGATGTTGCTACTAAAAAGATTAGCAATAGCATACATGATAAGATTGTTAAAAATAACATAAATTTACTGTTTTCTACCCTGACTTGATTTGCTTTTTCCAGTGTTCTTGATATTTGGTGGTTCATTGTTTCAATGCTTCTTCTGATTCTTTTGTTTGCCATTTTGGTGATTGACTCTGATTCATTTGTGATAAATGGATGATTCAATAAATCTTTGGCCAGTGGACGGCTCTTGGGATCCCTGAATCATACAGTAGTTATATTGCCAATGTAATCAATTGTATTATTATGCATGAATAGCCTATGCATGAACTATGCGTTTATACCATGCTAGCATTCAAACTTTTTGGCTGCAAAGTTATTTTCAGATTAAAAGAGAATACTAGATTAAATAGATTGACGATTAAAGGCAGTCTGTCCCCTCAATGATTGGCTTATATGAAAATTTCGCCTTCCCGCCTCAACGGATTACGCTGCTCGCTTTGGCTGGCCTAGCTGTGGTAATGGACGACATTTGAAACTGCGAGCAAAAAGCTATCGGAAATGGGTTGCCTTTAGGAAACAGAGAGCAAATTGAATTCACACTTATATTTCGTGACAGAAGAAAAACCTAGAGACGTGTGGAAAGTGGAATGTCAGGGCATCTTTACAAAGCTTCCAAAAATTGCAATTTAAAGAAATTTTTTTCATTAAATCTTTTCAATTTATTCTTAGAAAAGCCATTTTCTTTTTTAATATGACTTTTAGTTTATTTGTGCTCAAAAATAAACCAAAGTGCTTGAAAGTGCTTTGTATTCCATTTTACAAATGCTTCGTACATCTCTGTCTGTGAACAAATTTCTTGTTACGATAATATAGTTAGCAAATAAATTTAGTATAAGAATCAAAATATAATAGTTTGATTGTCAAAAACACGACGTTTCGAGTACATGCTGTTATTCTGGATGAAGTACCACACGCAACGTACATATTTTATTGAAATTTCGTGTTACCTTTTGAACGTCTGTGATAGAAAGTCTCTCAGGCTCCCTGAAAGGTCTTTTGGTACCTCAGGTGATTTGTTTCCGATTCCAATGTTGTATACTGCAGACATTGGTTCCATGTCACTCCACGGTGGCTTGCCAGTTAACATTTCAATGACTGTACAACCAACGCTCCTTTTATTACAAAATAAATATAATCACATGTCAATTTGTTTCAGTGTGCTTTTTGACATTATACAAGCTCAAAATGTTCTTCTTTCATATTATCACAAAATAGGTACTTCTGTATTTGGTACTTCGACGTTTGTAGAACATGTGTTTAAGTTTTTTGGTAGCTCTATTCTGGTCAACCCAGACTTCTAAATTTTGTTTAGGTGTGTTGATCTGTCAAAATTCGTATGAAATGTTTCAAGGAAAGTGGAAGACAATACGAAACAAAACCTAATTCAAATATCTTTGTATAATTCAAATAGCATTTATCTTCTTCAAATATTCTATCTGACACGACATAATTTCTCAAAAAACCTCTTTATTTGAATCTCGATTGATAAATGTATATTCGCTGATATTTCTGACTATATAAAAAGAGAAAACCAAATTGTATGTACAACAGGTTTAACTAAATGCATCAAAGATACGTCACGATAAAAAAACCATTATTGCAACTGCGATCATGATTTTTCACTTGTTTTGAAGTCTGACCAAACTTTGTAGAATGTTTACACATGCCATGCCAGAACACATACCATATATCTGCCTTTCTCCCATATCCTTCTCCTTTAGTTGGCGAGGCTCTTATAACTTCTGGGGCCATCCAGTATGGCGAACCAAGAGTGGCGCTAAGGCCACTTGCGGCACTGCAGCGCTAATGAACGATAAATTTTAATACCGCGTGCATCATTAGGCATATAAAAAAACAATTTAGCAAAATGTCAAAATTTCCTTGTTAGAGATTTTGCAAAACTTTAGCAAGAGGAAAAATGCATCATTGTTTGCAAATATTAATCTACTTTGACTAAATCATAAATTGATAGATTTTGATTAACTGCAAACAGGAAGCCATTTTTCATTTTTCAAACCAGAAGTTGGTAGCATACATTCTCAGAAGAAATAAAAATAGCATTGAATCTTAATTCTGTATTGAGTCATATCGATCTATGGAATTCTTCTAAGTAAATATGAAAAAGGGGTACAACTTACTTGAAGTCGTTTAGAAAGCCCAAAGTCAGCCAATTTAGCGCTGCTGTAATCCGAACTAAGAAGTATATTAGCACCTAGGATTAGATGTAAAAGAATTGCACTCTGTTTTTGACTTTAACCTCTGTGGCGAATCTTCGTTTTTAGACTAGGTATACAAGTTATGTTGGCCTAAGCTTCAAATAAACTTTACATCGTTTCTACTTTGTTCACATCATATTCTAATATTAGGCATTTTATCCAACAGCAAAGCTTCCAGAGACGCAAATCTATCTTTATTTGTCACCGTGAAGTTAACATTTTACATTCAGTGATCAAATCGTTTATTCTCTTGAATCTTTTGTCAGAAAAATCTTCGGGTCAGTTAATTAAATCAAATTAACAACAGCATTTGACCCATCAATTACAGTTGTATGGTGTCTGATTTTTCAATCTAATTTCTAATTCAAAAGCAATTTGTATATATATGCTTAGAGTAATTTTTTAAGTTGCTTTTTATTACGAAATTGCCAAAGCTGATAATAGATAGAGAGTAGAAATTGTTATGCAGTAAGGTATTTTGCAGTAACAGAGACTTTGGCTTTGCAAAGGTTTATTCAATTTTTCACTTCGAATGAGACAATTTGAGTAAAACGTCTAACGTTTTTAAGATTCTCAGTGAAATAGAATCAAATCTTAAACCATTGTTTCTTCTGCCATGTTAATCAGCAACTGTCGTGTCATCATTTTAGTTATATGAGGTTTCAGGTAAGCAAGATAAAAAAGTTTTCATAAAAATAGCAAGGCTGTTAAAAGCACTAAGAAAAAGTCACTGGAGAGACTTGATGCTGTTTCAATAAGCACGTAGGTAGCAAAGTTGAGAGAGGGAGCTAAAGAAAAGCATCTCTTAATGTCAGAATATTATAAATATGCCAGAAAATGAATCATTTTAATATTCGATAAAAATGAGGCAAAAAATGTAGTTGTAAGTTGAAGCTACATTTTAAGGGGAGAAATTAAGGTGGCTACAATGCCTAAATACTATGTTTTTCTCTCAAAGAGAGAAACAAAAAAGAAAATATTTCTTAGAATGGACCATTGTTTTTGGATAAACACTTGATCCAGAAGAACGGCCATTTTTAGGTAAAGCAGGAAACATTTTTACAAAATGGGCACTTTTTAACTTTAGGAAAAGGTGAGAGCTTGGAATGTGTTGGTTTATTATTTTCAATTTCTTTCATAGCACTTATTTCTGAATGCTTGTATGCATTTTCTATAAAATTTTTTGTGGTTTAGGGACATATGGCCACAGGTTTTAAAAATACATGAAAAGATGTGAACAATTATAGCTTCTTTTTGAAACCTTTGTCCTGTGCTACCTTCAAGTTTGATATGCTTTTCACTTCCCTACTTTTTGGGTTTATTTTAACTTTTCATGACAGAAGCTAAAAGCAAAGAATTGATTCTGATGTCTGCTTACCCTTGATGTCTCTATGAACGATCATGTTGGCATGGAGGTATGCAACTCCATCAAGAACCTGATGACAGTAACGCCTAGCACTGTCCTCCTTCAATCCTCCATGTTTCAAGACATAATCCCGTATCGATCCCTGTAAAACCCAAAGTTTGCGTCAATACAAAAATGAATTAAAGGCCTTTTCAACCGACAGTTCATAATTGATCAAAGTTTTTTGTTTCAAATGTTAAGCAAACAAGCAACGATAGGCAAGCAGCGTTATTCAAAAACGTCATCCTAAAAACAAACATACATTTGCCAAAAGAGCAATATTTTAGGGCTGGAAAACTTGAGGGAAGTTGCAAATAGTGCCGCTGGCTCTCATTTTCTCCTTTTGCTTGCATTTTTGTTGACATTTTAATGACTTACATTTGAAATTGCTTTAAGTGTCGAATTTGACAAGAGCTGCTCTTTTCAGTTTGATCGCTCTGGTTTAAGGTCCAAGAGTATAAACGTCAAATAATGACCAAAAGTAAGCTGAAAATCTATATCCAGGTGCCATGCCGTAATACTGGACAATGAAGAATTTTTTCTCGAGCAATTATCAAAAATTGTATAGCAATTAGAAAAATATAGAAGAAAAATAGTAGGATGTAGTGAAAAATTTTATACGAACAAGAAAGATAATGCTAATACTTTTAATTTCAATGAATTTTCCGGTTAAATAAAGCTGGTTATTAGGTAGAACTAACTTACTCCGGGCAAATATTCCATGAAAATGTGCATAGTTGATTTCACCATTTCCATACCATAATACTGCACTATGGAGACATGACTTAGATTTCTAAGAACCTTTATCTCAGAATCCAACGCATTCATTTCCTAGAAGGAAGTAAATATTCAAGGAAGTAAGTTATTTAAAAGAGGAACGAAAATCTATGGTTTGATTAATCATTCACATATGAAGAAAAAGAATGAAGATGCTTTCAAAGCATACTTCAGCTTTTTGTCTGAACCTCTTCAAAGATGAAACGTAAGAATATGTTTTTTATACTCAGAAGAATGTCAGGTGAAAAGCTTAAGTTTGTCTTAACGCTGGTTTTCATTTCACTTATTTCGACGTATTTCATCGCAATTCAGAGTCTACGATCTACCCACCGTAAATAATCCTAATAGAATGTAACTCAACGTAACTCATCGGAAGATATCAAAAAATTTTGTTTCTCCCGACAAAATACGTTGAATTACGATGAAATACGTTTTCGGTTTTCATATACCATGAAAATCGTGGACCCTGAATTACGATAAAATGCGTCGAAATACGTCATATGAAAACCAGCCTTAAAAATGTTCGTTTTTTTCAAAGCCATGTTTAAACTCTTTAAGGACAAAATTTGTTTGGACATGCTTGGCAATATCTTTGCATGCTTAATAGAAAAGTATGAAACAAACTTATTTCTTGCTTTTTCTTATATCTTGAAAAAATTTGATTTTAAACTAGTAATTAGAAACAGAAAACTTACAGCGGATATCGAACTTCTTTTACCATTTGTGTTGACTTTTTTCACGGCAATTTGACAGTTTCTGATCAGATCATAGCCAATAAAAACCTTTAAAAATAACACGTGTTTTCTCACTATGTCTTGCATGTTTTATGAATAAACTGCGAAAGTATATGACATTGTCTACCATAATATTTAAAAAAAAGCATTTGTATAATTTGTTTTCAGCACAATTTTCCAAAAAGAAGTTTTTGAAGAATTAGAATTAATAATTAATGGCTTTCAAAAAGATATGACTTCATAAGAGCTTTAAGAGTTTTTATAATAAATCTGAAAATGTATCATGGAATAGTTTTTCATAGAGAAACCAGTCAAAACACACAAATATTATCTGAGAAATAGTCTAGATTAGTTTTGTTTATCAACTTTAAGAGCTAAGCCAAAACGAAAAACTCTTAGCAAATTTCAGGACTCGTCATAACTTAGCCGATCAACCAAGTTTAAGTATTACGGGAGTGTGAGAATGGCCCAGTTGTTAGAGGCGCTGACTACAAGCCCAAGGGTCCGTAGTTCGAGTCCCTGGCATGACCAAAATTTCACCCAGAGTGAGGAGAGTCGCCAGCTCTCTGTAATTCCAGGCATAAGAATCGTGAGGCATGTTCACATTAAGAGGAAGGACCAGGACACTGCTCGATAAGCATAGCTTCTCAGTGTCCTAAAAACTACCTTCGGATAATAGGTAGCAGCAAGTACAAATAAAAAAGTTTAAATATTTGGAAGCATTATATAAAGCTATTTCAATTTGTAAAGTGAAAATTAGAAAATTCACATGCATTTTTTTGTGAAATCATACTTCTTTTCATCTCTTTACATTTTATGTAAATATTATAATGAATTAGAACGACTGCAAAGCGTAGAATGTACGTAAAAATGTCAATTTTAATGAAAGTAAAGATGAATGAAATGAAATTAATGTTCTTTCATTTACTTCTACATGATTTTCGTCTTTCAATCTCATTCTGGTTTACGGAGCATTGGATTTCTAAATGACTTGTAAATGATGTCACAAAGCGTTTTTCATCATGACTGCATTACACTTTATCAGTATTTGATAAAGATCAGTCTAAAATCCTGTCTCTCTCGACAAACCTTGTCTATATTTACCTTTCCAAAACCTCCACAGCCAAGTAATTGTCCTAATTTCCATTTTTTTGGTATTTTGATGCTGAGATTTTCCCTCTTCTATAATAAAGAAAAAAATAAACACGTTATAATAGCATATAATTTAAACACTTTTGGTGTATAGAACAGAATGGTTCTAGCTTGGTACTCTGAGTTTTACGCTTAATGCGGTCATGAGGCAATTGAAAAACGGATACAGTATTACACCACCTATGCAACAAAACTATACCCCAAAGGAATGCACATATCTGCCTATACATCATCGAGCACTTTATAACAGCCCAGTAAACAGTAATTGTGATTAATATGATACTCTAGATTAATAAATGATAATAATAAATATACAGATAATAATTTATATTAATGAAGGAATACTTGTTCAGCTTGCACGGAAGCTGCTGTTAGTGCGAGATAAAAGATTAGAAATTTTAAAAGTTAAAACTCGCAATCAAGTTGATCTTGTATATTGTCTATTATTAATAATATTGCTATTAACATTAAAATCGTTCAATAACTGTACCAGAAAGCTAGTACCAAAAGATCTAACTACTTTACTTTTCTTACTTTACTGAATATTAAACTTATTCAACTTTTACCTCTTGGGCGGATTGCAAAACAAACAGGATATCACCAAATCCTTTTTCTTCTGCTAATTCAACAGGACTTGGCAGATTCTAGAAATATTGAGTTATCAATTAGCTAACAAAATACCTTTGATTACAAATATTGTTAGCTGTATTTTAGAAACGCTTAATTAATCTCTAGTATTTTGAATTTGTTGCGTAGGTCGAATCAAATTGGAAATGAACTGAAGTGCGTTTGAGGTCGAGCCAGTCGTGTCTTATAAAACCTTTGAATACTATTTGTTACTTTAGACTTGGAATAGCTCTTTAGATTATATTCGCCGTCACTATATTGCTTTGTTCATGCTTTATTCTTTATTTAAACTTAATTCATACTTTTGAAATACTTTTTTGAATGCTGGCATATTGAAATGCTCCAGCAGAGTATTACCTCGTAGAAGATCAAATACATGCGTTTCATGAGGAATCTTGTACTCTACTACTTAGAACAGCTTTGAAGCTAGCAAAATTGTGAAATGCAACCAAGCTAAATGAAAACGTTGAATCTACAAACACAGATATCGGAATATAGTCAGAATTTAAGGTTCTGCCAAAAGCTTACTAGTTTATGATTGTGTAAAAAATTTCTTGCAAGGATTCAAAATATCTCTGGCAGTGTTTCGAAATCGCTTTTAATGCAATATTGTGACCACCAAGATCATTTCAGTGGTAACAAAAAGCAATAGAAATCAATTCTATTTAGATGGGGATAAGCTCCTAAAAGTCAGGTTGGGTCAAAAGAATTACGAGAATAGAATTAGAAAACAAAGGCTTTACAAAATTATTATTGGAAAAGTTGTTGCCAAATTCATCATCAACTTTAATAGAATGCTTTTCTATAACGTCTTCCATTTCTATAATAGAATAGATTGTTAAGAAAAAGCCCACTTATAATCTGTCATTTGTCTAGAAAAGCTTGCGGAAATATTTTTTGACCTAGGTTTCCCCATACATGGAGCATCTGCTGTTTACTATAATGAAAAAGGGAGGGGCTTCTGAAGAGAACTTACCCTTTCAAGTAATTAAACATATTTAATTATGATCGGTTCAATCAGTGTCTCCCTAGCCACTGACATGTTTCAGGCCTTCATTTCATGCCATGTTTTACTACTGTTTTTTTTGCTTTTGCTAAATTTGATTCAATATCGCGTTTGTGACCTCTGTGAAATTACTCTGGCCAGAATAAAAAAGGCAGCGTGAATATAAGCAAGGGGGGGGGGGGTCACTATTGTACAGAATAGGGATTCTTAGGTAGGATTAGTAACTGCTTATCAATTATATTTTTTCGCTTCTACATACTTGAACAGGCTGATTTTAAGACTTTTGCTGTCTTACAGTTTGCCTAAAGAAAACCTTCTTTTTTCGATGTTATTTGTTCGACTAATATTTGTCCTTAGTATTGCTTTTTAACTTATCTTTACAAAAAAAGAACTGGGTAACAATTTTTTAGTCCTTCGGTTTCCAGAAATGAGACTTTGGTTGAAAAATTGGAAAACTGGCCTCCTTAAAGATACACCTTTTACAGTGTCTTTGAGTCAGATAACCTATCTTTGAGCACAAGATACTTTAGAACCAAGATTTTTTTTCCAGAACAGATTTGTGATTGAAAGGTTGTTCGTGCTTACCTGTTGATTGCCGTTGATTTCAGCCCCATATGTTACAAGCAGCTGAGTAATATCTTTGTGTCCTAATTTTATTCCAAGTTGCAATGCTGTGTATCCATCCTACATTGATAAGAAAATGCTATGAATTTTGATCAAGATAAAAAATATAAGAAACTTCAAGAGATTGAAGTCCAATTCAAGAACATCGTTATGCAAGCTAAGTTGACAGAAAAAAAACAAGATTTCTGCAAATTGAAGGGGCAAAAAATTTGATAAAAATACTGGACATCAAAATCTTGAACATTTTGATTGGCTGTTGTGTTTGTCTGTTAAGGGGAAAAAGGCTTTACAGACAAGATATTTTGGCTATGTCATCTACATATAGAAAGCTAGAGAGATAGCTCAATAATAATTTTCCTGTTAAATATGGTATTTTTGAAAACGGTTAAAATGGAGCTACAGTACCTTGTCTGGAACATCGACATCTAGTCGCTGGGATCCGTGTGTTAGTAACGCATGCGCACATTCCGGCCTGTCGTAAAGTGCAGCCCAATGCAACGCTGTATAACCACACTATTTGTTGAAGAAAAGTATTTAGATTCAGCTCCTTAAAGTATAGGATAAAGAAAAGGACGATAAATGCAAATCTTTATTTTCTTACTGCTTTCAGCTGTTTACGGTTTATGTTGTTTAATGGCTCAAAACCAAAAAAATAAAGACTTCCTTCTTATCTTTGCCATGTACCTACTTCTCTTTAAAAGCTGTAGTTTCGCAGCTTTTCGTTATCTTGAAGCATCCAGCCTACTAAAGGCCTATTTTCTCTTTAATGTGCCCTAATAAGCAGACCTCAATGTCAATTGGCGTTTCTTTTCTTGATTCATTCAATAGCTTGTAAATCTCTACACAGCAAGCATTTGACATTAGTTTAACATTTGTTAGTTAAACAATTTCTCACGAAAATTTTCAAGAAAGCTTTTTCGCTGCTTCTAGATGTTTTGAACATATAAAAAATCATTCCTTTCCCTTGTGTGTGAAGAAAACATCGAAATTACTTTACTGAGTGCAAACCTTAATAACAAGGCTTAAATTTTTAACGTTGAAATCGATAATAATTCCACGATAACAATGATAAGTACTATGTGTTAAAGAAAGAGGCTTCTGAAAAGGAAATACAGTCTTCTTGCTGTCAAGGAATATGTGATTAATGCATGTGAAACAAAACCTCGAATGGACGCAACCTCAGTTTTGTTTCACTCGATTATCTTGCTGCGTACTTGTATACAGACCTCATCAATAGCATCAACCGGTGCACCTTTAGCCAGGAGCATTTTCACCAAATACAGATCATTCTCCTTGACAGCCTCAATAAGAGACTGTCCAAAGCAGTCTTTAACAAGCACCATAGCCGCTCAAGTCCAAGGCAGGAAGAATTCCATTTAAACACGATATAGTGGAAAATGGTCCTATAACGTCGTTTCAGCAACTGGCTTGATATTGAGTACAAATGTCTTAACTGGAAGGTACTAGTAGATCAAAACAGGTGGTCTTAGTCAGTAAGATACACACATTTAGTTGTGGTGTCTTTAAATGGAAAAGTGAATAGGTCACCATGAATTGCTTTCAACAATCCACTGCAGAAAAGTTGTCTGCATTAGAAAGTCATTCATGCTACATCCGAATCATTAATCTGAGTCACCAAGTGATTCTATCTGATATCCAAGCGTTTCGAGACAATCTTCAGCTTGTAAATGGTCACATGATGTACCTGCATGCATTTTCACTCCTGCGAGTGACTCGCACTGAACATACGCGTAAGCAGTACAGATCGTCTAAATGAAAAGGGGACAAAAGGTGTGTCTGAAATAAAGAAGCAGAGGATATCCCAAGCAAAGAGGAGCCGAGAGTTGCCAAAGCCCGAAAGAGTGGAGGGTAGCCCAAGCATAAAGAAAAAAAATTGTCTTAAAATAAGATCTTTCTCCTTGATTGGGTCATTGGCAATCTTGTTTTTCCATTTACGGAGATATTAGTTGGCCTTTTGTCTGGGGCCTGGGCAATTTATAAATGGCCACCAATCGCATCTCCACTAATTTGTCACACTCTACCCCGTTGTTGCGAAAGTTGATATTGTCGTGACAGTAATGGCAGAGCATTGCCCCCTGCCAACAAAAGATAAACTGGATATAGAAGAAAAAGTGAAAGATGTTGCAACAGAGACTCTTCAGGGATCAAGTTGTAATGGCCTAGTCAAGATATTTCAAACATCCGTTGTCCATGTCCTTGACAGTTTTTGATGTTGTTGTTGAAAATTCATATCCAACTTTACTAAAACAAAATTGACCGTTTCACAACCATCAAAATCTAGAGTCTTGTTTTTCTTCTGTCCCGCGCTAATTATATCTATATCTCCCTTGTCTGGCATCCTTCATTTGTATTGTACACTATCTCTAAACAATTTAGACAAAATACTTCATTTTCTAAAATTCCTCAAGGGTCATAAAAGGTCCCTTAGCATTCCCTTAGCTCTGGCCCCAGAATTTTAGCATATCAGCAAAGTAAAAGCTACTTCGGTGAGCTTGAACATGCTACCTAGTGAAAAGCTAAACGATTCTTTTATCATTCTTTTCAAGAAAGGAAAAGAAGTTTTTATCGTATCAAATCTTGAAGGATAACATTGCAAGGTTGTTCAATTCAAAACTTATAAATGACAAACCACAAACCACAAACCACAAACGTATTGAGAAGAGCCTTAATGAACTATCAACGATGTCTTAGAAAGGGTTGACGATCATATGTCCTATTTATTCAGACCTTTATACATAATAGCAAGTGACCAAAATATCATAAATCCTTTATAATAAGAATATTCATAGATAAAAAATTCTTTATAATAGCGTGTTATCAGAAAATAAAGAATAATTTTTTATCCTAAGTCCTACTTATAAAGACAAAACGTTAAGGGCGAAAGTAGCTTTTTACGAAAAAAAGAGTTATTTCGAGAGAGAATTAACTTTTCTCCATGGCTGTTGTATAATTGTGCTCAAACTTCACATATAGTTTGCAATTTATATCTTTTTGTTTGTATTGCTATCGAACATAACAACATTCTGTTTTGATTAGGAGAGGCCGGGGTATAATTCTGCTCTCATGACGTAACTTTGATTTCTAGGTCATTACTAGTTGCAGGTGAAACCTGAGGCATGATCAATAATAATTATTCAGGCTGCCTACAAAGCCTTTCGCGGAAACAAAGACGATTTTATCATCAAATTTAAGGTTAAACCAAACTGCATTTGCCGATTCTCAATCGGAATGAAATTATTCTGATTTTCAACATCACGTAGATTGATCTCATTGCATTCTCGCACTACTGTTAAAATAGTCATTCCATGACCGCACAACAGAGGAAATCAATACACTTTAAACTTCATTGTAAGACGTTTTAACTCAGGTAATCATAAAATCTAGGCATGAAACATAACAGGGAGGGGGGGAGACAAGTTGGAGGGTATTTTATATGGCTGTTGGTTATAGGAATGAAAAATACACACTTAATATGCTTTCAAATGAGTTTTAATGTTTTGGAAATAAAAGATTTACCAAGTTTGATTGTAGTTTTCCCTTAATTTTAGAGAAGTGCTTTCAATGACAAAAAATAATGGCTTGAAATACTCTGTCTTCTAAAGTTTGGAGAAATTTCATAAAATAAAATAATTTTAACTTACATTATGAACAATTTTTTTGGCGGTACAGAACTTGAAAAAATATTTTTTTTTCATCGTGTACTTTCGGACCCTTATTCTGACGTTTTATGCTCTGAGGAGTGTCAGACGAAAAAAACTTTCTCGTTTTCTCTCTTGGACTCCATTGGTAATTTTCTTTAGGCTCGCGGCACTGATTGGTCAACTATACCGGTCTTGTGCTTGCGTTTTTCTGATTGGCCTATTTCGACCCACAACTGGGTATATATTTTCCATCGTGTTCTTTCGGAACCTTATTCTGACGTTTTATGCTCTGAAGAGTGTCAGACGAAAAAGCTTTAGTATGTCGTAAAATGTTTGCTTTTTTCAAAGCCATTTTGTAATCTTTTCCTTTTTCTAGTTCCTTATATTCATAGTTTTTTGTAAAATCTCAACCGTACAAAGTAAACCCTTAGATTTCTGATTTTGTATATGAAACAATCAATCTTGATTTATCTTTGTATGAATGCAATTTTCTCTGAAACTATGCAAGATACTGAAATGAAAATTTCACAGAATATTTTTGAAGGTACGGCCAGTGCAAATATGGTCAGCAATTGTCAACAAAATATTTGGTTCATGTTTTATTCACAATTGAAATGTTAGTTTTCAATTTGCAGTTTGAAAAAATTCCTCAAAAACTTTGTAATTTCAAACTCTCAGCGGCATTAGAGAACTCAAAAGTGTTTTTAAATGTTCCAAAAACTTATTTTTCTGGTTTGGTTGACTTTCTAATTGATAATTCCTTAGTTTCATAGTTTTTTGTAAAATTTTAACCGTACAAAGTAAACCCTTAGATTTCTGTTTTTGTATATGAAACAAAAAATCTTGATTTATCTTTGTATGAATGCAATTTTCTCTGAAACTATGCAAGATACTGAAACGAAAATTTCACAGATTATTCTTGAGGGGACGGGGAGTTCAAATATGGTCAGCAATTGTCAACAAAATATTTGGATCATGTTTTATTCACAATTGAAATGTCAGTTTTCAATTTGTAGCTTGAAAAAATTCCTCAAAAACTTTGTAATTTCAAACTCTCAGCGGCATTAGAGAACTCAAAAGTGTTTTTAAAAGTCCCAAAAACTTATTTTTCTGGTTATGTTTTGGTTTTATAATGAAAGATGTTGTTAGAAGACAGTCTTTCACTTCGACTCTCAAGAATTTTTAAGAGAAAGCTTGTGCCATAACCCATAATTTTGGGTGTTGTCATCACTTAGTTTAACAATCAAAAATTACCTATAAGAATGTAGCTTCTAGTAAGCATATATTCGAATGAGTCGATATCTATTCTTAATTTGATAAAATGCCAAAAAAATATCTTGGCTATTAGAGTCCTCACTTGCTCATCGATGTTGGCAAAATTGAGGCAATAACCTGTGTATTTCTTTTGCAGATTTTTCTCCAACAGATTACAAATCTGCTAATTTTTTTATTTCATCTTTGACATTGGCAGACATTCATAGTTGGTTAAATCATTAAATTGTTCTGAAATATATGTTATATCAAATATATGAAGTCTCAATTATTCACCGTGCAACAAGACTCTTTTCTTAATCGTCCACAAGATAGAAAACATTACAATATCGCAACTGTATTGTTTAAAATTTTGTCGTCAGAGTTTGATAGTTCTACTAGATTTGTTTGTGCTTAAAAGTTTTTTGATACTTTCACAAGTACAATAAACCCACTGTTAGATCGTTACCTTCCATTCAAAGTAAAAAAGCCATATATTTTTGCAAATAAGTGTCTCCATGCCATACCTTCTCCTGTGTTTAAATTAGATTGCTATTGACCATAATTATCGGCAAAGAGTTATAATTTTAATGCAATTTTCAAAGATATTTATCTACAAAACTCCGCAAGGTCTGAGCATATTTTGATAATCAAATGAAAAATAGCTAAAAAACTATTTCTTGATTTTTTTGCTAGCAATTTTTCTCAAAAACGAACTAAAACTGAATGCTACTTAGATGACTTAAATCATAATCAAAAAATGATCTTGCACCTGGTAATTTTTTACTGAACTTTATAAAAGTAAAAACTCATTATGAATAATATGATTAAAGGTCTTGTCTTTTTTCTATTTGACCTTTTTCTCATTGGAACTGAATTCTCGGAATATTTTGTCAGACGATCGTTTCAAGGAACAATGACTTATTAGTCCTTCAAAAGCCTGCCACAAACGTAAAACACTACACCTTGTAGTAATCTGACACAACAGGTTCTTGAAAACAAAAATTACAATCGTAATGTCTTTTGTACGAAATCATTTTACAAGAAGCAAACTGGATTGAATGTTTACAACAATACGAATTTCACAGTTAAGAGGATTACACTTAATCTAAAACAATAAATTTTATGAAAGAATGAGTCTCATTTCAATTGAGAAAACAAGAGCAAAGGAATAAGCTCATTACTAACTTCATGTCACTTTGTAACTTTCCATAATATATAAGCGATGATGATGGGGATGACTTGATTATTATCATGATCATAATGACAAATGAAATATCATGATTGATTATAATAATGTATGACGATTGATGATGATCGATGATGATCGATGATGATTAATGGTGATTGATGGTGTTTACGATTGAAGATTTTGATTGATGAATTTGATTGATGATTTTGATTGATGATTATGATTGATGATTGATGATTGATGATTATGATTGATGATTATGATTGATGATTATGATTGATGATTATGATTGATAAAGATGACTGCTACGTAGGTGCTACACATCTTCATTATGCTTCCTATTTGATATCTATATATACATAATTTCCACTAACACGACGATCCCTATAGCAAGTTATCTTTTGTACTTCATCTAAATCTTGTAGCAGTACTCTTTGCACTGTCCTTGTCAAAAAGAATTACATGTCACATATGAAGTAGACTTGTGAGGCCACATTTTCATAGCATCTATAATTTCAATTAGCAAGAGCCAGATGGGACTGATCTAAGTATACCAACCAATAGCATAGGTTGAAGACAATGAATAGCAAAGGAAAAAGTAATCTAGAAACCACATCCACCGCTGATGGTTCTTTCAGCATCATGAGTTCCTCAAGGAGCATTTCTTGGCTCTCTTTTGATAAATGGTCTGTAATTGAGCTACCTTTTGAGTTATTCAATTTCAGGGTAAAGTGAGACTTGCCATTTTGAATGTTCCCTCTTTTCCGAGTATTATTTTCATAATCACTGTAACCATTCAGATAAGTGGACTCGGAGATGCTGTCATCGCAAACCTTCACTACCACACTGTGGCTCTGAAATCAAGGAAAAGAAATGGGTATAGTTGAAAGTAATTTATCTAGCTAAATAGAATACAAGAGCAAAGTTCAATAAATGATTTGATTTTGTAAACATTAGATCTGTACGGTCTGTTAACATTAGATCTGTACAGATTTGATTTTGTAAACATTAGATCGTACGATCTGTTAACATTAGATCTGTACAGATTTGATTTTGTAAACATTAGATCGTACGATCTGTTAACATTAGATCTGTATACAGAGAATCCAGTTCTATTGAAAAGTCCATTTTACGTACATGTTTGAAAATAAAGGCAAAAACGAGATAGACTGAGTATAAGGAAGAACTAATGATCTCAAAATTCCAATTAAGTGCTTTATTCCTCAAGGGTGGTTATTCCTCAAAGTCCAAAGAACATGACAATCTCACTGATGGAAGAACTCTGTTTTGGAATCTGATTCTTTATTCTGAATTCTTGGTTTAAGCTTTTCAAGATAAACATATATAAAGAAAGTAGACTCTGAAATAACTTACCTTGTGGTTGTTTGAGAAAGAGTCATTTTTCTTTTTCTGAAGTCTCCTTTTGCAGAATGCCTCAAGGTTAAGAACTATTATATACTCTAGTAACGACAAGAACACCATCAGGAAGGATATAAACAAATAGAAATCGACAGCTTTGACGTATGAAACCTTGGGCATGTTGACGTTAACAACCCCAAGCATTGTTATTATTGTTAAAATTGTCGTCACGCATATAGCCGCTCGAGCCGGAACTGCTTCTTCGTGGATCCAAAACGAGGCCCAAGATACCATTACAATGAGAATACACGGCAGGTATACTTGAAGTAAGAAGTATGTCGTCTTGCGTTGAAATACGAATTTGCCAGTGGCTGAAGAGAAGTTTTCTGAAAAAAAGACGTTTAATGGGTTGATTAGTCAGCAATATTTGATGATGAAATATTTTGTGAAAATTTTTGAGCATTTGTTATTTCCCAAGTATTTTGCTTAGGTTTCCAAATCGCTTGCATAGATAGGCTTATCGCTTCGAGGAAAAATTTCCATTTCCGAAGGGGCAATTGAAGAAGAAATTTGTTCACAATACCCATAATTCTATTTTGTGGCTTTCCGGTACCTAGGTTTCCATTTTCTTATACTTTATATTTCGAAGTCTGAACAATTAGCTCAAACTGCTACGTCTCAGCCTACTTTGGCGAGAGGCAAGAGTTTAAGGCAAGGGGCACTGATTGGTCAACTTGAACAGTCATATGCTTGTGTTTCTGATTGGCCTATTTCGATCCACAACTGGGTATATATATTTCCTAGCGAAGAGTTTTCGGTCTATGTCCTGACGTTTCAAACTCTGAGGAGTGTCAGACGAAAAGCTTTAGTTTACTAAATGTTTGCTTTTTTTCAAAGCCATTTTCAAGAGTGTTTTCCAATACACAGCAGAGACAACAATTTCCACAACTGCGTCTAAATATAGCGATTATCTTTATTTTCCTTTGTGAATCAACAATTTTACAGAGCATGGAAAATTCATGCATTCATACTGTAAACCTTTTTAAATGATTTCTTGTTCTACAATATTTTTAACTGAACATTACCAATTCAAGGTAAAAATTCCCCGTTTTCACCTTAAAAACGATACTAACAAATGGCCAGAGGAGACAGAAATCTAATCCTAACATGAAATTAAAAAAAACAAGATGGCCAAATTCTATATTTCTAAAAATAGATTTTTATTCTGCAGATTATCAATATTGTTTACAAATGGAAAAATACATTCTTCCTATATTGTTGTAAACAAAATTTTCTCTGCACCTTCTCTAAACGTCTTTTAAACTTTCTTTACACAGATTCTAATGCTTTTCAAGATACTAAGAGATACCATCTATGCATCCATATGATACATGTCAGAATATCATCAGGAATAGGATTATGCATCCTTTCTAAACATGAAATTAATCTTCCATCTCAAATTAGAAATGCGAAGTGACTCACCAGTATGATAAATAGTTTTCTCAAGTGTCTTTACAGCTTCAATAATTTCAAAGTTGGCTAAGTTTCGTTCGTATATATAAACAAGACCGCAAGAGTCATTACAACCTCTAGTAAACCATTGATACTGGATATCAATTCTGTCATGTCCATCTGCGCAAAAAATACAATAATATTAAAAAAGACTCTTTTGAAGTAAAATGTATAGTGAAACAATATTATGTCGAAAAAATATGTGCACTTCTGCCAATTTCTTTATAGTGTTCAAATTCATCAAAATTTGCTCAATTATTATCCTCGATTAGTCTACCTATTTAGAGATCTTGAAAAATCTTATTGGATCGTATCGTTACGTATCGTATCGTATCGTTACGTATCGTATCGTATCGTTACGTATCGTATCGTATCGTATCGTATCGTATCGTATCGTATCGTATCGTATCGTATCGTATCGTATCGTATCGTATCGTATCGTATCGTATCGTATCGTATCGTATCGTATCGTATCGTATCGTATCGTATCATATCGTATCGTATGTACTATGGTACTGTATCTTATGGTATCTTATCGTATCGTATGTACATTGCATTGCATTGCATTGCATTGCATTATGGTCATGATTATGATTATTGTCATTGAAGGTTATGATCTGACCTTCAAAAGCAAATCATTGTAAGTCTTATCTTGGTTTTTAAGCAATCATTTGACCTGAAGAAAATAATATCCCGCTCTTTACCAGCTGGATCCTAACTGATTTTTGTTTTCGTGTAAACGCGAAAAAAATCTGCCCTTATGGGATGAACGTTTTACATTGGGTTGGAATCTGTGGTTGTGGGCAAGCTTACACACACTGGGACGTCAGACGAACTATTCGTACCTGTTTATGCAAATTTGCAAGTCGTTTATGGAAAAAGTTCAATTTAAACTCAACTATAATCTTACTAGCTGGAAGATTGTAACTATATAGAAAGACTTAAAAAGAGCTTGGGTCACTGGTGATCATCTTCTAATTAAAGAAAAAGCAAGAATCTAAACGATTTTGATGTCGCAAATTAAGCAGCACTGTTTAGAATACTCAGCAATAGGACTAAATATCTTCAGATAAACGTATGATTAAAATAACCATCTCCTTTTGAAGCCTTCTAAGGATTCCACTGTAAATTTTGTAAGCTTTTTTGCAGGCCAGTGATTTATTTTAGCAAAATGTCTAGATAACACCTATCTTATGAAAAAACATCGAGAAATCTCTATTATTCTGGTAATCTGAAACATTTGCCGCATCTGTTTAGAACTGTCGTTATCAAATAAAGCTGTGAGGCTTTAGAAAAACAGATAACTGTTTATGAAAACAAAAGCTAGAATCCATAATTTAATGTCAAATGTTTTCAATAATATTTATAAAAATAATGAGACAATCCATTTATACTGTGCTTTAAATTCAAAAAGTTGTTTAATCTTTTAAAAATGTTTCCAGGTAGCAAAAACAGTGAACCAAGTTATTTTTTTCAACGATTTAAATAACCAAACGCAGTTGTTGCCCAAAACAGCTTGAATGAGTGAATTTTGGAACATTTTCGTATTAATCTCCTTTCCTGTACTCCCCAGAGTTTCCTCCTACTCAGGCTTGGATTTCGTTCATCAAAATGCCGTTGTAACAGTTGAAAGAGGGGAATTTAGGGAGGGTTTTTTTGGGGGGGGGGGGAGAAGTTAAAGATGAAAAAGCCAAGATTCAAGATTTTTGAAATATTGACAGCTTTTGAGAGCATTATTGATTGTGCAGAATTATGCAAAATAAAACCCACATCTGTGAAATACAAGATTTTGACACTTTATTGCTTGCAAAAAGCTCAACCTTAACGTCAAACAGAAACATTCTTTTATCAATAGTAAATAATTGTGATAGTCTTGGGCATATTGCTGTTCAAAATTTTGCAATCTTTAATAACCTTCTTGTTACGTACGACTTGAGTGCAGATTCTTGTTTGAAAAATTGTTGCCTATTTTTTCCAAAATTTATAGGTTTATGCATAGAGCTTCACTTTAGGCTCTTTTTGTTTTAATGTGCTGCACGCACCCTCGATTTTTGTTTATTGTCAAAAAAGTCTCTACACATCCTTACTGCCTTAATAACAGTTTAATCTACAGAATAAATTCATCTGTAGAAAAACAAAACTATTTCAAGAGATACTTACAACTCTCTAACGCAATGTAGCAGATTTGCTGATCAAATGGATAGTAACGGAGGTTCATGTGACAAGCACCTGTCAATGTTATTCTGAAAAACGAATGCATATCAATAGAACTTACAAGAAAGCATGAAAAAAATTACTAGCAGTATACGTCATAAGTAATAGTAAGTAGATCAGTCCTAGAAAAAAGTTAGACTTAATGTTTCAACTGTTTCTAGGCAAATATTTGATAGACGTTGTTGAGAACAAATCATCAGTTTTCAAAATGATAACTGGTAATGCAGAATGATTTAGTATGAGTTTGAGAGAATTATTGTAGTATAGACGTTTTTGCAGGTATGTTCATCTTTTTAAAATCCGCACCATCTTCATGCAATACTGTTGATTTGAAGTCTGGGTGTTGTCCAATTACCTGTCATTAAATGATTAACTGCTTTTAGGATATCGTGAAGCTAGACATTTAGAAAAGCTTTAGTTCTTTACGAGCGGTGAATTAAAAGCTCTGGTGTGCATTGAAAATGTGCAATAATTAATAAACTGACCTGGCATGATAAACGATTTCGCCTGTTGATAGATTAACAGTCATAAATCTATTTTCAAGAGTCACGTGGTGGAAATTCGATTTCTTTGAGTTAATGAATATGGTGTCAGGCACCCAGATCTGCTCTACGTCAGAGCCAATTAGTTCTATTGTAGCATTCTCATGATGAATCCCAGATATATTGAAACGAGGATCATTCCAGAGCTGCAGAAAGTACAGATCCACCTCGAATTCCTAACAGAACAATAGACATTAGTAAGCAATAATTTTACTAACGTTAACAACATAAATTTACAATAAGACATCTTCTCAACGCCACAGATCACGAGGAAATGTCTCAAAGACGCAGAATATAAGAAACACAGTCAAACAGTTCTTCAAATTTTGTCCAAATTCATTTCATTTAGATTCCATCATAAATATCCATACGTTCTTTTCACATAAAAAGATGAAAAAGATAAGATAGGAACTGCAATTCATGTGATAAAGTAAGTATTTAAATAAAGTTCACAAAAATATTGGTTTTACTTGCCATTTCTACTTCACGGATATTTCCAAAGGACAATACAATAAAATTCAGCGCAACTTGAAGTGCTTTCTCTGCAAAGTTAGATAAAGATTTAAAAACATTAAAATAACGATCCATTGAATAGTACGAATGAATATGATACCTAGAATTTACAACAATAAAAATAGGTTTTACATAAAATGAGCTTTTTCAACTCTCTCGTGTTAGAAAGTTTTTATTTGGGAAGAATCTTATAATTTTCACAGTAATACAAAAATAAATTCATCTTTGCTGACATTTAAAAATCTCGCGTTCTAGCGCACGATAAACGCTTGAAACTGTTTTGATTCGTCTATTGACAACGGAGCAGCTCCCTGACCAATCGGACCAATGAAAAAATTTGCTTGCAAACACCTGCCAATCACCATTGTTTTAACCTCTGCCTTCCCCCAGGATGCAGTGTGGCAATGAAAGTCTCTGTTTAGACAATGGAAAGTCTCTATTTGCTCATTATTTGCTTTCTAGATCATATTTAAAATTCCATTCTTCTTCACTTTGTCTTCGATAATCCTCTTTGGGCACAACTATTGCCATATCTCAGTTAGCAAGCAAGCAACTTTTATCACATTCAAACTTCCAAAAGTTACCAAAGAAACAAATTTTGAAAATTGGGGCAAAATTAGACCTTTTTTATTTCCTTTCAAAAATCTAACTACCTGAAATTTCAATCTCCCAACTTTTCTCAGTACATCAAAGGAGAATTAACCAATCACTTAACAGGTTAGAGGTTATTTAGAGAAAGCAGATAATTGTTTTGGGCATGAAAGCTTGCACCTTTGCATGACTCACCCAAATTATGCAGTAGATCTGTTAAATAAATTATCTTAGAGGTTTAATTTGATTTATTACATACAAGTGAATTGAATCAAAGCAGCAAATCGTCTTATTGAAAATACTAACTGGTTTTGTCACATAGCACCCTTCAAAGAATATAATTTATCTCGGACATCAAATCTTGCACCAAAAAGGATTCTAAAAATGTAATTTGGGCATGTCAAAGAAGCCCGTTAACTTTGATTTAATTTTGATTATGTCTTTTCCTTAAATCTCAATGTCTTTAGTTTTTTTTAAGCTCAAAGACCTTTTGTTAATGCTTTAGTTTAATTTGTTCTCACAGAATTTGAAGGTCAGGGAGAAAATTCGTTCAATACGATGAATGCACCTGCTGAATCCATTATTAGAGCAGGCTTTTTCTCAAATTTTGGAAACTAAGAGCATCGAAACATTCATTAAATCAAAAACATTATTGACCTTCCTTAATTCATGAACAAAACGCCAGCTCTGTATTCAGGCATAAGCTTTTGCTGTTAATAGCTAATAATCCTTAAATTTGTACATACTTTGTATAAGCTTACTTTTTTAATTTCTTTTCCATGTGGTGTAGCCTGAACTCCCAGAATAGGGGCTGGAGGGTCACGAGTAGTAAAATTTACCAATGAAGACATAGATAAAGAGAAGTTTAGGTGCTCTTTCACCTGCCGATAGATGATTTTACCATCATTTAAGGGAATTTTTGCGCCAACAAAAAATTTACCGACAAACTCATGAAAAACGTGTCACACCCCCTGCACCCTCGCTAGCTACGCCCCTGTATGTTGTTTATTGTTTCATTTTATTGCTTTTGATATGCATAAATCGCATATGACTATTCAGCTTATTAACATGATGGTAGGTGTTTCATTTGAGACCATAATATCTGACTGAAAAGTTGCAAGCAAACATTTTTGGTGCTTTTAACTGGGAAGTTTACATCTCTGCACTACTCTGTGATGGGCTCATAGAAAAAGCAGAGGATGCTCTAGACTTCAAATCACTTAACAGTTTAGTCTAATACGCTGAATATTTTGATTGCAGTAATGTTACCTCCATATAACGGTCTGAATTTCTTGTCATAGGTTTTCATTACATTTTCAAACGCTGTAGATAGCTCTGCTGGTGTTGGCCTTTTGTCTTGTCTGTAATGAAAAAATAATTGCTCAGAATTGGTTTGATTTATAAATGATTGTATTCGGTATTGAGTATTTCCCAGCTGATTATAATAATTAAATGATCAACAAGCGTCAAGATCAAAAGAAAATTATTTAAACATTTCTTAATCAGTAACAGCAGTATGAAAGTTGAGGCTAAGTTCTAGATTTTTTCATTGATTGTCAAAAAATTATAAACTTGGACTATAATGGTAAGGTGAGTACAGGCCGAGAGTTGTAATTGAGAATGGGGGAGAAAATGAATCTGGTACATAAATGGTTAAAAGATCCATTAATTTTGATTTAAGCCAGAAACTTATTTGTGGATATGATGGAAGGAATTCAGCTTTCTCGACGCTCAAAATAATTTTTTTCGGGATAGATCTTCAATTCATATGGATTGATCCTGGAATTTTTATTTTGAAATAATCAACGTTGCAAAAAAATAGTTGCGATTACTACCCAATAATGAAGGAGTATCTAAAACCGATGCGTGTAGTTATCCCTTCGGATCTCAATACCTGGAACTAATAGCTTTTGCTGGTTACAAATCATTGAGGTTCTAGGGAGCATGTATGTATCTCTAGTGTATATGTAGTTTGGTGAAGGTGACAAAGTGGGGCAGTATAAAGAGGAAAGACAGTATCCTTGCTTGTTACTATCTTAGCCAAGCGCTCTGCATGCATAATATTCATTTTTTTTCGTGCTGATTTAGTTCAACGAGCATGCCGTTGTTTCAAAGTATTAAACTTTTATGAAACTTTGATTTCAAAAGATGACATGACACTGCTTGTTAGAGGCCGTATGTCCCCCATTGTCCTCAGAACCTCTTTTCATGGCCACGATATTCATGCATCATCGATTCAATGCACAAATAAACAATCAGAATGAAGAACCACAATAGCGTAATTTCCCTGAGCATCACGAAGGAGACAGACTGCCTTTAAGCTAAAGTATTCTAACAACATAGACTTGGGGTTAGTCATCTAAATGTTGTTACTTGTTTGTCTGAATAAACCAATTTCTAAAAAACTCTTACTTGATGCCATAAATAATTTGCTTGAGCATGCTGTAGTATTTTGTCAAAAAAACAAATAATCTTACTTTCACGGACCAAAGTTCTAACAATGTAAATGTATAAATCATACTTATACTCAGGATTGTAAGCGCTTGCTTTTATCCTATCTCTAAAAGATAGCTACAAATAAGTAAATTTTCGTTGCTGCAGCAGTTGTGTTCAGTAAGCCATGCTTGATTACAACAGTTATCACAAGACAACCGGCAATGCGTGCTATTGTATCCATACATTGAAATACAATGCCATATTGCATACGGTTCTCGGTTTGTCGTCTGATGTGTTTTCTGAGGCTTAGTAATAATTTAGAAATCATTTAGCAAATATTTACAAAAAAATGTCTTTGTTTATAAAAAACATTCACTGTAGATAATATTTTGACCACGAGTTGCCTTTTAAGAATCTGCATTGAAAACGTCTGACGGAATCTTGTAGAGACATTTAGTATATACTATTCAAAACCTATAAATACACTAGTCATAGCAGAGGAGCCTCCTGCAGAGCAATATAGAAGAAAATGTTTGTATTCTAAAGTAACATGCAAGTGAGTAAAAACAAGGCTTAATTAGATGCGTATACAATGCTATTGATCAAGGCCGTGATAGCAAAGAGAGACAATTCTCTGCCGTTAGTAGCAATCAGGACCAACTCTCCCACATCACTAAAAACTTTTTAAGGGTTTAATAGTTTAATCATTTCATTTCACATTATTTTACGCTATGCTAAACGTTTATAGAAATTTTAAATTAAGGTCCTTTTCCAAAAGCAACATCATGAGTTTTTACCTTCACATGCAATATTCTAAATTTGAAAACAATGAAAGCAATTTTAGAAAACGAATAAAATACTGAATACTTCAAAGAAAAAGTATTACGACTAGTTGCTTCTATCAGTGAACCAAAGTTGATTCAGCATAATATAGTGAACCAAAGTTGATTCAGCATAATATAGTGTCCTTTCTTAAAAAGGAAAGAAAATTTGCAAGGGCAGTACAATGCATTAAACTAATTACATTTTTAAGCAAAACTGTTGAATTTTATGGCGGTTCGTACTATCACCAATGTTTAACGGTCTATTGCAACTATCAGCTGCTTCTTTCTAGTTATTCTGATAATTATACACAGAAAAACACTAAAGAGGCGTCATTTTAAAAGCAAAACATCTATCAAAATGCTAGTTTCATGTTTTCCTAGAAAGTTCATTTACTTAAGAATAAAAGGACTTTAGAAATTCAAAATACAGCCCACGCCCAAGTTCAAGGTACAGTTTACCCCTCCCCCCTTTTTGCTTTGGAGTCTAGAGTGTCACTATCCAAAACCTACCTCGTTTAGAAGCTCACGCAAATCTGATGGTAAGACTGTAAGGGAACTAACTTTCTATCTCCTACATTAAACAGTTCCTTGTTAATGTTCAAACAATATAAATTGCCGGTTTTGGTGTCATACATCAAATTTAAATTTGGCTCTTTGATCATCACTACCTTCTTTAACCTTATCAAACCCTTTTCTGACACTTTGTAAAAGTCATCCCTTTTCTGCCAATCCCTATAATCCGCCACCTATCTGACCCAAAAAGCTAATAGCAGCTGCCTTGACTTAACCCTCTTAATCTACTGCCACAGTCTATGTTTTTGAATATCGTATAGTCCCAATAACTCCAACTGCTTTTGCTATTCCCTTGAACATTTTCCAGTACAGTTGAGCTCCTATAACCCAAACTCTCGTTAACTCGAACACGCGTAAACTCAAACGCTCGTTACCTCGAACACGCGTAAACTCAAACGCTCGTTAACTTGAACACGCGTAAACTCAAACGCTCGCTAACTCGACGAACTTTCAACTTTTGCTTGAAGACCGAGTTATCTATCTTACCATTCATCAAAATTCTCACTTTAACTTTATTTCGAAATTCTTCGTTGTTTTGATGATGCATTGTCAAAGATTTTTCATCGTGCTTTTGATTGAATAAACTCACCTTTTCATCGGGGGCTTTGTATTGGGGTCTTTAACAAGCATAGCTGGTCTCATCGTGTTCAGGCTGTTTGTTGCTGGTGTCTTTAATAACTTATTGTCGATATTTTTTGCCCGAATTCGTGCCATGTTGACAAAAACCATTAGCAAAATAAATGAAACTGGTGTGTTCATGTCGGCTTGGAAACAGTCACTTTCAGGCGGGCAATACGTTCTTTTCATCGATAGTCTAGAAAGTAAAAATCCATTATCACCAGCAAAAATTTGAAAAACAGTACTTGAAAATATCACTAGACTTTGACTTATATTGACCTGTACCAAATCTCCCCTGTATTCCAAATGTATAAAGTGTGATGGAAACTCAATGAAAACAAAAACACAAGTTTTCCATTAAAATTTACCTAAATTTTGTGATAAAAAGTATTGAAATGAACCAATCCTTGCCTACAAAATTTAAGCAACAACAAAGGCTTAGCCATACACTATAAGCTAAGAATTTTGTCAACAAACACAGTACGAAGCATATTAAAAGATAAACATATTTTGGAAATATGTATTCACCTTCTAGCACGGTGGATTTGCTGTGTTTGATAACTTACATTCAAAACTACTTGTGATTCTATCACTTAAGCGAATGTTTAGTTTAAACTAAATGTGTTTCAAAACATGTTTTTACCATGGTTCTTATCCATGTGATACCGTCAAAGTGCATATATGTTAAAGTAGCGTACGTTAGAAAACAGCTGGTAAATACCCCTTATGCGTTGCGTTGGTCATACACTTCGTCTTCCATTATTTCATAAAATGCTTCTTTTCCTCTGCTCGATCGAATTTCATGCAACTGAGTTACAACAGATTCATATTCTATCTATGCGTCTATGCTGAATTTCACATTGTTTTATATTTCTATATAATAATCTGCTGTTATTTCGCTATTAGGAAAATGGCGATAAACTTAACGATGTAACAAGATTAAAAGACAAAACTCCTTTGTATTTGCTTTGTTTCTTTGACTGCTGGACCTGCTAGACTCGTGTTGAAAGCAAAAATGTTTTTATAGACAGAAAGACGTCCTGGCAAGGTGGGTTGAGTTTAGACTTTCTGTATCAGCAGGAGTTGCATTAAAGCCCATTATTTGCTTGAATCTCTTTGTAAATCTAGTCATAATTTGGCGCTAATTAAATGTGGAATGACGCACTTTCTTGAATTTCTATTGTTCTTTTAAAAAATATCTTACCATTTTATGATAATTTCAGAATTGAGTTTCTTCTACTCGAAAGCCCTTTTAGACTTGAATGTTTAGCTTAAATTCGGAAAAAAGTACAAGTGCACTTTTAAGAAAGCTTTTGAAAATTTGCCTTCCATTTCAAGCAGCAAATATTGAAAATCTACAGCATTTTTTGACTCTATATTTTACAATGTTGTGTCTTCAAAATAGATAAAAGAAATTTCGGAGAACTCTAATAAAGTTGCTCAAGAAATTGTTTAGAGAAAGCTGCTGTTTTATTTGTTAATTATTGCTAATGGGTTTTAATGTTGCTGCTTGTCGAAAAGTATAAGCTACTGAAGCAAAGTTTAAGGTCTTATCTTTGAGAAAATTTTGAAAATAAAGTTTATTAAACTTTATTTTTGCTCTTTCATCATATTGAAAGTTTTTCGCCAGGATTTATACGAGTTAGACAATAGGCTATAGTCTATATTCTAAAACAACAGATGGCATTTTGAGCCATATTTCATAGATACATCCTAGGATCTAAACTTTAGAATTGTAGATTAACACTATTTAGATCAAACGGAGCTGGTGAAAGTAACACCTGCTGTATCTTCAAGCACTCGGATTAGCAAGGTCGTTGGAAAGTGGCTTTACGAAAATGTCATATTGCTTTTCTGCCTATATTTCCTTGACGTCTGAGAAAACGCCTACGGAGATCCAATATAATGGTAAAGAGATCGTCAACATAAATCGATAAACATTACAAAACTGGTCCCATAACTTGCAGAATATAGAAAATAATAACTTAAGCCGCATTCTTTGCAAGATAACTGCAGAATAAAAAAAATCAAAATTTCAGAGTGAATAAAGTAGGCTGGGAATTTCCATTTGTGGTTAGAAAGCAAAACGAAAACCTGCTTTTTATCAATAAGCAATCATTTTGACAGATATTCTTGAATGACCCTTTGAGAAAGGCTGGTTTTTACATTCAGTTTTGCGTAAAGTTTTGTCAATGAAACATTGTGTTGACATTCATTATGCAAAAATAGGAAGGCAGTGTTGGTAAGCTATCTACCCTAAACCTAACAATTTTAATCAGTTTGTAAATCTTGCAAATTCTACGCTTAGGATCCATGTGATTGGTTGTAAATGTCAAAGTGACTAACTGATTTAGAGGCAGTATAACTGATTGCAGGCACCCCCAATGCTTTTCAAAACAAAACGATAGATAATTCATAACTAGATCGTAACATTTGTTGATCATAGTAGTATTTTCGAAAAAAATTGCCAATTTTTTCTTCCTGCTGGCTAATCTTCGTTTCAGGTGTCCATTGTTCGTGCTTAACAGGGTTTATCTATTGGATTTCAAGCTAATCTAGCAAGCGTAATTTTCCACTCCATGAAATACCTTTCTTTCTGCCGGATAATTGCTCCTCAACATGTAAATGAACTCCATAAAAATATCCCAAACAGGCTGTTACAATGCAAGTTGTCTACGGTACCCTTTGATTTTGACAATCGTGAATACTCCGTTATATATTTCTATTCGAAACTCTTCCTGCCTGAAGATGTAAATAAAGCTCAGTGTATTATGATTTGTGGTTTCGCAACCAATTACGTAGAAGCTGTTGCAGTTAAATTTAAATTTCTTACCTTATCCTGTTGGAAAAATCATATTACTGGCGAGTAAGGTAGACGTGGAAAATAACAAATGTTTTAAGGTGATGTAGAAACTTCTTCCCTCTCAGCTATCAATCTGCTTATGAAATCCCACAACGAACGGTACGTGGTCTATCTAAGCATGTATAAAGGCTTATGCATGGAAAAAGTACGAACGTAGTCTCCAACTGCACGACCATCATACCCCCTGTAGCTCATCGTCATAGATGATAGAAACAAGATAATTTCCAGGAGGTAAACTGATTTTTTTACAGCGTGGTTACGCTGCTCAGAAACTTACATTGCTAAATGGAGTTTATGATCATAAGTAATAATCAAGCGAATAAAACTTCAAAGCTTTAGTCAATTTAATCTGCATATTTCTTGAGTTTTATAGTTGTCTTGGGTTCTTTGGAAAGGTACACAGCCATCGAATAGAGCAAATAACGAACAAGCAAGTTTTTCAAATATTTGAAGGTTTACAAACATTCGGTAAGCTGATGTGGCTGAAGATATATATTGCAGACACTTACAGAGGCTCTGCTAGTTACAGAAAGACCGCGGAAAACTTGCTTAGGAAACACAGTATAATACGAAGCTAGAATCTATCCTTTTCTTTTCATTTAAATTAAGGGATTATTAATGATTACGTTAACTAATAATTTTCAGGGAGATATTGAAGAAGTTCAGGTAGTATATGTAATGCCAAGCTTATAGAAACAGTTACGGTTGCAAAATGTTAATATATTTTGCATTCGCGATGTTAAAATTTTAGAATTTTCACTGCCTAGGTAATCCTGTGTGTTCGAGATTTCAAAATACCTGGAGACACCCCGCAGTTAACAAAAGAAGACGTCTTGTGATGTAAAGTTGTTTTGCAAATGTGACTTCTTGGTGACATTAGGGGGATACCACACAAATGCTAGCAAAGTAAAATTGTTTTGCGATTTTTGATACTGACTATTCTGATAAAGTACAGGTTATGGGTTCGTTGCCTCACCTTTAAACTTATGTGCATAGGTTCAGACGAACTTTAGAGTTGGTGCGAGTAGAATAGAAATATATTGAACTGAGCAAAACCTTTATGAAAAAAGAGGAAAACTATTCTTGTACGTAAAAATTTATAAATAAAAAACATTACCAAAATGGCTAGAATTCTCATGATGCATATCACTTTATGTAACTGACCAATTGATAAATTCAGTTTGGGACTTATAGCGCCATAGATGCAAGAAGAACACGATATTTAATCACGTCACAGCTTGCAAAATTTTCGCAAATTTATCTGTATGGGAATTGTACGGCTTGAAATTCGATATACTTTACTCTAGTTCAAAATTAAAAAAACTTTGTAGGGCGTTGAAGAATGAGAGAAAGAAATTGAGTTTTTAAAGTTTACTGTTCTTTCAAAACACAAGATTGTATCTGTTAACGAACTCAGAAGTGGTCGTTCATAGAGAAAACTCTCCTTTTCTCACGCTTTCTTTTTCGGTCAAGTATTTAATTTTGGCATGCAATAAATTTTGTTTCCTGTTATAAGGCAGAATTTGTGGTAGAAATTTGAAAAAAGATAATAATGACGCAACCTATTAATTATAAAGCTACTGACGAGTAATTTTTAGTTTTCCTAAGCCATTATCTGGCCTCTAAAACTTCCATGTAGGAGAAATAATCTACAAGTTCCTTGTGGTTGACCTGTCAATGATTATATTGCTCAACATCGATACCAAAAATTTCAACGTAATCTGTGGACAGGAAAATCCATTTACAGACTTACCATTTCTCTTGGCAAGTAACTTGAAATTTCATCACTGATTAATGAAAACGAACAAATGCAAAGAATAGCTGGTCAAAACCATTTTAATCGCAGGTTGCTACACTGTTTTCTGATGCTTGAATCTTTATAAATAGCAATGTACTCGATATAGCTTGCTATCTATCAAATGCTTCAACGCTTTAAGCCTTGCGGTTCAAATTGCTTCCCGTTGGAAGTAGCATTGTCCTTCTATGTTGTTGTACTTGAATCTAGAGTTAGCCTGTTGCTTATCAAGTCGATAGTCTTTTGCAGAACGCCGACAATTGAAACAGTGAATGTAAAGCAGGTATTCTGCTAAGGAGTCCACTTAATGTTTAGGGCGATTCATTCTTTACTCATTCTTAACAATAGCTAATACATAATTGATCGGCAGAAATAGGGAGACCATTAGCTGTGCCTACTGGGCTTTGTTTCTAAAGTCGTGTAGCATGCATCACACGTTATTGGAGTGTGGCTATTTGCATGACTGCATACTCTTTTTTATTTCATTCAAAGACATAGATAATAGGTTTATGAGAATTCATAATAGGAACAGAACATACTCACACAGATAGTGTGGTATTACGTAGAATTTTCCACAGTGATACGACTATAAATGCTTGCCTGCTTTTGCAAGGGTTGCAGTTTTGTTTCTAGAATACAAGCTCCCAGGTACTGCTAGTAAGGAACTAAATTTAGAGAAAGAAGAATCTTTCTCTTAATTACTTATTTATATCCGTATTTCTAAATTTCTCTATACTACTTCCGACTCTTACATTCAATTACTTGGAACGATAGATTATCATTGCGACATAAGTAATATATGTGCGTATGTAGAAATGTAAAAGAAGGTTCAATGATTGAAAAGATGAACAGATGAACAGATTAGATTATGATGAACAAATAGGTGAACAGCCTTTGCTGAATAAAAAGATACTTACCAGAAAATGTTCTCGTTTTCATTGCAAGCTTTAAATTTGGTAGCATTGTCGATGTAGACTGTAGCTTTAAAATCTTTACAAGGAGTTCACACCACAAAGCAAGGGATAATCGTTTCTTTACTATCTTACAGCCAATTTAAACCAAGAGATTACAAGAAAATTTCATTGACGATATCTTAGCATCTATAAATGCAAAGAAACTTGGCATTAATGCTCTCAATTGAAAATTTTCAAATGAATGATTAATTGAGACTCAGATGGCAGGCAGCAAGCTACTTCATGATAATGCACTCCAGACTGACTTTTCACAAATAAAGTAGTGGATGAAGGTAATTGAATAGCAGAGAATACAATGGAAAGAATTCTGTTACCTTCGGTGCACCTGTAGCAGAAATTGATATGGAAGCTGGCATCGAACTTTTTAAAGCCATCTGCATAGAGACGTTATAATCATAATACCCTGCCTTGCCAGCGTAACAAAAAACGTTGCAGAACTGTATGGGTAGCTTTAAGTTATTTATCCACTAAAAGGAGGTACATAGACAGTACTTAGCCAACTAAAGAGGCGATTGAAGCATGATTCTTTGAAATCTTATTAATTTTACGCTGCTGGCTACAGTATTGTCAGGATTCTAAAAAAATGTATGCTCATTGACCGACTGTGCTGTCCTTAGAGGTTTTCAACTGCTAGAAGGTGTAAGATAGCTAGCATATGTCGCAGTACTAAATACCATCCAATAAGTTCCTTTTCACTTCCCATTTTGAAGTATTTAGGTACGGTAGCCCTCATTTGGAGAAAACTGATCTACAGGGGCAATGCAGATCGTTTATTCTCACCTATGCTGGGATGGGAGATATCACATGTTGGTATCTCAGTAGAAAAAGCCCACAAAAGGTGCCTATCAAGATTAGATGTCCTCTACATATTATAATATGGAGTTTTGCATAGTCTCCAACAGTTTCTTTAAATGCTTAAGTATTTACACGAAACCTGCATCAATTTCATGAATATAGTCGATGAATTATGAAATCAAACAAGTAATTTAGTCATGATGCCCTCAGACTGTTGAGGATTACAAGCTAATTTATCTTTGTTTTTATGAAGTATCAAGCCATAACCTGAGATGCTGCAGAGATCAAAGTCGTCTTTGAATTCTTGATACAAAGGTCCTCTTTCGAAAAAAATCTATACTTCTGTACAGTATATAAATCGCTAGAATTTTCAATGAATTATTCCGAATTAAGAAATATACATTTACTAATTTTTATCAATATGCGGAATTTTTTCTTATTCTAGATGATGTAACTAACAAAAATTTGTGATTTGCAATTGTGGAACAATGTTTTCATTTAAGGATGATTAAATGGTCTCCAGAAATCATAAAGTATTTCAATTTTGGACATTGCTTTGAATCATTTAAGCGATTGATTTGTCATCTATGATTTCACATGTTTCAATTAACAAGTACTATGATAAAAACGTAGAAATGTATCAAATGCATCACATGCAATGTTAAGCTATAATTTGATTAGTCTAAGTGATTAATCATGATTAATCGTTGATTATGTCAGTATGATATTAATGGGATTTTGACTTGTGGAAGCTATAGACCAGGATATAGCTATGAAAGAGCATTCTCCGTCTTATACCAGCAAAAGCTGTGGTTATGTAATGAAGCTCATACTTCCAAGATAATGCGATGAACGAATGATGCAGCGTTTACCAAAGAATGCTATTGAAAACTGATCCGTATATCCTTCGTTTGAGTAAAGTCTTTCAACATACAAAGTTATATTGAATAACAAAATTAAATCCATAAACTTCAGTAGCCGTGCAATTAAACATTTATATTGGCAATGAATGTTTGGTAATGTAAATAAACAAATGTTGGGTTACACTTTATTATCAAAAGCTACTATGTTTGGTATCTGATACTGGGTACTCTTGAAATTCCTATTCTATTGTTTCTTGATACTTTAAGACTTGATATCAAAGAAAATATCTAAAAGCTATTTTTGTGCTGTTCTTTTTATGTTTTTCTTTCTCAATTTGTAATGTTAGGGAGAGGCCCAGGTGCCAATAGCTAAGATTATGGCATAGGGTGAACACCCTGGCTGTCTATTTGCATAGTTGTTTCTAAAAATTCAGGAATTGGCATGGACCCTAAATATGTGTGACTAAAATAAACACCCAGATATTGAGCCTGCTTATTGCTTGGAAAAAGTGAACCTGCTAAGAGCAAATCTCTATCTAGAAAAGTTAGTTATACCCTAGCGACAGGTCAATGCCTAGTTTTTAGCTTCATAGAAGCCTCTTAGAATTATTCGGCAAGATAAATTAATCTAGACAAGTAAAGTATGACATTTGGAGGTTAATTGCATTGTATCTCAGTTTTTATTAACAAAGGCGATGTCAAGATGGGTTGCCTAAGCAGAGTTGTGGTTTCTAGCTAAATCTGTGCAAATGAATTTCAGCTAAACCAAAGATGCTGCAACTTAACAAAATTATGTCATTTATCTCATTAAATCATTAACTCATCAACTCATGCGTACGATTATGGGCTTGGAAAACATCGAAGCTGTTGCCGGAAAATTCGAAAATGTGAACTAAGAAAAATACAGTCAAATCAAGTCACAAGAATCAATTCTCGAATTAGCCCTTGTCATAATTGGGTAGCAAATCCTTTAGAGAATGCTAGAAAGTAATTTTTTGCCTGTCTTCTTTCAACGTTAAATCAATCAGGAAAATTTTTACATATGTTCGGTAAACCGTAATGTTTGGAAACAATATGTGCGGTAAAGTAATTAAATTTGCCATCTTTAAGGTAATGAAACTTGAATGATTTGTCATCTTTCCATGAGGAATATACATAAAAATTCTCTAATTTGTCCTTGACCGCATTTTCGTAAACAGAAGGGGGACCACGCGAGCATGTTCAAAGACAAAGTTTCAAATATGTATGAAAGGAACCATTGAAGTTTAGAAAAGTATTTTCGTTCTGCTTTTTTTAATCCTTTTAAAGGCATTTTTCAATTCTTGACCAAAAATTGTATTTTTCCAAGACAAAAACAATATTAAAAAAATTTTCTTTGGAAAACCTTATAATAATAAACGTACAAGAAAAAGGGCCAAGAAAGGTATTGAAGCTTTTAGGTGAGACACAGAAATAAACATAGATAAATATGTATGGTAATTCGTCTTGTATAACGGTATGTATGGTATGGTATATATAGCATAGTATGAATTGAAAAATGATGTATTGTATAAAAGGCTATTTTTCTTGTAGGGTGTAGTATAGTAGAGTATGGTATAATAGGGTGTGATTGGATATATATTGTATGTCATGATATGGTAGGGTATGGTTAGGCACGTTTGGTACGGTATTTGTAGAACGGTACTTTAATGTATGGTATGTTGTAGTATGGTATGGGCTCTGTTTACTAAATACTCTGTGATAACCACTTAATGATAAGTGGCATTACTCAAAATTTATTTTATTCGTAAAATCCACGGAAAAGGTGGGAGCTGATCTCACTGACATTACTAAAAGACAGACTTAGCCTCAAATTTATTTTCAAGGTTCCAAAGTTTGCCCTGAGTTTAAGCATTTTCTGAATGGATGAGTTAGCTTGCATACTTTCTAGGATCATGTTTAAAATTAAACTCTGTATCTTTCCTTATCTTGAAATATTATAGAGAGCTGGAACTGCAGCTAAATCAGCATCTGTTCATCTAAACATCTGGCTTAATGTTGTGCTTGTCTACCGCATTGAAATGAAGTCGTAATATTTTGTTATTATATCACGTATGGTTGTCCTAACTAACTTTCGGCGCTTTTGTTTATATTCTATCATCTGTAGTTTTGAAAATTTTATCAATGCATTCAATCATAATATTTGTTTTCCATTAAAATATCTTTCAAAATAAGGCATATGAAAATTATCATTGCTGTTTATTGAAAAAAAATTGCATCATGGATCTCATTTAAAGCATTAACGATTTTCCATTCTTGAATATAGCACCTTCGCACTATAACGTCTGATAGTATGCAGTCATTTCTAAACTGTGATAAATAGAAGAGTGCAACTCTAAGTTGCAGCTCAAGTCGTTCTGTCATTGCTTGTTGATTGTTTTAGACGCCAAACTTGAACTTACAGCTTCTTTATAATATTTTGGATTTGATTCCCTTTTGATGATTCAATGACTGTAATTGTAGAAAATAGTTCTTCAATTATGATGCCATTGTACAAAAGAAAGTAAGATTTCTATTGTTTTGATGTCCAAAATAAACCAGTAGCAAATTTCTCTCAATGAAGCTCGCTTTTAACAGATCAAATTCCAGGATATTTACGGCCTCTCTGCAGATTCAAACTCTCAAGACCATATATATTAAAATTCTTTTGTAAAGATAAAGAAGCTAACAACATCTATAAATTTCAAGCATTCGCAGATTAAGTCAAAATAGAGGTCTGGAAATTTTATAGGAATTGGTCTATCCGTAGAAAGATATTCTTGAACTAAAATAAACTTTGCTATGCCATCAAATTGACAGCAATTCACTTCTTTACAGCATTGCTCCTAAAATCACCCCCAAGAGGGTGTGGCAAGGTACAGTTTCATAGAAAATCGTTTTTATAAACCCTAATAGGTTTTCTATCTGGCAAGTGGACAAAATTGTCCCTTCCCAAATATTCCACTCTTGTTCATTGGCCCAATATATTCTTCATAGAATTACCTGCTACTTGTGGCGGAAATTGTAAGAAAGAGTAGAGGTTGAGTGGCACTTGACATCGCTCAGACAATTTCCTTGTATAACTAAAGTCGTGGAAAGGAAATAGCAGAGAAAAGCCTACTAGAACAAGAAATACGGGGAGGTTTACTTCGCTTTCCCTACCATCAAAAAAGCTTCATGTCCGACGCTACCAGCAACATTCTTTCAACTATGAATGTTCTGAAAATTGTTTTATTAGAGAAAACTCACATGAAAGGTGTTAAAATCGGCTTTTCTCTCCAAACATCAATAGGTACCTTCACAATATCTTAAATTCACTACATTTAATAGAAGAAGAACTTGAGCTTTTTGCTTGAAAACTGCAATACGGAGAGCTAGAGAGGCGTCTTAAGGCGCATTAGAAATGAACTTTTGAATCAAATTTGCGAGAGACTACTTTAGCTAAATCAA